TGTGCTCTATCCACGAATCGGTCCGTAAGTCGCCAAATCTCGCCTAACCTCGCCTAACCTCGCCTGATCGCCTAATCTCGCCTAATCTCGCCTCATCCCGCCTCACCTCGCCCCACCCCGCCTCACTTCACCTCATCTCTTTCTCTAGGCTACTCCGAGACCGACCCGAGACCGACCCGAGACCCGAGATCGACCCGAGCTCGACACGAGATCGACCCGAGATAGACCCGAGATCGACCCGACGCCAGCTGACCGACGCCACACCGACGCCACACAGCTGACCGACACCACGCCAGCGACACAGGTGTGAATAAGCTGTGTGCCGCTATTTTCACGCTGCTCAGCACGCCCCCCGGTTAAGCTGCAATGCAAAACTCTTTTTACCACCTTCAAGTACGCCCCCAAGACTCCCCCTAACCGCCCAGGATGAGCTCCTGAGGTGCCAGTCTTTCTTCCGTCCGAGATATGGCCGGTTGAAGTTGGGGTTCCACGGTCAGGATGGAGGTGCCGAACTGGATGGGGGTCAGCCAGGGAGGCTGTTGTGGCGCACCGGACCGCCCCCCAGCACCGTACCCCACCCAACTGCATCCATGGGAGTCACAAACGGTCCTGCACTCGCGGCTGCAAGCACTCACGACACTCAAACCCACCACCTGCCTCCTACCCTGTACGAGGAGCCATTTCACCCGTGCAACATCTGCACAGGTGTACCGCCGACGCTCAAGCGCCCGGCCCCTACTAGAGTAGTCTTGTGGGACCCACAAACGACCAATACATCCACTCGGGGCTGTAGCATGTGTCCGGGGGGGGCATCCCCGTAAAGCAGCCAGCAGGTGCCGGACACGGCGTTGGCCGTCTTGGACCGAGATCAGGGCGCAACTGCCTGTCTCGTGGGGCTGAAGGACCGTCATGGGGTCGGATTTGATGCTGCCAATCAGTCGGGTCGATAGGTGGCGCCCCGGCGAGATGCATTGCGGGTGCTTGGCGTCGCCTGCTTGAGTGGCCTGAACGCACTCGCGGGAGCCAGAGAGCAAAGGTGTGCGCGAATTGAGGCTTCTGAGCGAGTCCAGGCAAGCCACAGGACCGGCCATGTGCCTTGGTAGTCGAGCGGTGGCCGGAGGTAGCCTCCAGTAGTGCCTCTCAGTTCGGCACCTCGGTCTCGACCACGACCAGACTGGGAGCGGCACACAGCTTATCGGGAGGATGTAGCGATAGGTAGGTAGGTAGGTGTTACCTCACACGGTCTACTGCAAAGACAAGGAGGGCCCACAGCACACACACACCAAGAGTGCATGTGCTGCATTGGACATCAGAGGGCCAAGGGTTGGATCAAGCAGTGGGAAGGGACTCGAGGTGACGCGCGAGCGCGATAAGCGCGGCATCTTCGTCGTCAAAGCAGCGCATGAGCGCATCGAGGTCGTCGTTTGCTATGCGGTCGTAACCATCGTCGTCGTCGGACTCGTACGCGGGCCCGCGGTCGTCCTGGTCGGACGTGCACTCGTCCTCGTCGGACGAGTACTCGCTGTCCTGCTCGGCTTGCACGGCGCGGAGCGAGTGCACCCAGTGCGGGGCACCGTCATCCGTCTTCATGCGAAGCCAATCGCGCACGTGGCGGTAGAAGCGGTCACCCTCGGGGTCGAACTCGTTGAACCCGAAGTAGTTCCAGCTCCACCACGCGGTCGGCGGCGCGCGACAGGATGTAGACGTCGCGCCGCGAGAGCGGCGCCACCTTCTCACCTGCCACGTACTGCCGCACCCCATCCCGTTCGATGTAGATGCCGGTGATCTCGAGAGACCTGCACCTCCACGCGCTCCGTACCGCCGCGCCGATCTTCGCGCGGGCACCCAGGCCGCTCGCGCACCGTCGCGCAGAGTCGCGCGTTGCTGACGCAAGAGGCCGTGGGCGAGCTGCTCCCACTTGATCGCAGGAGCAGCCGCAGGTGCCGCAGCCTTGTGCTGCCGGAAGTTCTCGAGCCGGCGCGCGCGGCTGGCCTTGCCGCCGCGCGCACGCCGCTTTGGCGCCGCGGAAGCGATCTTGCTGCTCACCGTCAGCACGCCGTACGCCTCCTCAGAGGCCTTGCCCACCTCTCCAGATGTTGCGAGGACGCCACCCGGCATGGCCGGACCTGTCGTGGCGTGGAGCCTTGATGACGCTGCGACCGCGTGCAAGCACGAGCCCAGTGGGGGGTCTGTCCACCACGGTTAGACCCTATGCAATAGGTAGGTAGGCCCGGTTTTGACCGCCCCAGACAGAGGGCCACGCAATAGGTAGGTAGGTAGGTGGTGGTGGTGGTGGTGGCGGGACTTGAGAATCGTGCTTTTTGGGTTGGGTTGGGTTGGGTTGGTGGGTTGGGTTGTTCCCAGCGAGGTTGGGTCGTCGGCGAAGGGTGGTCTCGACCGCCGCCGCTCACGCCAGCGAGCGGCCACCATCGGTGTTTTTGGCTTCGCCACCGTCCAAAGCGTGCGCAATGCGCTCGCCGGCATCGAGCGAGCACGCCTGTCCGACGAGCGGCTTGCTGTGTGGACGCCTTCTTGTGGCTCTCGTCGAGAGCGTTTTGCGTCCCGGCGGGTGTGAGAATGTGTGTCGTTCTGATGTGTCACTGTGTACGTCACATCGATGTGGATAACAAGCACGGTCGATCCGTCGAAGCGATACACTCGTTCCTATCACGCTGGAAGGCTTGCACGGAGCTCTGTGCCGGCACACAGAAGAGCCGTGCGGCAAGAAGAGCTCGATGGGGAGCGAGAACCGTCAGAGGTGCTCACCCAGGTTTCGGAAGTCCGCCCTGATGCGGTCAGTTCCCCCAGGTTTGACCGCGCAGCTCGCAAGACTCGTTCAGCACTCGTAGCCTTTCTGCGCCTCTGACTCTGCACATGCTGCTACGGGAAGAGCAGTCTATCCGCAATATATCGACGAGTTCGAGAGAGCCACAGCTTTCGCTTGGGAGGGATTGAGCGCGTCGCGACGGACTTCAGGTTACACCTGAAAATCTGACGGTTCTCGCCGGGACGCAACCACACCAATGCACTCGTTAACTACGCTAGACTAGAGCTATTTTAGGAGTCGTCTCGCACGAACTCCTGGTGCCTCATCACCGGCGTGCCCCACGGGAAGTCGCGCTCACGCGTAGCATAGTCGGAGTACCACATCTTATGCCACACCTGGCATAGAACGCGCCGCGGCTCGTCGCTGTCGTTGGCGAGGCCGCGGTGGTATGCGCGGCCGTCAAACACGACGATGTCACCAGCGTCGGCGCACATCTGCACCGAGTCCTCGTGCGCGAGAAAAGGCTCGCGGCCGCCGTGGGCGAGGATCCCTCTCTGCACCGCCGCCGCAGCCAGGTGGTGCGAGCCAGAGATGATCTCGGTCGCGCCGTTCCTCTCGTCCATCCGGCCGAGAGGCGCAAGCGTCGTAAAGTAAAAGGGTGGGAGAGTGCCGTCGATCCAGACGTCGCCCTTGCTCTCGCCCCAGAGGTCGTAGCTGTCGCGGTGCCACGCGCCGTTCGGGTTCTTTTGTTCGCTGATGAGCGCCATGTTGTAGTGGGTGTAATCCTCCTGCAGCATCCGCCTCATCAGCGCCCCGAGGGCGGGCGGCTCGTGGTACTCGGGGCCTGCAAAGACACCGTCCTGCATCCGGTGGCAGAGCTCGTAGCGGCCCGGCCCCGTCTTCACCAGCACGCTCGACCTGCCCGGGGCACCCTTGGCCGGGTCGTTGTTTGTGAGGTCGCACATCTCGGTCAGATCGAGGGTGCGCCTGGCGCAGCGAGGATGGAGGGTGGGAAGGGTGAGAGGTGCGTGTGAAAGCAAGCTAGAAGGGCAAGGGGTGGCTGGTCACAGCGTGTAGAGAGACACTGTGTGCAGCACTATGATTCGCGCCGGTTCGTCCAGTCCTTGAGCATGTATGTGAATCGGGCGGGGGAGGAGACAGTGGTCTCGCACGAGCAGCACGGTTGGCAGCCGTTCGACTGCGAGCCGTCAGGCCCTCTTCCACTCGTCTCACACTCCGCGCCATCCTCGGAGGCTGCTGACGATGGAGTGCAGGTGCCGCTACCATTGTCGCCCTTAGGCTCCCAATACCTGGTCGCCTCGGTGCGACGTAGCGCCGCCTTAGCGTCCTCCCAGCTTTCGTCATAGGCCTTTGTAAAGGCTGCGACTTGCTCAGGGCTGTAAACACCTCTCAGAATCACCCATCCCTTTTCCCTCAGCTGCTTCTCGGCGGCTGGAATGTCAAACCCCTGCGCTGTCGCAATGGCCTCAAGGCCGTCCAAGCGCTCCTTGGTGTTCCACGAGGGCAAGAAGGTGGTTGTAGACGTGTCCGGAGGCGGCTCTTCTCCTCTTTCTGCTGGTTGTTCGTCCATCCAAAGCGGCACTGCTGGTTGTTCGTCAAAGACGGACCGGCTAACCGACCGAATCGCGAAGGCCGAACGTTTGTTAAAATTGGCCGCTTGTCCTGTTGGAGAGAGGCCATTAGGGGCATAGAGATAAAACCGTACCTTGTTGTGTTCTGTGATCTGTAAGGGTCCGCCCGCAGGCGCCTTTTGTATACCGACGAGGCGCTGCGTATGCCACCGGTACTCCCCTTTCCCCCTCCATGTACTCTCTCCATGTATTGTAGAAGCTCGGTGGATGAATCACAACTTGTCTCCCGCTGGGGTTCTGTGTGATCTCTCTCCCAGTAGTAAACGAGAAGCTAACAACTTCACGAAATTGCCAAATTCGGCGTTCTTTTACTCGTAGTCGAAAAGCCGGTCGGCCACTTGCAAACTACAAAGCGGCCGCTGGGGCGAGCTGTGGACGTGCGACAAAGCCGCTGGGCGCAGGAGAAGCATGGCCGCCCTGCGCCGCAGCCTCGTCGCGCTCGCGCTGGTCGATCACCAATGGGCGCGTGGAGCCGGCACGCATGTCCGGCGTTATGCAGACCCGTGCTCACAGCCTCTGCTGCCGGTTCGAACCTGCCCGGTGCTTGCATATGGGAGAAGGCTTGGGTGGGCGATGCAGGCTGGACAAGCAAACAGAGTAGGAGGAGGGCTGAGAAGCTGCGCACACTCCAGCGACAGCGCACACGCGGTCGCCACGGAGGACCGCCCACCCCTCAGCCTCCCGACCCCACACAAAGGTGCTTGTCTACGTGTATCTGCTGCCGCCTCCATGCGCGGATTGGGACCCAGAGGGCGAGGATGCGTTCGACGAGGCGTTCGGCGAACTCCGCGACGCGCGGCTGCCACACCTACGCAACACATCCAACCGTGCCCTCACCACGCTCTGGCACTACCGGTTGCACTACTCGCAGTGCCGCACGCAATGCGCAGAGGCGCCTCGCCGCCCTACACGCATTCTCCGCAGCTCGCGCCGCCCCAAATCTGCCCACGCTCCCCTCGTGCCTGCAGGCGGCGGACATTTTCTTCATTCCGACGCTGACAGCGCCAAAAGACTCGCAGGGGGGCATCGGGCGGGGATGTGGCAGCTGCGGTGCGAGCGAGCTGCTGCGCCATCTCCCGCACCTCCGGGCCGCGACCGCCGCGCGGCACGTGCTCCTCTGCCCGCTCGAGCACTTTGCGATGAGCGCCTGCGAGGGATGGTGGTCTCACCCGCAGGGCTTGCTGGCGGAGGCGCTGCGCCGATCCTCCTATGCCGGGACGTCCCCCACGGCCGTGGCACTGGGCACGGCGCGTCCCATAGGCGACGCGCCTCTCCTTCTCGGCAATCGTCCCGCCGGCGATGCAGCCGCACATCTCGTACATGCGCCGTCCAAGCGAGCGGGAGGCACTCACTGCGCCGGAGACGTACCCGCACCTATACTCGCTGCCGCAGCCGAGCATCGTGCACTGGCTGCGACGGGCGCCACCCTTCACACCCTCCGACGAGCGACCGTACCTGATGTCGTACGCGGGCAGCCGGAAGGGCGACGTGGCGGTGAGGCGGCTCGTTGCTGATTACTGCAACCGCTCGAGCGGTAGCAAGACGTGTTTGATGCCGAGCTCGATGAAGACGGTCGAGGTCGCATTCGTCAAGATGAAGTCCGTCTTCTGCCTCGAGCCCGCGGGCGACACGCCCTTTCGCCGCTCGATCGCGGACTCGGCGGCCCTTGGATGCATCCCGGTGCTGATGAACAATGTGTCCGATCTCACCGGCAACCTAGTCTGGGACGACTGGCGCGAGCAGTCGCGCGTCCTCCTGCCGCGCGACGAGCTAATATCCGGCCGCCTTGACCTCGGCAAGGCGCTTGCACGGCTGCCCAGGGCGCGCGTGGCGCTGATGCAGCACACCCTTTGGCTGCACGCACGCAAGCTTCAGGTTTCATACGATGACGACCAGCGCGATAGCGTGTTCGCCAGCCTCTCCGGCATCCTCTCTGCGCGGGGACTGTCTCGCCTGCCGCGCGCCGCTGCGCCGCCCGTCACCAGGGGTGAGGAAGGCACCGGCGCTGGCAGCCGCAGCGGCAGCGGCAGCGTTGCCCCGTGCACGGATCTGCCCGACGTCGCGCACAGGGAAAGCTGCCGGGAGATCATGGACTTAGCGGCAGAGGTGTCTGCGCGGCGCAAGCGCGGCAGGAGGAATGCGCCCGAGGCGGACCCCGATTTAGGGAAGGTAACCCTTACCCGGGCCGGTGCTCGACGTAACAGAATGTACAGAAGATGACTCACGTAGAGCTAATCGAATGTGGAATAAGTACACCCGCGGACCCGCGTGTTGGGATTGGGTACTCCTGTCAATACAACATTGCGTGTACACACACGCCGCGATGTGTACGGTGTGTAGATCCTGTGTAGATCGCAGTGACCAGTGTATCGGGGGGTTGTGCGAGCGCGTCCAGACTCCAGAGCCGGCCTCGCTTCCGTCGTCTCGGATCTCGGATGGGAAACTGAATGAGTCCGCTCGATATTACAGTATTGTTGACTGTCCCCGTTTTTTTGTTGTTGAAATGGAGAGAGAGTGGATTTGTACGTCGTCCAGCATGTGCCACCACCGCCGACCCGATTAGCCGTCGTACTCGACCTCGTGCACGATCCGTCCGTCCCCGTCCTCCTCCCGCGCCATGACGGTCGCAGGGTACCACCGCTCACTGTCGCAGAAGATCTCGAGGCGCGATCCGGTGGGCAGGACAGTGTGGCCGTCGAGCGCCGCCCTGGCATCCTCGCGCTTTCGCTTCCGCCGCTTCGCCTTCGTCTCCTTGCTGCGCAGCAGGGTGTAGTTCGGGCCCACCTCCGCCACGCTGTCCAGCACGTGGACGGCGCTCGCCATCTCGACCGCGTCGTCCTCCGGCGGAAGCTCCGCGTCGCCCGCGGCCGCTTCCCGAGCGCGCTCGTCGCGCATCCGCTCGTGGTGGGCCTGCCGACGCGCCACGCCGGCGCCCGTGTGCCTCGCCGCCGCGTCCGGCGACGGCATCGATGCTGTCCGCCCGAGCGTGACTCGCCACTCCACGACCTTTCCACGACCTCCACGACCGCCGAAAAGTTCTCCCACTCGCTCTGCCCCAAACCTACCGGTACATCTTTCTACAGTTACATTACAAGATGCGCGCGTCGTGTCCTGCTCTCAGCGGCTCTCTATGAGCGCTGGGCCGCCGCGGCCGCCGCCTTCCTTGCAGCGGCCGCCTTGGCCCTCGCAGCGGCCGCGCGCCTCGCCTTTGCGGCGGCCATCGCCGCCTCAGCTGCCGCCGTGGCCGCCTCAGCTGCCGCAAGTGCCGCGGCCGCGGCTTCCTCCTCGGCCGCGGCTTCCTCCTCCTCCGCCTCTGCCTCCTCCTCCTCTTCCTCCGCCTCCTCGGCCAAGCGCTCCGCCTCGACCATCTCAGCTAAAGCCGCTGCCTGGCTCTCCGCCGTGATGCCGAGCCGGATCCTCTCCTCGTGACAACTTTCGAGAAGCCTGATCAATCTCGCCTCCTCGGCCTTCTTTGCGGCCTCGGCTGCGGCTGCCTTTGACAGCACCTCGACACCCTCTGATCGTGCCTCTGCACCCTCCGCCGGCGCCTCGGGCTCCTGCGACGGCCCAGCGCCGCCGCTCCCGCCGCCCTTCTTCTTCTTCTTGCCCTTCTTGCCCTTGCCGCGCTTCTCCGCCTCCTCCTCCGCCAGCAGCTCCTCGGCATGCCGCGCCGCCTCCGCCTCCGCCACCGCCCTCTCCGCCGCCCTCTCCGCCGCCCTCTTCGCCGCCTCCGCAGCCCTCGCCGCCTCCTTCGCCACCGCCTCGGCCGCCGCCTTGGCCGCCGCATGCTCCTCGAAGGCGCGCACGCACTCGGCGCTGCCCGCCTCCTTGGCAAGCTGCAGCGCTGTGCAGCCAGCCGCCACGCCGAGTCGAATTTCCGTGTCGGCGCCCGCACGCAGCAAGCAGAGCACGACGGCGGGGTGGTTCTGGTAGGCGGCGAGCATTAGCGCAGTGAGGCCGGTATTGTTCTGCTGGTTGATCTCCGCCCCATGCTGCAGCAGCAGCTCGGCCACCCGCTCGTGAGCGTGGTGACGCCGTAGCTGTCCTGCAGGTTGATCTCCGCCCCGTGCCGCAGCAGCAGCTTGACCACCCGCTCGCGGCCTTGGTGGGCGGCGTACATCATGGCAGTGCCGCCGAGGCTGTCCACCACGTTGACCTCAGCACCGCGCTGCAGCAACAGCTCGACCACCCGCTCGTGGCCTTGGCGGGCGGCTGTCATCAGCAACGTACAGCGCTCACACCCTCTAAGAGTGAAATTCGCGTCCACCCGCCCGCCGCCGTCGAGCCACGCCAGCAACGCCGCCTCTTCGCCTTGCCTAGCCGCCTCCGCGATCTCCTCGGGGACGGCGTCCTCGCCCGTTCCGCTCTCCACGCCGCCAGAAGAGGACGCGGCAGTTTGCTTTCTCTGCGAGAGGGGCTGGTCCTCCTCGTCAAACGAGTCCGGGGGCGGCTTGTTGGTTGGTGCCGCCGCTGCCCCCTTGCCCGAGGCGGCATCGCCGTCCGCCCCTGCGCCGCCCGCCTCGCCGATCTCCTCGGGAACCGGCCCGCTGCTGCCGCCCTCGCCGCCCGAAGCGCTGCCTGCCCCCGCGCCGCCCGCCTCGACCGCCGCCGCGTCGCGCCTCTCTGCCGCCACCTCGCCGAGAACTGTCTTGACAGCGGCGACGCACTCGGTGTGACCCTTCTCCTTGGCGATCTGCAGCGCCGTCCTGCCCGCCGCAGTGCGCAGCGCCATGTCTGCGCCCGCCCGCAGAAGCTGGAGCACGACGGCAGGGTGGCCATTGAAGGCGGCGCCCGCGAGCGCAGCGTAGCCGTCGCTGGCTTGAAGGTTGACCTCTGCGCCGTGTCGCAGAAGCAAGTCGACCACGCGCTCGTGGCCTTGGTAAGCAGCGAGCATCAGCGCGGTGCTGCCGCCGCTGCTCTGCAGGTTGATCTCCGCGCCGTGCCGCAGCAGCTTCTCGACCACCTGCACGTGGCCGTGGTCGGCGGCGGCAATCAGCGCCGTAATGCCGATACTGTTTTGTGCGTCCACCTTCGCGCCGCCCTTGAGCAGAAGTTCGACCAGCTGCTTGTGACCGTTGCTGGCGGCGATCAGCAGGAGCGTACAGCCACTCACACCGCGATACACGCACGTCGCGTCAACCCACCCGTCCCCGGCGAGCCACGTCTGCACCACGCCCACCTTGCCGGCCGCCGCCGCGGCTTGGATCTTTTTCGGCAGCGCGAGCGGCGCAGCCTGTGGCGTCGTTGAAGCGTGCCCGCGCCGGGAGGCGGCTGAGCCAGCTATCTGCCGGCAAGGCATAAGATGCATGTGTCTGGGCTTTCTTTTAACGTGCCTGTTCGCACCTGTGTTGAGCCTGTCTGCTGTGAGAGAGAGTTGTCTTGTTTTATTTCTTTTAACGTGTATCTGTTCTTCGCCTTTCGATAAATCAAATCTAATCAAATGCCAGTGGTGCGCGCCTTCGGGTGTATATACATTTCCTCTCGCACCCCGTCTCTTTTCCTTTCCTCTCTACAGCACGCTCTCTTTTCCTATATATTTTCCCGGGGAAACCATCAAATTTTCCGGGCTCTGAGCCGAGTCTGAGGCTGGTTTGGCTTTGGGCCCAAAATCAGCCAAATCGGCAAAATACCGGGTATTTTGCGGGTGGGTAGGTCTGGCCACTTTTTCTTTGCCTTGCTTCCGTTGGGTTTCTTTGCCTTGCTTACTCCCTGCTGACAAGTGCACTGGACAATTGGCGACCAGTTTGCTTACCAGACCGTGAGCAGCCTATTGATTATATCCAAGCGTGGTACAAATTGCGACACTATCTGGTGCAAAAAGACCAAGCTACTGATCATCAACCTGGGTATTCAAATCAAATGGATCTTTGACTGGTATTTTTGCCTCGCGCCAGCTGCATTTGCGATATGCGGCACCATCCTGCTCGTTGCTTGGGGCATTGCAATCTACAATTTCGTGCGATCCCTCCTATCCCACACAAGAGGACGCATCCAAACCGCCGCATTTCGCCCGCCGAAAAGTTCTCCCACTCGCTCTGCCCCAAACCCAAATCTGTCTACAGTTACATTACATAATCCGCGCGCATTTACGACGGGGGGGGGGGGGGGTCGACGGAAGCACGGAAGGTCATTGGTTCACGCCTTCCCAACTGCCTTCCCTGTCGCCTCCTCCCAGCCCAACGCCGTCGGGATGTCCTCATAGTCAAGCGTCCACAGGCGGACGGCGTTGTGCGAGGAGTCGTCGTAGCACTTGAAGCCGAGGAGCTGCTGTTGCGTGGGAGTCATACTCCTGGCCGCCTCGGGCGACACTCCGAGGCATCCCGCCTCCTCGGGCGTGAGCCAGCCTATGAGAGCCTTGCCGCATCGTCAACTGACACGACTCCCTGCCCTCTCATCTCTGGCGCGAGCCCGCCAGCGACATACGAGAGGTGCAAACCCTGCCTCCACTCGCACTGGGTGGTGTTCGCGCCACTGCCGTGGATCACCTGGCGGAGCAGCCGCCACCCCACTCACCTCCAGAGGCTCTATGGTGTATTTTCTCGGAGATCTCGGCGTAAGGCCTTGCCGCTGTAGATCATGCCGCTGCCAGCCGGCATCACCGCCTGCGTCACGTCCTCAGGCGCCGCCTGGAGCGCGTAGTCCGGCCACGCGTGGCTGCCAGGCACCACGCGTGTCGCGCCCGTCTCCGCTCGAAAGTCGGAGAGCGCGATCATGCACGAGATAGTCACCTACATTGAGGCACTCTATTGGTGACGAACAATGAAGCGATGAATGGGTGTGCGGGTGCTTGCTAGAAAGGTCGCCGCGGGCGAGGCGGGTGAGGCGCAAAAGTGCGGCCAGTTGAGCGCGTCGCGGTGCAACCACTGCGCGCGCTCGCCGGGGCCGAGACACATCATCTGCCCCGTGTTCATCCAATAGGACGTGCCTAGGTGCAGCGCCCGGGACAAAATTTGGCGACGCCCATCTCTTGGCCGGTGCGCGTCAGGCAGACTGTTACAGTGGGGAAGGAGCTCGGCGTCAGCCATGCGCAGCAGCAGCGGGTGCACCAGCACGCGGTTCAAAAACGTTCGAGACCGTGCTGCGAGCCGGGTGAAGCGCACCGTGTTGCCGCCCCAGAAGGCCGCGACGTGCGCGTCCACCGCCTATGCGTGAAAATATCTAGTGTGCAAACACTAGTAGGAGACGCCGTGTACCGTGGGGCCTTGTTGTCCTAGCACGGGAGTACCCGTGTGGACCGGAGGCAGCAGCAAACACGAGTAGCACGCGGGGCACGGACAAAGCTGCTGCCTTTGTTCCAGGCATTGCTGATTCGAAAGACTGCGCCGTCTCCCTGCGCAATGCCTCGACGTCGACCTGATCAAGCATGCCGCGAACCACCACGGCACCATCGCGCTCGAACGCGCCACGAATGTCCTCAAAGCTCACGCTGTGGTCAAAGCTTTGCAGCGGCTTGGCTCCGCCCTCCGCTCTGCTGTGTTTTGTCGCAGCTGCCGTTGCCGCTCGCGTCGCACCGAGCGCTGGCGTCCGAAGGACAGTACCCCTTCGCTGCGTATGCTGCGTGAGCCGCGCACGCGTAGCCCAGAGCAGTGCCATGGCGTATTCTTCGACCCAGTGAGAGGGAGGGGACGCGCGTTTTACCTCACAGTTGCCGAGCTGTACTCGATCGCCTCACGCCGCGCGTGGGCCTTTAGGGGCCTAGACACCCCCACTCTCCCGTTTCTCCCTGTATGGAGATCGCTGATGACGTGATTGCCGGCATGGCTGGGGGCGCCTCAACCCTCGCGGTGGGACTGCCACTCGACGTTGTCAAGGTCCGCACCCAGGCGCAGCCTCACCTCTGCACCGGCATGCTGCAATGTGCTTTTCAGGCGTGGGCCGGCCTCCTCCCTCGCACAACACTGGGCACACAGGTACACCCAACGAAGAGTGAGCACCGTGGCAGGTGCTCGCCAGGGAGGGGCCATCGGCCTTCTACCTCGGGGCAACGCCCGCTGCCGCCAGCATAATGCTCGAAAGCACGGTCCTCCTTGCGCTCGATCGGCATTGGAAGAGGGCGTTAAATCGCGCCGCGGGCAGGGAGTCGGATGCGGATCTCGCTGCATATGAGGTCGCGCAAGCTGAGAAGGCACTGAGGACTAAACCAGTAGTGCCCACCCAAAGCGACATGCCGCAGGAGTCGCTCTGCGGCGGGGCCACGGCGGTGGGCACGGTCTCCCTGATCTGCCCGCTGGAGGTGGTCAAGGTACGGCTGCAAAACCAGGCGGCAATCCCGGGGGCAGGCGCGGCGTGCGGTCCTCTCGCAACGGCGGCAGCGCTGTGGCGCACCGAGGGGATCTGTGGCTTCTACCGGGGATATAGCGCCCAGTTGTGCCGGGACGTGCCCTTCTACCTCATCTTCTTTACAGCGTATGAGGGGTACATGAAGGCTGCGGCGCGGTGGAGCGGTGCCGAGACGAGGGACGGCGTACCTCGGTTGCACGTCCTCCATGGCGGCGGCCTGGCCAACGCTGCAGCCTATATGTGCGGCCTGCCCTTCGACGTGGCCAAGACGGTTGTGCAGTCGGGGGCGGTGCCGATCGGCGGCGGCGGCGTATGGAGCACTCTTTGGGCGCTCTGCCGGGCGGACGGGCTGACGCGCCTGTTCCGGGGAGGATGGCCCCTCTTTTGGTATGGCTACGTTACGGGAGCGGCGTGGTGGATCACAGTGGAGACTGTGCAGGCGCAGATGCAGTGCGGTAAACGTCAGTGATTATTGCTGGCAGCGCGTACCATACGTCAGTACCGCGCCCATGATGCCCCATGCCGCGGCGTGCCCCAGCGCCGCCGGTGGCGCGTCGCGGCGTGTGACGGAGACACGACACTCATGACGACACCGCTCCGCCGCACACTAGCGCCACCGCTACTGCGCCTGCGCGGGGGGTGGCCAGGGACGAGAATGTCGCGGCGGGCCGACCGATTCTCAGCGACGAGGCTCTCTAAAAAGGTGGACTGAGACGTCTTAACAGTACGAGGGGCCACACACAAGCGAGAGCGCTCAGCCCGCACGCGCGTACCGCGCGACAACACAGGCGCGGGAACGGGCTCTCACACACGATCCCAGCGGCTTCCACCGCCACGGCGCGGGGCCCGCGCCCCAGCCCCGTCTTCGAACGTTCCGGGACCGCTCCGTCAGACATGAACCATGGCTGCGCCTCGGCCGGCGGTGCCTGCCTCGCCTAGGCCTCGTCCTTGTACTCGTCGTCCTCGTCGCCCCCGCCATAGTCATCATCGCTGTCGCTGAGGTCCTCGTCGCCGCCGCCGGCCGCCGGCTGCAGAGCGGGGCGGGGGGCGGTCAGGGGCAGAGCGGAGGGGGGGCGGGGATGTTGGACCCGGCGACGTGGGTCTCTTGGGAGCCTCTCGGGCTCTCGTGTGGGCGTGGCGGGGCGCGAGACGTGTGGGGGAGTGTCAGTGCGGCGGGCGGTGGGCGGCTTTGAGCGGGATGGGGCGCGCCTCCGGCTCCGGCTTCTCGTACGGCGTGAGCTCCCCGGCCAAGAAGGCGCGCGCAAACTCACTCATCGTGTCGCCCGAGAAGGCGGCGGCGCCGTCGGCCGGCGCATAGTACTGCCCGCCGGCCGAGATGCCCATCAGGATGGTGTTTGGCTTGTCGGTCGGTAGGCCGTAGTCGCCCAGCTCGTAGCTCAGGTCTGTGCTCGACGCGACCGCGACCGCCAGCTTGCCCTTGAGCTTGGCCGCCGCCTTGCGCGCGCGCTTGAGCACGTAGCTGACGCCCTGGGCCGGGAGAGGAGCGGCGGTGGGTGCAGCGGCGGCGAGGGAAGCGGCTGCGCCGGGGCTAATCAGGCAGAGTGTCCAGGAGGCGCCTTTGCATTCTTCGCGAAGTCGAGGTTGAAGAAGACGACGAGTGTCGCGCCTAGCGCCGACACGTCGCCGAGGTATGCGCCGAGAGGCAGCCGAAGTCGGAGAAGGGGCGGCGGGCGGGGGGCTGCACCGGAGTAGCGCTCCTTGGTGGAGGAGGAGTAGAGCCCGACCAGCGGCTGCGCTTTGCTGTTGAGCCAGTTGCGGACCGCGGACTCGGACAGCTGCCGGGGGAGATGGAGGAGGGACAGAGGGTGGGGGGAAGGGCGGGGGCAGAGGATGGTGGGAGGGGAGGGGGGGTGGGAGGCGAGACACAAGGTGGGTGCTGGTGGCGCGTGCGCGCAGAGTTGTGCGCGTCCTTTGAAGACGGCGCTGTGTGTCCTCCTTCGTCCGAGCTGGGCCGCGTGTGCTGGCCGGCGGAGCACCTTTGTCGACGGGAAGCGCTCGCGCGGCTTGTCTCCGTGCTCGGCAGACAGAAACTTGGGCGAGCGGTAGAGGTAGAGGCCGCCCGTCTTGGACTTGAGCTTGGCGAGCACGTCGGGCGCCGCCGAGAAGGCGAAGCGGTAGTTGTACAGCGACGAAGCGATCGAGTTGAACGCGGCCAGCTCCGGGTTCGTGACAACGGGCGCCTCCCACGTTCCGTCCTCGTCCTCGTCCCAGTCCTCGGGCATGACGGCCGCCGGGTCAGGCATCTCCTTCTCGAGGAAGGCGCCCACCACAGACGCGTCGTTGTCATCCATGAAGGCCTCCAGGTCCGCGACCGACGAAAGCTCGCGCGCGGCCCCGTCTCCGGCCGGCGCCGGCGGAGGGTCCTCCTCCTCCTCCTCCTCGCCGTACCCACCGCCGCCGCCAAAGTCGTCTTCGCCGTAGTCGTCCTCCTGGCACGCGGCCTGGCCGGCGAGGCCGAGGAGCAGCAGCGTGAGCACGAGCTTGGTGAGCCTCATCACTCCGCTAGCGCACTGAGGTGTGAGAGTCTCTGACCCGCGCGGCGACACGTCACGAGCGCCATTTCGCCTTTTCTTTCTTTCTATTCCTTCTTCTGGACTTCGAAAACACTAACACAAAAATAATTGTGCAGCGGTCGTACAGCGGCGCGGTCGTCTCTTCTTCGATGATCTCGCCAGGGAAGAATGCGTAATGCGTAAAACGCTAAACGGCTCGATGGACGATGCAGGTGTAATCGCGCCGGCGGTAAATAAATAAATAAAAACGGACACCTCTACTGTGAGGGGTGCAGGTGGGTAAAAAGCACTCTGTCAACACAAGCCACGACCACCCAACTCCTCAACAAACCGCTCAGCCTCAGAGAATGCCTCTACCACCTGGGGCTGCCCTTGCCACCCTTGCCGCCCTTGCCGCCCTTCCCCTTGCCGCCCTTGCCGCCCTTCCCCTTGCCCTTGCCCTTGCCCTTGCCGCCCTTGCCTCCCTTGCCTTTTCCGCCGCCGCCGGGCGACCCCTTGCCGCCCTTCCCGCCACGCGCGCCAGAGCCGCCAGCGCGGCCCACGTCGTCGCTGTCGTCGCCACTGTCGTCGCCCTCATCCTCCGAGTCGGGCCGCGGCGTGTCGACGTGGCGCGCCGCCTTGCGCGCCGGAGTGTGAGCCGATGGCTGCGCCCGCTTGCCGCCAGCCACACCCGCCTCCTCGGCGCTCTCGCCCTCCTCGCCGCTCTCGTCGCCGCTCTCGTGGCCGCTCTCGTCGAAGATGCCGTCGGCGGAGTCCTCCTCGTCCTCATCGCTCTCGCCGGCCTCGCTCTCGTCGTCGTCGAGAGCCCCGCGCAGGGCCGCATCCTCCTCCGCGTCGGAGGAGCCGTCCTCGCCGCTCTCCTCGCCGCTCCCCTCCTCGCCCTCCTCCTCGCTCTCAGCCTCCCCCTCCTCCTCCTCCCCCTCGCTCTCCTCCTCCTCCCCCCCTTCCTCCTCCTCCTCCCCCTCGCTCTCCACCCCTTCCTCCTCCCCCTCCTCCTGCTTGCCGCCCGCCATCACCACGACCAGCCGGTCCTCGCTCGCCTCCACCTCCTCACCCTCATCCTCCTCCTCCTCCTCCTCCTCGCTCTCCGCCGCTTCATCCGCGGCGGCGCGAGCCAGCATCGCCTCCACCTTCGACGCTGGCCACTTGAGCGGGTCCTCCTCCTCCTCCTCCTCCATCCCCTCCTCCTCGGACTCCTCCTCCGACTCTGAGCCAATCGGGAAGCCCGCCCTCACCCAGCCGCCAACCACGTCGATGGCGCACTCGCCGGAGGCCTCGAGCGCGGCGAGATCGCGCTCGTCGAGGACGACACCGAGGCAGCTCTGCTCGCAACCCGGCCGTAGCGAGCACAGCACGAGCGAAGGGCTGCTGCACGAGCTCACCGTGAGCCGCGCACTGCCCGTGGACTTGCTGAGCGCGGCGTGCTTGAGCTGGAGGATGTGGCCGGGACACCACGGGCGGTCGCGGGAAGGAAGCGCGACCTTCTCGCCTGGGGCGATCCGGCAGGCGAAGAAGCTCATGTTCAGGAGAGTGTGGCCTCGTGCCTGCCCAAACGTCAGCTGGCGCAGCACCTGCAAAAGAAATCCCGCTGCAGAAGCAGGGATAGCCGTTGAGAAGGCCGCAAATGAAGCGAGTCTATGGCCTCAAAGACAACACGACGGAACATAGCGAATACAAGAGGCTGGCGGAGCAGCTGGAGCGACCAGAGTGGGCGCAGCTGCGACAATACTGGAAGTGGGCGGCCATAGAAGAGCGCGCACACGGACAGAAGACGGAACGGAGGGCGCCCGATAGGGTGCGGAAGGTGAAGGCGGCAAGGAAGGCGCCGACCTGCTACGGGGGAGGCACGGAGGAGGACGAACACGGATGGGAGTACCTCTGCGAATGGGAAGGCGAGCAGAGCGACAGCTGGGTGTGGCACGATAAGATGCCCCACACATGGGAGCGGGAGCTAATGCACGCGCAAGGCGCGAGATGGCAAGCGGCGTCCTTCCGAGAGTGGCTAGAACACCGCAGAAGACTAGGTAGATCGGGGCCGGAGGCAGCGCAAGCGGACAGAGCACTAGAGACGTGCGATGGAGAGAGTAATGCTCCGTCGTGGAGCGACGTGCTCGATCGATTCATTGAATACAGCAGGGAGGTTAACGGGGTGTGCACAAGCGCACCCAACATGACAGAACACACGTTCGAAGAAGGGCGAACCAGGACGGACATCCGAGTGGAGGGGAAGGCCAGGACGCTCTACCTCGGAGGGAAGAAACCGGCGCAAGACAGCGGCACGCAACTGGGGTCGAGAGAGGACGGGGACAATCGAGTGATAAAGCTGGAGGGGACCCCGGGCCTCGATACCAACGCGACATGGGAGGAGGAGATACCCGAGCAAAATAAGATCACGAAGGACGCGGTGAGAAAGATGATGGAGAGACAGGAGAGGGAGCGACAGGAAGACGTAGGGCGTGCTTGCGCGCCTTTCCGAGGCCCCTCCAACCCACCCGCGCTAGGTCTCGGGTTTGACGCATGGGGTCACACCCGCGAAACCCGTGAACTAGCCGGGGCAGTCGGAGAAGGGGCAACTCCGTGCACTGACGGTCGGCCGTCAGAAAACACGCCTCCGTGGCTCGGGTTACACCAATCCTCGCTACCCAACGCGGCCAAAGGATATCCACCTCGAGAACCTCGAGAGAGGGAGTATCCGCGGGTCGGGCGGGGGGGCCCCTCCCTCCTAGATGATGATTCTAGCACTTCCCTCCATAAGATAAGGCCACCTCGAATGTGTATAGAGGTGGTCATTGAGAGGGGAGTCCTAGAAACTGAGGGAGTTGGAGGTTATTTTGTCTGTCGGTCGGTCGCGAAGAGAGTTGTTTGAGCACTGGATAGGGTCGATTCCGCATGGTACGGGACCCCTCAGAGTTGTTTTAGTGTGTGTGTTAATGTGGGTGATGTCGTAGTACTCAGGGACAAATGCACACCACAGCGCTCGACATAAAACAGGTAAGACGCAGTGTCCAGTGACGCTCGGCAAGTGTCCTCGAGCAGCAGCGAGTCCTCATCGGTGTTCGGTGGGTGGCGCGGGTACTCGAGTAGGATCGCGGGTAGAGTGATGCCGAATCCGAGACTCGGCAGGGCGGCCGCTCCGGGCGTGGTCGCGAGTCGCCTCGCCGAGCGAGCGGAGACTGGTCGCTCCGTCCGTGGCGAGCGCGAGGGCAGAGGCGCTGCGTGTGTGGCCGTATGTATGAATGTAGGAAGGTGAAGAACAGTCAGGCTCGGACTGGACACCAGCGCGGTTCGTATAAAAGGAATAAAGAAAACAGACAACCCAAGGGAGGGATGGGAGGACGGCACATCGGCACACCGCCACCACATAGGGATTTTAAGGAGAGGAGTGTGGTGCTAGCCGTCGCCCACCCTAACCCTTGCTTGGTCGTCTGCCTCTTTCTATCTCCCTTCGCAGTCCCTCGCCGATTCTCGCTGCAACCAGCGCGGCATGACGTATGTGTGGCCGCTCCGGTCCCAGCAATATTTTGACCGCGCAAGACAAAGGGTGGCTAACTAAGGCTCTGTCTGCCCGGCGCCCGCGTCGGTACCATTGACTAATCCCGGAATACGCACCCACACACCAAATAGCGAAAATCCGAATACCGTGCAAAAACCACGGAATCTGGACCGAAGAACGTCGGGGCAAGTTTGGCTAACTCCATAACATCCGGCGCTTCCTTCGATTGGATGGACGGACGAATGATCGCGGAAAAGCGGACCGCATCGCGACATCGGGGGTTCACCATATGCCGAGCCTGCTCGGCCTGCCATGCGCGCGGCGCGCGCCTCGCCCGAGCGCAGCCACCTGCGGACCTGGCCAGCCTGTTCCTGGCTCGTGCCCAGCCTCTCCTTCCGCTGCCGCCGGCCTCGCAGTCCCGCCAGCCATCACACTGCAGAGCCTGCGTAGACGCCACAGACGCCAATTCTGCAGCCCACAGCCCTGGCAACTCGAGGGCCAGCAGTATACGACGACGACATCTCACACCCCGCGCTGGCCAGCGCCATCTGGGATCAGCCCCTCACGGCCCGGCCCAACCTTCCCTTCCCCACCCTCACCTCCTCAGCCATGCCCCCCACTCCCCACCCGCTTGGATCGATCAGCTGACAGCTCCACAGGCTCCCACCACCGCGTGTCGTGTCATGAAGCATGATAGATAGAAATAGAAAGCATGAACCATCGAAAGGTCTGATCTCCAAAAAGAGCTCTCGGCCTGCCGCGCGCGCCCGCGCCGCCCCGCCCCTTTTGCGCAGCAACACCTTAAACTTTTAGGCCCTCCAAATTCGGGTCGGAGCGTAGCGGAGTGGGACCCGAGTTTGAAAAAGGCGACGGACGCTTGCGTCCTAGCCTCCAACAACGCCTCCCCGGCGCAGAGGGGCCCCCAGAGGGATGCTCAACCCCCCCACGCCACGCCGCTTGCGGCGGTCCTCTAAGCCATACCCGGGTAGCGGTCGCACGCACGGCTCCCGCGAAGTTCAGGGAGTCGGCTGGTGCTATACCCAGCCATGGCATCGCTCACTGTCTTCGCACTCATGGAGGCCACCAACACCACCCGAGTTCTCGAGCACCTGAACGAGCTTCGCAAATTTGGCGGAACCGGTGGCGGCAAACGCGGTCTAGGCGTTTCCCGGCAGGCTCTTGCAACCGACGATCCGATCCACACGCTCCACGATTGACACTCCACGCTTGATCGACACTGCACACGCACTCCATAGACCTCACACAAATACACACCTGCAGGCGCTCACGCCGCCCGACATCGCGGCCCGTGAGTGGGTGATGGCGAGGATGGCCGACGCGGGGCTGGCGAGGAGGAGGATGGATGGCATCGGCACGGTGTACGGCGAGGGCGGCGACCCGTCGGCGCCGAGCCTTCTGATGGGATCACACACCGACTCGCAGCCCGAGGGCGGCTGGCTGGACGGAGGCGGCCCGCCGCTCCCCCGCCACCGCACCCGCGCCACTCGACACATATGCCACGAGTCCTCGGCATGTGCGCTGCGCACGCAACTCCGCCCGCCGCCCCGCAGCGCTCGGCGTCGTCTACGCCCTCGAGGCGGCGCGGGTGCTGCACGAGGCTGGCGCGCCGGGCGCGTGGTCCGTCATCGACTTTCAGGAGCGATCGCCCGAGAGCAGAGACCGCTCCCCGAGGTCCGTCCGAGGGCGTGGCGCGGCAGCATGCCGCACCGGCGCCCGCCTTCCATAGGACGAGGAGGGGCGGTACAACACTCTGACCGGCTCGCGTGTCTTTGCGCGCCACCTGCCGCCGCCGCTCGAGGAGCCGGCGGACAGAGCGACGCGGGAGAGGACCCCTCTCGGATGCACTTCCGGCGGCACCTCGCACGTAGGAGATGGCGGACGGCCGTGCGAGGGCGGGGCTGTCCGCGGCGCCGGTCCTCTATTGGGACTCAGCCCGCCCGGCTGGCTTTTCCGGCTACCTCGAGGCGCGAAGCAGAGAGCAAGCTCGCGGCAGTCTCGGGGCGCGGGACGGCGCAGCCTGACGCCGCGTGGACCGTGAGCAGGCCCACATCGAGCAGGGCCCGCGCCTCGAAGCCGCCAACGCGTCGCTCGGCGTTGTGACGGCGGTCGTCGGCCTCCGCCAGATGCGCGTCTCCTTCCTCGGGAGGCAGGTGGGTCGGCCACCTCCCGTCGCCTACACCTGTACCTGTACCTGTCCAGCCCCACCACCCTCGTAAGCCCCTCTCCAGCCTCACAGCCCTTGCCTCCGCCGCGTCCGCTCGCGCCGCCGCCGCCGCCGCCGCCGCCGCCGCTTCTTTGCTCCTGCCGCCGACACATCCTCCGCCACCCTCGCCTCCACCTCTGCCCCCCCCGCCTGCAAAGCAGCTGTCTCAAACTGCAGGACCACGCCGGCGGGTGCGAGATGCCCGAGCGGGCCGACGCTGCGCTCGCGGCGATGCGGTGCTGCGAGGAGAGAGCGAGCGAGAGAGAGGCGTCGAGTCGGCGCCGTGAGGAGGAGCTGACGCACCGGCCACCCCGCGTGCCATAGGTACGCTAGCGGCCTCGACGCGGCGCTGCGACGGGTGTGCGACGCGCCGGAGGCGTGCGACGGCGCCGTCTGGACCTTCCCTGACCTGACGGGTGCTCGCTCTGCCCCCTTCGCCCGGCCGCGATCAGGATGATCGTGCCTCTCTGCCGCCTCTCCGCCACGGCTCCGCGCTTCGGAAGGCGCACTCGGCACCGTCGCTCGCCCGCCCGGGCTGCCCCGTCGCCGTAGGTTTCGTTTCGCACTCGACCATCCCAGGCGAGGCCAACCTCACGCTGCAGTTCCGCGCGCCGACCGAGGCGCCGATGGAGGAGATTGAGCGCCTCGCGCGCTCGCACTGCGAGGCCGATCGGTCGGCGCTCGGCCTCCCGCCCCTCTCGCACGCGCGGCCCGTGCGCTGTACAATCGTCCACGAGCCGTAGATGCGGGATTCAGACCCGCGCATTGCGACTAGCACTCTCGAAAGAGGACACGTGTTCGGCTGTATGAGGACCCGACCCCGGTGTTTGCACGATGTAGGTCCACGAACGTCCGCCGGTGAGGGCGGCGCCGATGGACGACGAGATGCGATCGTGCGTCGAGGCCGCGCCTGCTCGTCGAGATCGCCCGAGGTTGACCGCGATTCACCGTGGCTGGCCGAGTTGTAGGCGGCCGCCCGGATCGCCGCCCCGTCGGCCGGTGCTGGCGCAGCGGGCACGCTCTGTGGCAGCTTGGGAGGCGAGGCTAGGAGCTTTCCCTGAAAGCTCTCGGACTCTTCCTGCTAGGCACGCTCGCGATGCCCAGCCGGGCGGTGCACGACGCGTCGCCCGTGGCGACGAGGATGCCGGCGGCGATGCTGTTTGTGCCTTCGGTGGGCGGCGTCTCCCACTCGTTTGATGAGCACACGCACGACAAGGACCTCGCCCTCGGGGCGCGCGCGTTCGTGGGCGCCGCGGCCGGGATTGTGTTGCAGCAGTGCGCGGCGACGCCGCCGGAGCTTGGACGCGTGTCAACTGTAATTCCCGCATGAGATCCCGACGACTGTGTGTTGACACTCGACTGAGCCGTAGCTCCCGCGTACCGTGTAGAAAAAAAACTGTTCAGTTTTCGAAGGCAAAAACGCCAGCCTGCGCCCTCCCCTCACACTGACACTTCTCCCCTATTCCCATCTTCAGGTTGCGCACACATCTCCCAGCGAGCTAGGGGATCTCCGCGTTTTTTCTCCCCTAGTCATCCGCCCGCGCCGCGCGCCATCTATGGGCGACAAGTGCAGCCACTGACCGAACTATTCCAAAGGAGTGGTCGACGCCTCGCCTGAAGTCGGGTGGGCTCGCGCACACTGCTTAGCCCTAGGAGAGGGGTGTGTGTGAGGTGGTGGAATGGTAAGGTTTCAGGCCACGGGGGTGGGGTATTTGGGGGATGAGTCAGGAGCCAGCAGCCTTCCTACTGGTCCTGAGTTCACAGCTCTTCCGCCCGACGGGGTGGTCCCTTGGATTCGGGCCCCGCTCCCTTTTCCTGCGCCTGGTCTGTCCCTGTCATGTGCGTTGCGAGATGCAGAGCTGGTTAGCTGTAGCACAAAGCTGGTGGAGCACTGTCTGGTTAGGCTGGAGAGCTGTTAGGCTGGGGCACAGAGCTGGTTAGGCTGGAGCACAGAGCTGGTTAGGCTGCTGGTTAGGCTGGAGCACAGAGCTGGTTGGGCTGGAGCACAGAGCTGGTTAGGCTGGAGCAGAAAGCTGGTTAGGCTGGAGCGCGGGCGGCGGCGGCCGGCGAGGGCATCGCAAGCAGGCGAGAGGCGGCCGCGGGGCGTCGAGTGGCGCGATAGGAGGGTAGGCTGGCCGTGGGGGGGCGCCGCGTGGCCTCGGCAACGCGTACCGTGTAGAGTTAGAGCGTGCAAGCTGTCCTGGAGACTGGAAAATCTCTGCCCCCCGCGGGATGCCCGGAAGGGGTGGAGGGTGACCGCTGTTATATTTGAAAACACACATTCAAACACGTGTCTATAGAGAAAGAATCGCCGCTCTCGTCTAAAAAGTAAAAGACTAAAGAGTACGCGTCGTCAGTGTATATGTGAGCATTGTTCTTGGCGATAGAGGGTAGACAGCGTCCTAATCTAAAATCTGAGGATTCAGGATTGAGGCATCGCTTCAGTGAGGCCAAAGTGAGTTTATGGATGTGTGAGAACGGTACGGGACACGAGGAAGCACGCGGACCGACTCGTCGGCGACTCTGCTGCACGGCGTTTCAGAATTTTTCTCAGCGTGAGCGAGACGTGGAAGAGTGCCACCGTCGCCCGAAACGCCGCATGTACCTCTTGCGAGCCAAAGATCGACTCGCATGTCGATTTCGACTTGACGGCAGCATGGAGGCATCACGTCTCCATGCTGCCGATTGGCGAGAAAACCGGAGCGTTTCTCTAATCTATTCAGAGCATACACGTACACGCGCGGGGCGACACATTCCGACCAAGCACACCGGCCTCCAGACATGATCCAAACACTTCCACTCCTAAAGTACTCTCACGATTGCTCTGCGTACACGCATTACTCTCGCATCTCGCAGTCGAGACTCTCTCGTTCACCCGATCTGCTGCATGATCTCGCGCATCCGCACGAGCGCGCGCCGCAGCCGGTCACTCGTGCTGCCCACCTCGAGCAGCGGCTGAACCGCGTCGTCGGTGGCCACGCCGATGACGCCCCACACGGCGTAGCTCAGCCTCTGTGCGCGGCGGCGTGCCGAATAGTGCGCGTGGTCGACGGGCACAAAATGGACCTAACGCGCGCACACACACACCCGCGGCGCGTGACTCCAGTGTGCGGGGGTGGGGGGGTGGGGTGTGGGGGGTGGGGGGGCGTGGGGGGCGTGGTCGAGGGAGCGCGCACCCAAGAGGAGAAAGAGTCGCCCTCGCCGTCTGCCTGCGCCGCCTCGTACCGCTCACGCAGCTGCGCCTACGGGACGTGTCGCCGACAACGTCGTGGAGAGTCTCGACCCGTCCGTCCGGCGGGAGGCCGTCGTCGGCGCCCCCATCTTCGCGAGCTCGAAGTCGACGGGCCAGCCGCCCGCCTCGGGGGCGGGAGGCATCAGCCCGATGAGCTGGCTCGGCACGGGCACCTGGACACCGCAAGGACAACGGTCGAGGTCGAGGGGGAAATGGGGAAGGGGAGGTCTCTCCCCCCCTGCAATGGTCCCTTCTGTGATGGTCCATGGATCTTGGGCGCCACCCCACAAAACGACACAGAAGCGCGGCACGTCTGTGGGTGGAGAACGGGGCACCTGCTGCCCCTTGCCGCGCAGCCTGGCGATGGTGGCGAGGAGCCGGTCGAGCTCCAGCCACACCTGCGGCGGGCGGGCGGGCGGCGGTCGAATGCCGCGAGAGCGCACGATGCCTGGGCCTGGCGGGCGGTGTCCATGCGCCCGTGTGTGTGTGTGTGTGTGTGTGTGCGTGCGAGCGCGGTAGGGGAATGCTGTCGCGGCAAAGGAACGCTGTCTTCCGCACAAGCCCGCGTGGCGAGATTGCGCGACGGCCAGCACACTCGCCTGAATCTCGAGCGCCGCGAGCGCGCGCGCCGCCTCCGCCGCCGCCTCCGCCGCCACGGTCGCCGCCTCCTCCGCCGCCGCGCCCGCCGCCGCCTCCTCCGCCTCCTCCCTCGCCCGCTCGATGGCCAACTCGACCGCCTCCCGAACGGCCGGAGCGCCTGGAGCACAGCGCCCGGCGTAAAGAGCCGCCGCCCACGCCTCGAACTGACCCCCCCAGGCGGGCGCCGCGCCCGCGTAAAAGTCGCCCCGCCCCTCTGCCTCGTCGCCGCAGCGCTGCTCCTCCGCCTCCCACCGCGGCAGTCCGAGCGCGTCCTTGTAGCAGACCGGCCGCAACCCTCCGGGCGTGAGGGGCGTGCGGCCGAGCGCCGCCTGCAGCGCGGCGGGCTCAGCACGCGCGGTGGACTCGGCCAGGCGCGCGTCGACCTGCGAGAGAAGCGCACCAGGTTCTCTCCTGGCCACATTACGTACTCAAAGGGAAGGGGGGCAGAGGAGCGTGACTTGATTGAGCAGGAGCGGGACTGCGCTGTGGCGCGCTCTTCCACCTGGCAGAGGCTGAGGTGCATCGAGAGCGACAGGTTGGCGTGCTCGTAACCGCGCCAGTGCGCCTCCTCTGCCGCCGACGCGGCGCACGTCAGCCGGCGCTGCAGCTCGTGCAGGCGGTGCGTGCCTGCAGGGCATGGCATGGACTCGTCCTGGACGTGTCGCGTGTCGCGCCGCAGCCCGCGCCGTCGTGCGTGCCGTCCGTCTTCTCGGACCAGCCCGATGCCGCGAGGAAGCGGCCGGCGAGGCGCGCGCTCGAGAGCAGCTGCTCCTCGTCCGGGAGGATGGCAAAGTCTGCGCGTGCGTACGGCAGCGTCTGCGTCGCGCGGAGGGCGTAACCGCGGGCGAGCCCCTGCACGAGGAGGGTGAGTCGCGAGTCCGCCTCGCGCTGCACGGCGACGACCTGCGGCAGGGTAGGGGAGGGTGGTCGGGTGGAGAGGGCTCGGGCGGAGATTCTCGCGGCTGTGATTGGGCTTACGACTCCATGGCCAAGCGACTCCACGTAGCCCAACCACGCAAGCCCAATCACACAGTCTCTCTTTCTCCGCCTCGTGGCGAGGACGCTCTGTCTCTCCGCCACGCCGCGCGCACACCTGCATGAGCGTCCCATGCAGCGCGGCGCTCGAGTCGGGCCGCAGCTCGTAGTCTGGGTTGTCGAGGTTCTTGATGCCGCCGGGCAGCTGCAGGTGCGCGTACCTGATCACAGCGCGGCGTGTGAAACGAGGCCGCCAGGTTGGCCGGGCAGCTGCAGGGGCGCGCACAGCCATGGCTGTGGCTGCGCCAGCAGCTTCTCGAATAAGAGCGTGTACTGCGGCTGGAAAACATTGAGCACTGTCCGATGGTGGGGAAGCATGGCCACGGACCAACGGGTCGCTGGGAGGTCGAGATGAACGCCCACGCGCGCAGCATCGCGCGTGGCGACAACAGGTGTGCGTGGCAGTAATTTCTCCGACGGAGGAACCTCCTCCGATACGGCCAGGAAGGAGCGGCGGATGGCCGAGAGGGCAGCGTTGCGTTCGGCATTGTCGCCGTTGCTCAAGTCTCCGCCTGGAACGGCCGTCATGCGCACGAGGCGGTGCGCTCTAGGGGGCGAGGCGGTCGAGCCTGGGCTCAGCACCACCGCGATGGTGGCCACGGCAGCTGCCGTGAGGAGCATCGGGCCCGTTTTGCCGTGATCTTGAAGCCGTATCGGCCGTGCACCTCGAAAGGGCCGTCTGCAGAGAACCTTCCTGCAATCATCAACCGGCATTGCTCAGTTTCTTTCCCCCCTTCTTTTCTCCGCCTAAGGTTCCTCGAATGCTTGTTAGAGCCGAATGGGGGGGGAACCCGGCCATCAGATATCGAAAAGACCCGCCCTTTTGCAGGGTGGTACTCAACGCGGCCAAAGGATGATACCTGCAGGATACTCGAGTATCTCGAGAACCTCGAGAGCGCCGCTGTGGTCCCGCACAAGACGTTAAAACTACATTAAACGTCCGTCCCGTCGTGATAACTTCCGTCGCCTTTGATGAGCGACGCGTACCCCGTGAGCGAGCTGCCGCGCCCTGCCCGCACAAAGGCCGACAAGACGAGCAAAAAGGCAGCGCTCACGGTCGAGGCCGCTCAGCCCAGCCCCGCTCCGCGGCACTACCGCGCGCTCCTACTCGCCTTTCTCGCAGGAGCCTTGGCTCTCGCAGGGGCGGGCGCAGGCCTCTTCCATGCCGAGTACGCCACAGTGCTCAAGAGTGAGCCGAGCCGTGTGCCGCGCACGGGCGCCCCGCGCGTGCCGGATGCTCCCCTGTGGCTATTGCCAGCACGATCGGCCCTCCACGTTCGACGGCGCTAGCTTGGGCGTATCCCTGAAACGCTGACCCTCCATAATGTATTCAGGGATTGGACTGAGCCTGGTGATGTCGGGTGTTGCAGTCGGGTGTGTCGTATGAGACTTCAAACGCCACGCCAACGCCGTCGGTTGTACTGCATGAGGTTTCGCGCGAAGGGGAGACGATCTGTACGCGGGCCGATATAGCTAAAGCGAGGTCACACGATCTGACTCTGGGCCGAGGTCGCTGGTGACACACGTGCGGCCCCGACACGGCGGCGGGGTTGTGTCATGGGCTGGTTGGCAAAAGCAACCGCCTACGACTACGTGTACCAGCGTAACTCACTACTCACACACGCGCCGACCACACGCGCCGAGAGTCAGGCCGCTAGAGTGTGTGGCCGCGGGGAGGTGCGGGGTCGCGGGGACAGACCTTTGAAGATTGAACACCGGCGAGAGATTGTTTGTCCAACGTGTTCTTCTGTGTCCAGCGTTACACGAGGGAGTTTTGGTGTGTAAAAAATCTCACCGGACGGGGACGTTCAAACATCGTGTCGTGAACACACGTCACCGACGCGCTCGTCGCGCGTCTTTACACACTTTCGGCCGGCTTTTTAGCTCTGGCTGCCCTTCTCTCGCGCCGGCGCCCCAGGCACCCTGGCGCCGTGCGATACATCCGCAGGCTTTTGAGTTTTGTTCACCCCTGCTCTCTCCGCAGGTTTTTGCTCACACCTGCTCCTCAGTCTCACTCCCAATACGTGCATCACTTTTTTGTGACGGTGTCACAACTTTGATCAAGCATATCTCGATAACTACCGTCGACGCTTGATCAAAGTTGTGACACCGTCACAAAAGTGATGCACGTATTGGGAGACTGTCCTCCTCTCCTGAATGCATACCTACGGAGATTGCATAGCCGAATGTCTTGATGATGTGGTGCCTGAGCCCTGGCTGTCAGGCTGTCAGGTGCTGTCAGGTGATCTGTCGGGCTGTCGGGCAGCTGTCAGGCACTGTCAGGTGCCTCTGTCAGACCAGCTGTCGGGTGCTGTCAGTGCTGTCGGGTGCTGTCGGGTGCGTGTCTGACATCAGAGGGGCTCTGTAGCTGTCGGGTGCTGTCAGAGCTGTCGGGTGTTGCTGTCAGACGCTGTCGGAGCTGTGTCAGAGCTGTCAGGCTGCTGCTGCTGTCAGACGTTGGGCTGTTGCTGTCAGGTGCTGTCAGGTGGTGCTGTCGGGGTGCTGTCAGGCTCTGACACACACCAGCCACACTTATGACATTATCAAGAGGAGACCAGCAGGACTCTGCTGCACATACTCTAGTCTCTACTCTGCCTCCGGTCCCACCATCTTCTTCATGGTGGACGTCACCATTCTTGTCTGCCGCACTGAGAGAATAGCAGAGAGGCAGGGGGGAGTGCTTCTTCAGGTACACCTTGCTGATGATCTGGTAGTTGCTGGTCCAGCGGAAGGCCTCCCCATCGTTGTCGCTCGTCAGCTTGTAGTACTTGCACGCTCTGTTCTGGTAGCGCGCGGCGCGCGTCTACCGTGCCGTCGGCGACGGCCACCTGCTCGATGTTGCGAATGGCAAAGACCTTGGAGCTGTCCTCCATGGTGAAGAGCACCGCAACTGCGGAGAGAAAGAGAAGAGGGAGAGATGAGAATGCACGTCTTATGTGTGTGTGTGACAGGCGGCAAGGGCGTGGTCACCGTCATCATCATCCATGTAGAAGTCGAGCTCCTCATCCACATCCTCGCCTCGCTGCTGATGGGACTTGATGAGCCGCTTGACGTGGAAGCGGAGCTTGCGATCCTTTGACTCCTCCTGGATGGAGACGTTGAAATCTGCCAGCAGCTTACGGATCTCCTCAAAAAACTCTGCGCTGCTGCCCTCCTCGCCGCCGGTTGGAGGCGCCACGTTGGCCCCCGTCCGCATCAGCTGGTTCAGCACGGCCTCGGCATCTGCAGCATCCTGTGCGCCCATGGCGGTCAGCTCGGCCGGCTCAGCATCGGGTGTGCCGTTTGGATCATCCTCCTTCTCTCCCAGCTCCTCCAGCAACGCGCCACCCTGGACATAGGTGTCAGCCAGAGGAAAGTGCAAGCACGGCTGCTTGAAGAAGCCGGTCTGTGCACAGAGGTTGGCGCGGACTCCACAGAATCGAAGGCGCGGACCACATACACATGTCTTTGCATGTAATAGTTTTGCTATACCCTCATGGGACACAAGAAAGAGGCTGCACGGCCTGAGTACGGTCTGTGCTGCTGTCGGGCTGGTCGGGCTGTCGGGCTGTCAGCGCTGCTGTCAGGCCACTGTGTGCTGTCGGGCTGTCGGGCAGCTGTCAGGCCTGACAGCAACGGGACGCCTCTGATGTCAGGCTCTGCTGTCAGGCTGTCAGAGACGTGCTGTCAGACTGTCGGAGAAAGTGCTGTCAGCGCTGTCAGGCTGTCGGGCACTGTCAGGCGCTGTCCGGGGTTTGCTGTCAGGCTGTCAGACCAGGGCTCAGTGTGTGGTGCTTTATGATGCGATCCAACTGATGTTCCAGCATCACAACAGAGTACGCAATGGTTGAGATGTACGGCTTGGCTACATCTGAGTTTTGCTGGTCGTGTGTAGCCGCAAGTAAGCGCCGTGCTCCGTGTGCCACTAATGATGGCAGCGCAGATGTGGCAACAGGAGGAGGACAGATACAGCTAACAGAATAACAGATGAGAGATGTGCAGCAGAGTCATCGGTGTGTGGAGATGGTGGAGAAAATAAAATATTCTTACCTTCAAGCCCCCCTCCGAGACTAGGGACAGAACCCACCCGTACACAGGAGAGATGGGACTGCGCCTCGCCCCCACTTGCCCTGACTGCACAGGATTGCGTGCCCCGAAGACGGCGACACATAGCGGGGGACACTGCGCAAGGAGGGGGTGCGAAGCCAAGGTTGGGGTTCTAGGTGGTGGGACCATGAGGGGGGGTGGGCGGGGTCCTGTGGGGGTGAAATGTTGCGCGGCGAATTCGAACCTACCCCCTCGCCGCGCCGATCCTCACGCGGAGGGTAAAACCCTGTGGGACAAAACCCCTCCGCGGTCGGCTGTCTTCAGAGTGGACCCCCCCCGTGGAGATGGTGGAGATCGTAGTCTATCATATGCGAGCGAGGGGCAAGAAGCTTCATCGCGCGAGGTCGCGGGAAGGAATGACCAAATGATTTACTGAATCTCTCTCCAAATATACCATCAATCATCATCGCCGGCCGACGGCCCGCGTCTTCTTCTTCGCGCGGCGGCACAAAAAGAGAAACAAATACCGCCGAAAGCCAAGGGAGGGGTGGGAGGACGGCACGCCAAGGGATTTTAAGGCGAGTGTGGTCCTCGCCGACCCGTCGCGGCGGCAGTGCTCGCGTTTTTGCCCGGCCGCGCGCAGCGCTAATCGGGCGTCCTTTGCTCCTCCGCGAGCTGTATAGGGGCGCAAAATCTACGAATTAGATGCGTCAAAGATGCAGTCGGCCCTCGTTCGAATGGCGGCGGCGCCGGCGCGCAGCGCCACGCCGCCAGGCGTCCGCCGGAGGCTCCCCGGCCGACACATCCCGGCAAGCTTGCCGCGCGCAGCGCCCCGCGCCGCAGGCCCGCCGGAGGCTCCCCGGCCGACACACTCCGGCTGCTCTCGCGGGCGCGGGAGCGCCGGTGCGCCCGCGCCACGCCACTAGGCGTCCGCCGGGGACTCTCGCTGCGGCCACACCCCGGCAAGCTTGCCGCGCGCAGCGCCCCGCGCCGCAGGCCCGCCGGAGGCTCCCCGGCCGACACACCCCGGCCGTATTCGCTCGTCCACTCGCCCTTCTCGCGCCGCTCTTGCGCACCTCTTGCGCCCCCCTCTCCCCCGCCGGCCCCGAGAGACTTGGCACGTACCCCCCGCCCCCGCCCCGCCCCCGCCCCGCCCCCGCCCCGCCCCCGCCCCGCCCCCGCCCCGCCCCGCCCCCTCCCCCCTTTGACGCCCGGCAAATCCCTTGTGTTCCAAATCGTGGCAGTTGAGGTCGCGGCGTCCTCTGCCCCCCCCCCCCCCCCGGGCTGCCCCCCCCCCCCCCCCCCTCGCCCCTCGCCCTCTAGCCGCCGCCCTCACCGCCCACACCCACCCACCCACACCCACACCTTAGCCAGTTGCGGCGGCCTCCGCAGGTGCGGACGACTGCGCGACCTTTTGCGCCAGACGCCAGTCGCGGCAGATAGATTCTCGCCGGCGAACATTCTCGCTCCTGTGGGCAGTTCTCCGCATCCCGGGTAGAGCGAGCTCCCGAGGTGCTACCCGCTGCGCGCATTGGACTCCAAGTCGATACGAGCGCGCCGCGCGTTGAGCACGCGGCGCGCTCGCATCGATTCGCCACTTCCAGCGTGAGGGTGTATAAACCAAGCTGCAGAAACGAGCTTTTAGTGCTTATGAGCATAAGCACTGGATTCTCATGCGCGCGGAGCGCGCCGGTGCTCTACCCGGACACGCGCGGAGCGCGCTAGCTGGACACCGCACGCGCGGAGCGCGCTAGCTAGACACACACGCGCGGAGCGCGCCGCTGCAGAACACGCGCGGAGCGCGCCGCTGCATGGGTAGGCGCGGAGCGCCGCCACTCGAGATTGGGCCTGTGGGTGGGCCGATTGGTTCTTAAGCGTGTGAGTCAAACTCTTAATAGAAATCGCATCTAGCCCTCCACAACCCTCAAAATTTTCTTCGGGGCGCGCTCCGCGCGCGGCGCTCCGCGCCTACTCCTTGAGCGTCATAGGCACTGGTTCGCACATGTTCTGCAGCTTGGTGTATAAATAGCTTCAAAGAAGGACCAAGCGCACCAGCGACACAAGGGACTGTTCTACTAATCAAAACCCGCCCTCAAGGGCTGGGAATGCTGCGCTCCCACGCCACCCCCCGCGAGCCCCCGACCGCCCGACGGCGCGGCCGACCCCGCGAATTCATCGCTCATCGCGGGACGCGGGGGCTCTCTCGGCTCTACGGACGGCCTACGGGACCGGCCCCAGCTTCGGCTGAGGGCTGAGGTAGAGCCCGACAAGCTGCCGAGCCCGAAGGAGGTGGGCGTGGGCCGTGGGAAGGTGGGGTGGTCCTCACCCCGGCGGCCCGCGCACGCACGCCGTCTGAGCCTAGCGCAGCGCGAACTCGCTCTGGGCCTAGCGCAGCGCGAGATTTGCGCAGCAACCCGGCCGGGCAACCGTTTAAAAAAACTTATTTTTGGTGAACCACAGCTCGCGGCGTCTCGCCTTGCTCACGTAGAAGCACAACCCCGGATCCGCCTTGCTCCCTCCTACCACGAAACTTTGGCAGGCGCCCGAATGGACAACGCCGAGGACATCCGCCACATCCACGGCTTGCTTCGACAGCTGCGACATCTGTGGGGCGTACTTTGCTGCGTCCTTGGTGCCCTCGCCGGTGGGTTCATCCTTTGCTTGCGGATCAGCGTGCAGCAGACTCCCACCACCACCTCACCACCTCCGCTTTGGAAGCCAGCTGTTAATGCTCCTCCTCCTCATCCCACTGGCGATGCAGGTCTCCTCCCTCTCCCTCTCCCTCGCCTCGGCTCCTGAGCTCGGCCCACCTGTCTCGCTCACTCTCTATCTCCGATCCGCGGCACTGCCCGCCTTTTTGTTGCAGGACTGGAGCCTCATCTCCTACCTCCAGCCGCCCGCCACCATCTTGGCCGCCTGCGGCGCGGTCGATACCGTCACGAGCCAGTGGGAGAACTCGCCGCGCTCCCAGCGGAGCTGAACCGACGATCTCCGCTGCAGCCGAGTTGATGGCGACGAGTCAGGCGGTCGGCTCGGGGTCGCCCTGCTCGTGCTGGCGGCATCCCCCCTTTTCCCCCCCGGGCAATGCGGCCAAACAACTCCGATCGCCGACGGTTCAGCGGAGGAGCCGATGCAGCCCGACGGCGGTGCAGGCCAGCGCAAGCGAGCTAGCCGGCAGGGGCGGCGGGGCGGGGCCGACCCGTCGCGTGGCCGGGGTTCGGTATCTCTCTTCACGCGCGGGGGGACAGCAGAGATCTTCTTTGTGAGTGTGGATAGAGGACAGGGGGCGATCCGGTCGTGGTCGGTGTCGCCGGTGCGCAGGCTCGCACACGAGGATCGGAGGATTCCGCGCGGAGGTCGAATGCGGAATGGTCGTTGAGATCGGCAGAGAGCCGCGCCGGGGGGGGCAACTCTTTCCGCGGGAAAGGGACGCAAACACACTATTTCTTGCAACGGATTCTGTGTTTCAGTAATCGATGCTAATTGCTAAAGCGACATCCGACAAATAAACAGAAATAAGAGCAAAGTACTACCGTTCTGTCCACGCTGAGACGCATATCCCGGGGCGGCACAGCCCGGGCGTCGTACTGGGGGCCATGGGCGGCGCAGACCTGCGCGCGGGTGCTGCTGCCGCCGGCGGCAGCGCGGCCGCGAGCGTTTGATGTCCAGGAGCCAGTCTCGAGACATGCCGTGTCCCCTCCGCGCCCGCGCGGGCGAGTAGCGACAACCTGCCAACCCACACCCACCCCTCCCTCCGCCTCTCCCTTTGGCCGCGCTACGAGTTGGTGCCGTCCCACTCGCTACCCGCGAGCGCGGTCATCTTCTTGATGCCCTCCTCGAGCCGCAAGCACTCTGGCGAGCCCTCCGACACCAGGCATTCTTCGAGGAGCTGGAAGTCCGAGGAGCTCGCCAGCGTGCCGGACCGCGCGAGCTTAGCCGCCCACCGCTCGGCGAACTTGGCGGTGTCGCCGCCAAATGCGGAGGCGGCCTCGCGCACCTCGACTGCCGCGGCCTCGAGAGCCACCTTCTTGCTGGCAGTCGCGCTAACCGGGGCGCCGTCCCAGGCGGAGGGATCGACGTCCATCATCACGAGGTCACGCAGGCGCGAGGAGCTGCGGCCAAACACCGCGCGACGGAGCGGGGACGGCCGGGTGCCGTAGGTAGCGGCAGCCTCACGCACTTCAGCCGCCGAGGACTTGACTGCGGCCGCCGGCTTGAGTGCGACCTTCTTCTCGCCGCTGAAGACAACGCGGCGGAGCGGAGAGGGACGGACGTGCGCGGAAGGGCGTGCCGAGACGGACAGCGAGACGGCCACGAGGAGGAGGAGGAGGCGCATTTGCGGGCAAAGCTTTTGAGTGGCCCAGTGATAGAGTGTTGATGAGCGAAGAGGACTTGTCGGCCGACAGAAAACTCTTTTCTCTCTCTCTCTTTAGGGAAGGGCGGGAGGGCCCTGGCGAGTAGAGACCACGCCTCACTTTTTCACAGGGGGGGATCCGTCGCGCATGCCCGAGCCCTCGGGCGAGGGCTTGTGCTGTGAATAGCAGGCGTGGCTCTACTCGCCAGGGGAGGGCCCCTCTCTCTCTCTCTCTCCAAAAGGGCCCGGCCAAAAGGATTTCTTTCATCTTCACGCCAAAAACCGCCGGTGTGTGTCCCGCAGCGGCCTCGCTGGGCCAGAAAGTCGGCCCGCGAGTCGGCGAGTGCTCCGCGGCAGCCTCCCTGGGCCAGAACGTCGGCCGGCCCGCGAGGTGGATGCTCACACACACGAGCTACACAAACAACAACTCTAACACTCACACGTCATTTGGGGCCTGGAGCCCCTGCAGACTGAAGTTTATGGTGGTGCCCTGTTTGTTGTTGGATGCTAGCATGACCATGAGCGATGAGCCCGATGAGATTTTAGAAAACCAACCGATGAGTCGCAGTGCTCTTGCGTTTCGGCGGTAGTGATCTAATCACCCGAATGCCACGTTCGGATCGCTTCTCATCGCAAACCCCGTCAGCAGTCCCCCTCCGGGAATGTTCGTTACAGCTACGGACATAAAAAAAAAAGCGCCAAGGGGCGCAGCGCCGACAATCACGGCGGTGATTGCGGCGCAGGTGGGGGGACGGGAAGTCCGTCGGCGTTGCCGGGGGCCCAAGGAAGCGCGAGGGAAAAATTCCGCCGCTGAGGGCGCTCGTGCGGCAATAGCCGGGTGGAGGGGGAGCGTGCCGGACGGGGCGTCGTCGCGCCGTCCGATGGTCTGCTGCCCCGCGCAGCAACCGTCGGGCGACGACCCGGGGGCCAAAAACCCGGCGACGACGGCGCTCTGGATGGGGCGTGACCTCCTGCCTCCAACCTCCTTCCTTTTTGAGCAGGTGTGACGCCGCGCGAGCGACGCTCCGAGATCGCCCGAGATAGCGCGGCGCGGCCCCGAGATCGCCCGAGATAGCGCGAGATCGCCCGAGATAGCGCGGCGCGGCCCCGAGATCGCCCGAGATAGCGCGAGATCGCCCGAGATCGCGCGGCGCGGCCCGGGGCGGGGTGGATGGGTTGGGAGCGAGGGGGCGGAAGTGATCAGTGCGGTAGAGGGTCAGCTCGAGGCGCGTGAGCCGGACTTGTGAGCCGGACCACCCCCTCTTGTTCTCTGCGTTGTTGAGCCAGGACTCAACATACTCGGGCTGTTGCCATCCCAAACTGTCACTCCCCTTTCTCCCGGCCGGGGTGGGGCGCGCGCGGGGGCGGCGGGTGTGAGGGATGTCTGTGAGCCCGAGAGCGATATGCCATGTCCGCCTTGCGTGTTTTCATAACATCGAAGGCTAAGCTCAAAAAAAAAGGCGCGGCTTACCTCGCTTGATGGCTGCCGGGAGATGAAGCGGGCAGCCCACCACCTCCTCCTCCTGGCCGCCGCGTTGTCCGCTGCATCGCTTGCCACGCCGCCGCGTCCGCTGCGGCCCAACCGTGCGGCTGCGGACGCCCTCGGCGCCGCCGTGCCGTCGCCGCAGCTCGATCCCGCGCTCGTGGCAGAGCTAAGCGAAGCCGTCGCGCCGCCGCCGGGCGAGGCAGCGTCCGAGGCGGCGCTGCTCGACCCGGTCAAATTCGCCTTCAACACCGCCATCGTCGACTCCGTCAAGGGGCTGATTGACCTCGCGTATCCCGACCGGCCCTTTGCCCGCTTCTACGTCCTCGAGACGGCGGGCTCCCCACGGGCGCGAGCGGCGGCGTGCCGCGGCCTCGTCACGGCACGGTGGCGTGCGTGTAGGTGGCGCGCGTGCCGTACTTTGCGTACCTGTCGGTGATGCACCTGCGAGAGACGTGGGGAGAGCGAGACGCCTCTCTGCGCGAGCGGATGCGGGTCCACTATGCGGAGGCGCGAGACACTGCCCACCTTGCCTCAAGACGGTGTAGACACTTCGTAGACGTTCGCAGAAACGCCGCAGACACCTCGTAGACATCCGGTAGGCACCCGGTAGACCCCAGACCCCAGACACCTCCCAGAAGCCCCAGACTCCTCCTAGACACCTCCCAGACACCTGCCAGACACCTCCCAGACACCTGCCAGACACCCTCCCTCCCAGACACCTCGTAAACACCTCACAAACCCTCCCCACACACACAGGCGGACAACGAGCTGCACCACCTGCTCATCATGGAGTCGCTCGGCGGCAACTCCTCTGCCGTCGACCGCGCCGTTGCGCAGGACAGCCACGCTCCTTCTCACCCCCTCTGACACCGCCTCCCCCCCCTGCACACGCCCAACCTCCCACGGCTCCTCCACCGTCGCGCAGGCCACCGCCGCGCACGCTCGCGCACCCTGCCGCCCCTGCCGCCCCCCTGCCGCCCCTCGGACACCCCCCCCCCCCTCCCTCCAGGGCCTCGCCACCGCATACTACTGGTGGGTCGTCTTTGTCTTTGCGCATGATGAGCGCGCCGCCTACCACCTTAGCGAGCTCGTCGAGGCGAGAGACAGCCGAGAGACAGCCGAGATACAGCCGAGGTGCAGCCGAGATGCGGCCAAGGTGCAGCCGAGGGGCAGCCGAGGGGCAGCCGAGGGGCAGCCGAGGTGCAGCCGAGATACAGCCGAGGTCACGCACTACATCTCCCACGCGCACCGGGCCTTGCACTCTAAATGGGTCTCCTGTCTCTCGGACGCGGGGCTGCACGAGGACCTGCCTGGCCCTCTCCCCGCCCGCCTTGTGTGAGGGGGGGGGGGGGGGAAGCGGACGAAGAGTGACTCAATCCACGGGTTCCTCCACTCGCCCGTAGGACCACGCGTACCGGACGTACGACGCCTTCCTCGCCTCGCACGAGGTCGAGCTGCGGGCGCTGCCGGTGCACATCTCGGCCACATCTCGGCCACATCTCGGCCACATCTCGGCCACATCTCGGCCACATCTCGGCCACATCTCGGCCATCTCGGCCAGGTCTCGGCCAGGTCTCGGCATAGACTAGATTCCTCCGCGCGACAAAGCAGGAGAGACTCGGAGCCCTGCTGGAGCCCGCCTGCAGGTGCCCGAGGTGGCGCGCCGGTACTACGAGCAGGAGAACCCCTTCCTGTTCGACTTGCTCTGCACGATCGGCGACGGGGAGGAGGAGGCGGCGGCGGAGGCGGCGGAGGCGGAGGCGGCGGAGGCGGAGGCGGCGGCGGGGCGGGGGAAGGGGCGCGCGAAGAGCAGTTGGATCCAATGGACCTATCGCAAGTGGGCTGGGGGGGCGGGGCCGCTCGAGCCCGCCGCCGCCGCCGCTGAGCCCGAGTGCCCGCGGAGGCCGCGGCTGCGCTCGCTGTACGACGTCTTTGTCTGCGTGCGCAACGACGAGCGCGAGCATTGGGGCGCGAGACATCTCCCCCCTCCTTTCCCGCCTCCCCTCCCCTCTCCCTCCAGCGGACACCCGGGCTGCCTCCCCTCCCCTCCCCCTCCACAGGCGCGATGAGCTCGCTCGTGTCGACGGGGACCGTGCGCGCCGCCGGCGCCGCCGGCGTCTCTTCCACCCGCCCGGCCGCCGGCACGGGGCTGGGCGCGTGGCTTGCGCCGTACCTGTCCAGGACGACGCCGCTGCCGCCCGGCCCGGTGGACGGAGGCCTCCGAGGGCGGCAGTAGCGGCTGAGTGTTGGGGCAGCGCCAAACCTCGCGACAGCCGACATTTTCGACGGTGCTGTGGTGGCGTGCGCCGTCGGTGGCGGTGCCGGTGGGCGGTGGCGGTGCCGGCTTTTGGTCCGTTAGCTTCCGCGTTCTGGTGGGCCAGTGCGAGCGCCACCCCCGGATACGCGCATTTCTGTTTCTTTGTCGTAGGTATATTCTTTGTTGATTTTTTGTGCCTCCCACCCAGCAAAGGAGACAAAACTTTTGGAGCACTTGGAGCACTTGGAGTGCAGTCATCAACCTCACATCCAGGGCCGGGTTCCCACTTTAGTACTCGATAGCGGTCACGCCGTAGCTCGCGCATAGGAGCAGGAGGCTAGGCAGAGGCCGCATCGCGTTCGCTGAGCTGTAACAAGTTTGATCCAAAACAAGAACACAAGTTTGACTCTACTAATATAGCGCGCGGATAAAGCGCGCGCGCCGCGGTGGCGGCGAAATATAATATTATCTCAGAGGAATATAGTGTGAATGCCCGGGAACAGCCCCTCCTGGCCCGAGTGCGGGGCGCGAGGGACAAATAAATTCAAAGGGCATGAAATTCGTCGAGCTGCTTGATCAGGCCAGTAAAGATGGCCCGCGAGGCAGCCTTCGTGAGTAGGTCGGCGAGCATCACGACGCCGGGGAGGTGTTCGACAGAGATAACGCCACGGCTGACGAGATCGCGAAGAAACTCGGCGGCGCGCAAGATGTGCTTGGTCTTCTTGAAGGCAACGGGATCGAAGGCCATGCCGACGGCGGACTTGCTGTCGCAGTTGATGACGCTGGCGCCGTCGATGGAAAATCCAAGGTCGATCAGTAGCTCACGGATGAAAATCACCTCCTTGGCGGCTAGCATGGCGCCGAAGAACTCTGCCTCGGCACTAGACAGCGTGACGGATCGCTGCATTTTGGAGAACCAGTGGAAGAGACATCCGTAGAAGAAGAACATGCCACCGGAGCAAGAATACTTCGTGGCCCAGTTTGAATCGACGTAGCTCTCAAGGTTGCGGTTGGAATTCGGCTGCATGACGAGGGCGCGGTCAGCTGTGTCGCGCACGTAGATAAGCACCCGGATGGCGGCTTTAAAATGCGACGGGCCAGGGTTCGTCATAAACCGAGCAAGCTGAGACGCGGAATAAGCAATATCGACGCGCGTCATATTGGCAAGCCACAGTAGTCCGCCGACGATGGCCATGTAGGCGGTGCGGAATTCGGACATCTCGTCGTATTCAACAGATCCAACGGCGGGCTGATCGTAAGTTGAGAAGCTTCCGAAGGAAGTCGCGATAGATGCTGACGCAAACGATTGCATACGGGCACCCAAAGGAGATGGTGGTGGTAATAGGTGTCCAAATGAAGCAAACAGTTTTGACAGTAGTGCTGGTGATGACCTCAAAGGCGACGAGGCATGCATACCTGGCGAAGTATAGGAGGGATCGCACGAAATCGTAGATTGCAAAGCCCCAAGCAACGAGCAGGATGATGCCGCATATCGCAAGTGCAGCTGGCGCAAGGCAAAAATACCAGTCAAAGACCCACTTGATTTGAATGCCCAGGTTGATGATCAGTAGCTTGGTATTTGCACCATAGTGTCGCAATCCGTACCACGCTTTGACAATCATAAGGCTGCTCATGGTCTGGTAAGCAAACAGGTCGCCAATTGTCAGCGCACTTGTCAGCAGGGAGTACGCAAGGAAAAGGAACCCAACGAGAGCAAAGCAAAGAAAGAATGGCCAGATCATTCCCATCCATGTGGACTGTACCCGAGCGCAATTCTTGTTTGAGAACATATAGTTCCAATGGAGCTCGTATTTGACCCAATCGCGCTTGCCGCGTCGCCGAAAGTGATCAAGGCAAAGGGCTTTCGCAGCATCGGTGGTTCCATGGAGTGGCCAGATGATACCACATGTCCCATTGTTGAAGGGCACTACCTCTGTCCCACTGCTCAAGGTCTCATGGTGCAATGCCTCTCCTGCACTCGGCGTGTCCGAGTGGTCCCGGGGAAGGACTTTCTGCCAAGGTGTAGGGTCAAATGTAGCGTTCCACGGTGAAACATTTTGGAGGCAAAGGAAGCCGTTCCCGTCGCATTGACCCAGAAGAATGGGCAGCATTGAGTAATCCAGCAAAGGTGGCGGCGGCATGTGTGTCGCAGGCTTCCTATGGGGCTGGGTTGTCGCAGCAAGAGTCCCGTGCCTCGTGAATTGTAGCGCCATCGTATTGGGCCATGAGTGCACCTGTATCGCGGGGCTGCGGAGGGCCAAAAATTCAGATTGGCCGCAGTGGGTGGATAAGGCCTCAGGAGCCGACTGTAGCGCGTGCTCCATCGCCTGGGAGGTAGTGTGAGTGGAGGCACACATGTCCTCAAGGTGTTCTGACCCAAGTTGCCAATTTATCGATAAATCTTTGAGAAATGAATTGTCGATGCAAATGGCGGGCTCGAACGTGCTCGACGAGACCGACTGGACCCATTGTTCAGATCCTTCGGCTCGATTGGGGTTGTGCTCGCACACGCCAGGCGCCCAGGTGGTGGCTGACATACATGGTGCAAGGCTTGTCCATGGTGGAGGTGCCATGGTGGTCGACGCTGTCATGTCGCTGGTGGTGTCGGCCTCGGCGATGCAGTAGTCGAGGCCGTTCTTCCCGGTAGAGAAGTCATACTCGATAGCGGTCACGCCGTAGCTCGCGCATAGGAGCAGGAGGCTAGGCAGAGGCCGCATCGCGTTCGCTGAGCTGTAACAAGTTTGATCCAAAACAAGAACACAAGTTTGACTCTACTAATATAGCGCGCGGATAAAGCGCGCGCGCCGCGGTGGCGGCGAAATATAATATTATCTCAGAGGAATATAGTGTGAATGCCCGGGAACATTAGTTCTTAGCAACCCCTTATTGAGAAGAAAATACCTCTCGTGGCGCTGTGCGCTGGCCTTCACACAGGGGCACTCACTCACAGCAACGCCGCCAGCAGCGCGACGCGCTCGGCCTGCTGAGAGAAGACCTTCCCGGACGGCAGTACCTCGAGAGAGAGAGAGAGAGAGAGAGAGTGTGTGTGTGTGTGTCACCCAAGGCTGCGACGACTGTTTATGCGCCTGCGCCATGCTCGCCGGCTTCATCTCGCCACCGCCTTCCCAGAGTGGCGGCCTCTCGACTTCTTCCACCACGAAATCCTCCACGCCTCACGCAAGGAGGGCTCGCGGGCGCGCGTCGGCCGGCTACACACGCCGCACGGCACCGTGGAGACGCCCGGCTTTGTCGTCGTTGGAACCAACGGTGCGGTGAAGTTCGTCGACCATCATGCCGCCGATGCAGCCGGCATGGAGCTGATGTTTAGCAACACCCTCCACCTAGAGGTGCACCCGGGCCCCGCCGCGGTTGAGGCGGCGGGCGGGCTGCACAAGTTTATCGGCCGTGAGTCGCGCCCGCTCATCACAGACAGCGGCGGCTTCCAAATCTTCTCATTCGCGCACAGAGGGCAGCGGGCAATGCCGGGCGCTGAGGAGGCGAAGGAGGACGGCGAGGACGGCGGCGCCTCGCTCAAGTCGTCGCGTCCATTCCCTGCGCGCCACAAGTACGAGGTCGCCGCGGCGAGCAGCAGGGACGGCCCTCCGCCGCCTCCACGCGTGCGCGTGAGCGAGGACGGCGCGTGATCCCCGCACCGCCACCCACGCCGCCGCCTTCCTCGCCACCCACGCCTCCCACGCCGCTGCCGCCTCTGGCCGCCACCCCTGCTGCCGCCGCCTCCCCAGGCGCCAGCTTCCGCTCGTACCGCGACGGCCGGATGCTGCACCTGTCGCCAGAGTCGACGGTCCGCTCTCAAAAGGCGCTGGGCGCAGACATCATCATTCCGCTCGACGACCTCCCCGGCGCTGCGACCGCCGCGACGTCGCGCTCGAGGCTGGGGCACCGTCCACGACCCGTCCATGACACGTCCTGTAGGCGCTTCGACCGCCGCGGCGCCGCTCGAGGAGTCCGTGGCGCGAACGCACCGCTGGGAGGCACGCAGCCTGCGCGAGCATCTGGGCGACGTGCGGCAGCAGGCCACGTCCCCGACACGTCCCCGACACGTCCCCGACACGTCCCCGACATTTGGGCGGCGTGTGGCAGCAGGCCATGTACGGGGTCATTCACGGCGGCACGGACGAGTGCGCGGCAGCAGGCCGAAGAGCCCGGCAGGGTCCCACGTCACGTCCTCGACCAGAGTGCCATGGGGGGCGCGTAGGCGGCTCCGCTCGCTGTCGGTGGCGACACTGGCGCGGTGGCCCTTCGACGGCTTCTGCGTGGGGGGCTCGCTGGGTCGCGACCGGAGCGAGCTGGCTGCGCTGCTGCGGTACGTGATGCCGCTTCTGCCGCGCGAGCGCCCAAACCACTTGCTCGGCATCGGCGACGTCGAGTCGATCCAGGTGGGGGTGCGGCTCGGGGTTGACACCTTCGACAGCTGCTGGCCGACGCGGCTCGGGCGGCACGGCACCGCGCTCACGCGCCACGGCAGCCTCAAGGTGGGCCAGGCGCGCTACCGCGACGACTACGGCCCGCTCGACGCTTCGTGCGATGGCTTCGTCAGCAGACACCACTCCCGCGCCTATCTGCACCACTTGTGGCGCGCAAAGGAGCCGGCCGTCCACGGGCTCCTCACGCTGCACAACATAAAGTTCATGGCCGACCTGATGGCAGACATGCGCGCGAAGATCTGGCGCGACGAGCTCTAGTGCTTGCTTCGAGGAGACACTTTCGTCACTCACTCTGGCTGCCGGCGTGCCGCCTTCCTCGAGCGCAGTGACCACACAGTGTCCTCTCGGTTGCTCGGCAGTTCGGGGAGACACCGCTCACACCGCGGGGTCGCGCTCTCGCGACACCGAAGAGCGAGCGGCACACACAGCAATTACCGTCAGCGGTTTGTTATAGCGGAGCGTTTTCGCAGAGTACGTGATCGATATCTTGTTGGTTTTCAAAATCTCTCTCTCAAGGGAAGATCACACGCGTCCAGAGCTCCACGAGAGAGAGAGCGCGAGACAACACGTGTGTTCGTGTGAGGCGCTGAGGTGTGTGCATGGGTGTGTGTGTCGTGTGCTGGTCGTGTGCGAGCTGACACAGAGCTGATACCTGCTGGATACACCTGCGCGTGACCGACTAGGTCCAGCCCTGGGTGGCGCAAGATCTGACGTTCTGTGACAATCGTCAGATCCGTGTTTTTCTCGTTGTTTTGTCGCTCGCTCCGCTCGCCACCTCACGCTCGGCCGTCCGGCCTGCACGCCTCGCTGCACCGCTGGCTTGACTGAATCAGGCAGCAGCAGGCTGCTGCTGCTGCCACAGCAGCAGTCTGCGGCCCTATACGCAAGTTAATGACTAGCAGCACTGCCGGGGGCATACGAGCCGCCACAGCCGGTGTGTCCCGTGCACTGCCACCTGCCCGCGGCTACGCACAATGTGCGCTCGCATTGGATGAGCCCTGCTGATGGACCTGCATCGCCTAGCTGCACGAGAGCAATGCCGCAGGCAGTGGCCGTGGCATACACTGCGAGCACACTTGGTGCAGCTGCGAGGTGCAGCAAGAGCACGTCGTTCCTGCCTCTGATGCCACTCTCGCGGCTTGCAGCGCGTCACTCGCGCATGCTCTCCAGGAGCTATGGCGGGCGCGTGTGTGGGGCTGTAGCCTGTGTTTGGCCGGTTCTGACCCGTTTACTATCAGTATCATGTCCGGGCCACAAAAAATGGCACACGGGTAGCGGCTCAGGGGCCCAGTAAGTCGCGGAATCGCCAAATGTCACAACCTGCGCCACCCAGGGCTGGACCTAGTCGACCGGTGGGACCGGTATTGCTCTCACCGTCCTGGCCGAGGGTATTTTATATCGCGATTTTTTTCGAGGTCAGACCCATTCATGCCTGCACCTGGCACCACTGTGGACGGTCCGTCCGACGTCGGGTAACCGTCGCCGCCGCCCTCGCCGCGACTCAAGGTGCGCGCTGCGTGACCGCCGTGAGCTGCCCTCCCGACCCATGTAAAAAAATCCGCCATCTCCCCTCTCAGTGAGCCGGGAGAGCGCTCCGGGCACCTCCGGGCAGCCGTCTCCCCGCCACGAAAGCTCTGCCGAGAGCGCCGTTCCCATGGGCGGCGTTCCCGAACCATTCGTAGGCGCCGCGCGGCATTGCCAATGCTCCATCGACGCGGTGCAGGCGGCCCCAAGCCAAAGGGGTGGACACGTGCCGCCAAGAACGCCTTCCTAATCCACTTTGGTGTGCGCACGGGCGGTACTCCAGTGGACGCCACTGCCGACGGCGCCGCCGCCGAACCGCCCGCCGCCGACCCTCCCACCGAGGAGGTCGACGGAGCTGCAGACCCAGCGATGCAGTCCGAGGCCGCCGCTCCGGCGGCAGAGGCTGACGTCCCGATGGCGCAAGCGCTGAGCGATGCCGAGCTTTCATCAGATCACGAGCACGAGGAGCAGCCGCTGCTCCATGAGCAGCGGCTTGCGACAGTCAACCAGGAGCAGGCACGGCTTGAGGCGCTGCGTTGGACCGAGGAAGAGGTGGCTTTGTGGGTGAGTTGGGGGGGTGTGAAGGAGGACTTGATCTAGGCTGGAGATTGCACGTGGAGCACTTGGAGGCGCTAGAAGGAGTTCGAGGAGGAGCGTGCGGGCTACATGGAGGAGACCTCGTGCGACGAGTCCGAGGACGAGGACGAGGACGAGGGCGACGGCGAGGCACCCGCACCCGCACCCGCACCCGCACCCGCACATGCACATGCACCCGCGCAGCGTGCAGGGAAGCGTAAGGCTGCACCGCCTCGAGCACCGCCGACGCGCCCGCCAGACAGCAGTGATGACGATGGCCCATCATTGCATGCGCCAGCACCGGCGCGGGCAGGGCGGGGGGCCAAGCCGGCAGCCAAGGGGTCCGCACGGCGCAAGCCGCCAGCAGCCAAGCCAGCAGCCAAGGCAGTAGCGGCCATGTCGAAGCGTCAGCGACGGAAGTGATCTGTACACACTGCATGAGTATGAATCGTGTGTGTGTGTGTGTGTGTGTGTGTGTGTGTGTGTTTGTGTGTGTGTGTGTGTGTATGTGTATGTGTACTATTGTACGAGATTTGTACATTGCGCTCTAGACGGGGGCTCTCGGGCTCTTGGGCAGCAGCTCACAGCCTATTTTTGGTCGGTTTTTGGCGCTAAAAAAATGCAAAATTTTCTTCGCGGGGCTCTGCCCCGCACCCCGCTGGGGCTGCCAGCCCCAGACCCCAGGCTGGGGCTCCGCCCCAGACCCCGAGTTAGGCGCTGTCGGCGGCCAGAGGCCGAGTTACGTCTGCAGGCAAAAGTCGCTCGCTGCCGTCTGAGCTCGAAAAAAATCGCCAGGTCATGCAAAATAAATCTGAGAAATATTCGCGGGCGTATCGTCGATGTCCCAAAGTCAGCGTTGCGGAGTTGCGAGAAGCGATGGGCGCCCCTCTAAACGCCCATAGCGCCACCGCCTCGCTCGCCCGAGCCGCTCCGACTGGAGGGCGCTGCGCTCGCCCGGCATCGAGCCGGTGCACCACCCGCCCCCAGACGCGGGTCCGGACCCCCCTCGTCGCCAGCGGCAGCCGCTGGCTCGACGACCAGCACCCTCTCGGCCGCCTCCTTGGCCCGGCCGCCGCTGTCGCGGCTGTCGGGCTCCGCGACAGCCGTCGACCACCGACCAGAGGTAGCTGTGCCGCTATGGATGCGGAGAGTGCAAAAATGCATACGCGCTTTTGCGACCCCGCAGCATGGTTTGATAAAAGCCACCGTTCTCGAGTCGGCGAACTCACCATTTTATTTTCGAGTTTAGGTCTCGTGACGGCTATCTCGACCCTGCGCGCGCGATCTGAAGCTACGAGGCCTGGGTCGGGGCTATGAGTGGGCTACATGCCGCTTGCCGCGGCTCCTAGGTCGACGAAACGCTCGCGCTTCACCCTCCCCCCCTCTGACGATAGGTCGTCTGCGTCGTGCGCTCACCGGCAAGAATCTAACGGCGGGCGATGGCGGCGCGCGGCGACGCTTCTGACTCAATGGAAGGTCGCCCACACACCCACCCTCACCACAACGCCGTAGGCGGGTCGAGGCTGCCCTCCACCCGCTCGCGTTTGCCTCCCCTACCCGACCGGGTCGGCTCCCTCTAGATGGCGCCCGAGACACCTTCCCGGCTGCGTTTCTGCCCGCGACAGCGGCGCCTGAGCGCGTGGGCTGCAAGGCCCCTCGGGGAGGCCCGCGGGGCGGCGGGAGAGAGCTCTCCCGCGGTCGTGGCGCACCATTTCACCCGTAGACGCCTCTTTATAGTCGCCTTTTAGCACCTCCTCTCTACACGCCGCCGAGTAGACCCCGCCGCACCGCATCACCGCCCCCTTCCCTGCCCCGTCGCCCTCCTGAGCTCCCCCCCCTTCGCTCCAGTCACGCACAGGACGGCTGGGCCATCGGCCCGCGTGACAGGCGCCCGGGACGGCCGGGGAGCGGCTCCGTCATTTGAGCCCTCTCGGGCCACCCTCGGGCGCGTCCGCCGGCCGGCAGAGCACCGCTCAGGCGACTCAGACGGCCCGCCCGACCACCGCTTTCGATCGTGCCGCCCCCACGGCATCAGTGGCCGGCTGGGGGGGGCAGACGGCGTCCGCGCACCCCTCGTGGGGGTGACCACCGCTCTCCTCTCACCTCTCCCCCCCCGCCCGTGGCACCCCACGCACGCGTCCCTCTCAGGGGCGCAAGGCGGCACGTTCAACGCTTGCCTCGGCCCACCTCGCCTTCACGCCCGCCGCCGCGACCAAGGAGGTGGCCTCGGCGGCCCAGACGAAGCCCGTGCGGCTCGTTTGGGAGCCGCGCGCCGTCCCTCTCTCGCCCGCGCTGCTCGCCACGCCGAAGCCCACGTCCCTCCGGCCGCAGGCGCCGCCGGGGAGTGACCAGCGCCCCTCCCGAGCACCTTCTCGGCGGGCAGCGCCTCCGTAGCGGCGCTGGCGGCCCCTGCGAGCCGGCCGGCGCCACGAGTGAGTATTCGAAGGCGCGCGCGTCCCCTCTCTCCCCGGCCCGCCGCGTCTCTCTGACCACCCCTCCCCCTCCCGGGTCAGGCGTGCATCGGGCGTACAAAATGGCCGCGGGGCGCACCTCCAGCGACGCTGTCTCTTTGGCCCGAGCGGTGGGTAACTCCCTGGCCGGGCTCAGGCCCTCTCGGGCTGCTGCGAGCTGCGCGATGCGCGTCCCCTCCGCCGCACGGCCGTGCCCCTGCCCCTCACACTCCGACTCCGCCGCAGGACCGGTCTGGCGACCCGGAACGACCGCCTAGAGCAGCAGCATCGACCATCCCGACCCCGTGGCGGCCGGGGCGGGCCAGCCAGACGTGAGAGCACCCCTCCCCCCCTCTCGCGGCGCGTCCCCTCCTTCCTCCCCGCACCCCGCCACCCGGCTCGCAGCCCCGTCGCCGTCGTGAGTCAGCCCTCGGTCAGGTACTGCCAAAGGCGGCCGAAGCAACACCATCGCTACCAGCGCCACCGTGCCGGTGCTGGTGAGCTCTGCGGCCCGTGTAGCGGCCCCTTAGCCCGTCGCCCGGGCACATGGCGCCCTCACACCGCTCCTCGCCCCCGTCTCGCAGGCCAAAATCGTCGACATCGCGTCGGCACTCTCTACGGCGCGCCTGGGCTCGCAGAGGGCGGCCTGGGCGGTGCAGGGTGGCTGGGCTGCCCCCCTCGCGCGGTGCGCCAAGCCTCGGGGGTCGGGGAGACCATCTCGGGTCGCCGAGGGGGCGGGTCGGACGCCCGATCCGGCTGCTGGCCGGAGGACGTCGCCGGCTCCGCAATTTTGGGCGCCCCAGTCGCCTCCAGCCGGGCCGAGCGGCGCCAGCTGGTAGCTGGGGCCGCAGGGCGGTCGGGCCGACACCGTATGCTAGTCGGAGTGGGTTGTCTAGGGGTGTAAAGGTCGGTAGAGTGTCCGTTTGTGGCCTCCGGACGGGCTCTGGTCGGGAGCCCGCCGGGCCGGCTGAGGCTGTGTGTCCGTCCACTGTGGACCAAGTGATGGCCTAGGAGCCCTGCACGGACGGTGTTTATGCTATATAACACCTAGGGACCGCCTGGGGTGGGCGGCGAGCCGCGCATCGGCCGACAATGTGCCGGTGTACGCGTTTCGGTCACACTCAGGGCCCGTTTTGCATGACCTGGCGATTTATCACTTTTTCGGACGTGGCCGCGCGGGGTTTCGCTATACACATCATACACGTGCACATGCACACATGCGCGGGAAACACAAAAAAGAGGAATTTAAACACTCAAGAAGACCTCGTGAAAGTCAACCGCGACTTGACGACCAGCAGCGGCACCGCGCCCGCTGGGTCGCCAAAGCCGCTGGCCAGGACGGCGATCTCGACGGCTTCAATTCGCGTGGCTGGCTGCGAAGGCCTTCCCGGCTCCCACTTGTATTTGGTCTGGACTCGCTGAGCGAGCACGCTGGGCGACGACTTTAGGTCGCCGGCGGAAGTCGCCGCTGTGTACCGTGCAAACTCCGAGACGCCATAGGCGCCGTCGTACGGCTCCTCGACCAGCCGTTTGATGATCTTGACCTCTCGGACACCGCCCAACCCGTCCGTGAGCGTGAGCACGTTTGGGCTCCCTGCCTCCCACTGAGCGACCGGCCTGGCAGAGCCCACCTGCGCGGCCGCTCTCTGCTCGGTGTTGAAGCCTCGGTCAGCTCTCACTCTGCCGGCGACGGGCCGCGTGGCGAGCGACGCGCTGCCCTCACTCTGCAGGATGACGCCGCCACTTCCCTCGGCATTCAAGAAGCGGGCGTCAAAGACGAGCGGAGCCGCCGCCGCGGCAGCGGTGCGGGCGGCTCTGAGCTGCGCTGCGGGCGCGCTCTCCTCTCCCTGCGGCGTCCTCACGTCGACAACTTGCACGACCACGCGCCATCGGCCTCGGAACGCCGCTGGGTACAGCGCGTCGGGCGGCCCGTAGCCTGGCAGCAGCGCCGCCGCCCTTTGCGCAGCCTCGGCCCCGCCCTCAAACTTGACCGCCGCATGTGCTCGGAGGCCGGCTGGAGTGGTGAGGAGTGGCAGTAGAAGGACGGACGATGCAGCGCGGCGTGTGAGGTCTGGGTGCAGCATATCCGGATCCTACCCAGATAGGGGTTTGTGCGCCCTGACTCGCACCAAAACGCCGTACCTATCCAACCTATCGCACCCGCAGGGCCGCGCAGCCAAGCGAAAAAGATGACTCAAAACCGGACCAACCTACATCATAGGGTCTAACCGCGCGTAGCATAAAGAAAGAAACAAAGACCCGACCGACCCTACGCTCAGCGCACCTCACGCTGCTGCTCTCTTCGCCTCCGGCTGCGAGCAACCACGGCTGCGAGCAACCATGGTCGTCGTCGCCGAGGCTCGGTCCATGCGTGTCGCCATCCAAGGCTCCGGCGTTGCTGCCGCCGCATGCGCCCGGCGGCTGCGAGCGACACACGACGTCACGGTTTTCGAGAGCGGTCGTGGGCCGGGCGGCAGGTGAGCCAGAGTAGGCGGGCACGCAGCGCGGCAGTGTGGCTGGAACGGGCGCCAGCGTTCAGCGCCTTGTTTTGACGCCACCGTCACTGGCCAGGATGTCGACGCGCCGTTCTGACGGATATCAGTGGGACCATGGCGCCCAATACTTTTCGCCAAAGACGGACGCCTTCTCGGTCGCGGTCAGCGAGTGGGTCGAGCAGGGCTGGTGCGACGCGTGGGCCGGAGAGCATTGCGTCTGGTCGTCGGAGGGAGGCGTCTCTCCCGACCCAAAGGCAGCTTCGGGCCGTACCGGCTCTTACACCCTTGGCCTGAACTTCTCTTTGTTCGTAGGCGGCGGCGGCTGTGCGGTACGTGGGCACGCCCGGGATGAATACCATCTGCAGGGCCTTGCTCGATGGCGTCGAAGCGAGGTACGAGACACGTGCTGTGGCGATGCGACGCGGCGGCGGCGGCGGCGCAGATCGAGGGTGGGTCCTTGAGCACGCAAAGAGTGGCAGCGCGCTTGGCGAGACCGACTCTCCTCGCCTGGGACCGACGCATGGCCTCTTCCCTGAGACCCTGCTCCGACCCTCCCCGCAGGCGAGTACGACTTTCTCATCTGCACCGACAAGACGGTGGCGGCGGCATCTGCGCCTCGTCGCCTCTCCCGAGCCCTCCCCCAGCAGCCTTCTCGGAGCCGCTCCTCTAGGCGGCGGCGCAGCACCGAAAGGACCTCGATCGGGAGCTCCTCGACGACTTTGTGCAGCCGGCGATCACGGCGCCGTCCGTCCACTCCAACACGCTAACCCTTCCCAGAAGTTTTCCGGAGCCTACCTGCAGGCGCCGACGCCACGATCCTTCGCCACGTTTGCCTCCCTCAGCCTTCTCCGAACATTCCTGCAGGCGAGCGCTGTGCCGTCGGTCCCCAGCTTGGCGCTGATGGTTGCAGTGGAGCAGACACGTTGCGGGTTCGACTCGCTCCTGCTCGAGGGCACCCCGACCGTCTCCTGGCTGCTGTGCATTCCCTGTGCTCTGTCCCTGCATCCTCTCGGACTGTCCCCATATAGGCCACCCGACATTCTCCTGGCTGGCGCGCGACTCCTCAAAGCCGGGCCGCCGCCAGGTACGCCGCCCAGCTAGCAACAGGGACACACACGCCCTCGGCACGTGCCGCACCGCCGATCTCCGCTTGCCCGGCAGGGAGGCGGCGTGGAGTGCTGGGTGGCGCACGCCTCGCCCGACTGCGCCAAGCGGCTGCTCAAGTCGTCGAGGCGCCGCGGCGGTGGCGGGCCTCGAGGCGTCCGCGAGGAAGTCGCGCGCGGGGCGCTGTACACCTCTCACGAGGGGCCTTCATCTGAGCGTCTCTACTCAACCTTCCCACAGGCGGTCGTGCGGGAGCTGGTGCCGCCGCTGCAGCGACTGTTGAGCGAGCTGAGCGACGCTGTCGGTGCCGCTCCTCCAGAGGTGCTCGTCGCGGAGGGCCATCGGTGGGGCGCCGCCTTCCCCGCCTCCAGTTTCGCCGCAGCCGGAAGCGGCGAAGGCCGTTTCTACCTCGATGAGCGAAACGCTTTTGCGGCTTGCGGCGACTACTTCTCACCCTTTCCCGGCCGTGTCGAGGGGGCTTGGATCAGCGGCACATTACTGGCTGACGCGCTCCTCGCCAGGCAAGCAACTTCATGAACTCTCACGAGTAGAGACCGTACAAAGATTATCAGTCTAGAAGGAGGCGCTCATACCAACGTGTCAGATGATATACATAGACAAAACTCAAAAGGGCAAGGGGGGGGGGGGGGGGCGCATACGGCTTTACACCCAGATATACAGGCTTGTGGTTGTGCAGGTTGAGTGATAGTTCTTAGTTGTGGTGTGCCCCTCGAGGGACGTCTCACAACGATGCCCCCGCTTTTCTCACCCGCACACCTCGACCTCCGCTCTCAAGAGTTCGAATTAGGTTTTTTGGCCTTTTAGGAGGAGTTTCGACGAGTCGCCCCAATCAATTTCGCCTGGATCCATCCAGATTCCAGTGACTCAGCTCTGTTGATCGAATTTCGAATGTGCCAGCACAGTGCCTCTCTGAGTCCGGCCGGACGCGTCCATCCCCTGTCCGACTTTTGGGCTCTGCGCGCCATCCACTGCATCGCCTTGCTTGTGGCAGAATGGCAGCACCCGTCGGGTCAGCACCGTGGCATCCAGCAGGACCTGCACCGCACGCCAGTTGCCCTGCCGCCGGCGTGCCGCTCCCACCCGCGGCGTCACACCGAAGCGATTCGTTGCCTCTGGATCGGCCCCTCTCGAGAGCAGCGCGAGGGTTGTGTCGACCCGCCCGCAGTGGGCGCTGCTGTGCAGTGGCGTGTCGCCGCAGTTGTTGCGCCCATGCAGGTCCGCGCCTGCGTCGAGCAGCCACGCAAGAGCAGAGGTGTGGCCCTCCTCGCAGACAAGGTGCATCGCAGTGGCGCCGTCGACGTCCCTCGCGTCAACATCCGCGCCGCGGCATTTGAGGCGAGCCAGGGCAGCTATGTCCCCGCGCTCCGCCGCCTCGCAAAACTCGCGCGACAGCAGATGTTGCCACGCCCCGCGCGCATGGGCGGCGCCCTCGGCAGCAGCCATGGGCTGAATCTTTTGCAGCAGCTGCACAATCGAGTCCAGGTACTTTAACGAGTCGTACTTTAGCCTGGCCCGCCGCGTGCAAGCACAGTTGAAGGCGAGGCGTGCGTATGCCTGCCGATCAACGGCGTCATCCAGAGGGGTGTAGCCGTCCTTGTCCTGCGCGTGCATATCGGCGCCCTGCGCCAGCAGCGAAGCGACCGCGTCGAGGCGGGCGTTGTAGCAGGCGATGTGGAGCGGAGTGACATTGTGCATGGCCCGCGCATTGACGTCGCAGCCTCGCTTGGTCAAGTGCGCAAGCATGTCGGTGTCGCCGCGCAGCGCCGCGCAGTGGATCGCGGACCAGGGCGACTTCACCCGATCGGTGGCAACAGCCTCGGGGTCGGCCGACCGCTCCAGGAGAAGCTTTACGCCCTTGGTGTTGCCGGCTCGCGCCGCGTACAGCAGCGGAGTCAGTCCACACACTCTCTCCTCCAGATTGACGGAGGCATCCAGCAGCCGTTGGAGGTCTGAAGGCACGCCGCTGTGGTCTGGCAGTGCCTCAAACATCCCGTTCCACCCGGTGGGGTGCCCGTCCGTCCTCGCAACGGCCGCGTGAAGGCCTGCAGATGGCGGTCCGGCTGTGAGCCTGGGTTGTTGAGGGTGGCCCTTCACACATCCGCCCTCACGCGACTTGTGACGCATCTACCTACATGGCGCGCCGTCTGGTGGCGGTGCGTCGCTGTCGTCGGCGTAGAATGCCCGCGGTCCGCGTGCATCCTTGGCAGTGCGGGAGCGCAGCGGAATCCCGAGTGCGGAGAGCCTCTCTTCGGGCATACAGAGGTCGGGGGACCGGAAGGACTCGTACGTCCTCTCCCGCTGGCGGCAACGCCCCAAAGAGCGGTGGTTGAGGCCGATTGCCTCAACTGTCAACCAGCGGGTTGACAGAGGTCAACCTTCAACCACGCGGAATGGCTGCTCACACACACCCCGCGCAAAGACTTCTGAAGGCAGTGAACATTCTCTGTGAATTCATGTCGTCTTCTTTAGATGCTGCATTTGACGCGCCCTTTTTACGAGTACTTGCTTTTGCTACACGTACACGTGCGTGGATGGGAGGGGTGTGATGCCAAGCCCAGACGAGGAGCGCTGACAAGCCATCGAAGGCCCTCTGTACATGGAAACAGCTTACCGCAGACATTACCGAACTCAAAACTGCTTACCAAAGGCAGATACGAGCTCAGCTCAGTGAGATCTAGCAGCACATACCCTCAGTATCCAGAATAGTAAAGTCTGAACACTGACTGACTGACTGAAAAAGTCGGTCCGACCGCGCAGAGCGGTCTGGCTGTCTGCAGAGGCCAGAGCTTCCGTCCGGGCCCTGATAAATGTCGGAGGCATGTCGGCCCATGTTCGCGATTTTGATGGCGTTGCCCTCATTGCACGTGAAACAGACCGCGCCGGCCACGCACCCTTGTTCCCGGAGGCCAACTCGAACAGGTTTGAGCAAAGGCCGCCTTCCATGCTCGATATGCAGCAGGAGCTTAGTTGACAGTGCTCGAAGGCCGCCCTGCTCTAAGGCCGCCCTGCTCTCGGCATTGCGTTGTTGACTGAGAGCACTGTCTGATCCAACCAGAAAGAGCCGTCGAAGAGCCGTCGAGCTACATGAGACCCAAGCAAGTCGTCGTGATGCACCAGAAAACGAAACTTAGCGCCAAAATTGAGATCTCAGGATCGACATTAATTTCTCGCGCCTACTTTCGCTGCTTGAGACTCGCCAAATAGATCCTGCGTCTATGACCGTGTGCAACGTCAAGTCGTGAACCGCGACAAGACCATCGCGCCAAGCGCGACTCTGTTGCTTTATGCGGCAGCATTCACCGTGACTCTTGCCGTGGATGCAGCGTGGATGGTGAGTGACCGCGGTTGCTTACGCAAAATACTACGCCGTGAGCTGAGCTTCACCAGCCGTTTCTCTTCCTTCCCTTGCCTTCTCTTGCCGTCCGTTCTCTGTGCGCATTCCACTGCATGCGGCATCACACGCGTCTCGTTCTGCCGGGCGCGCATCTGAACTCGTACCAGGTAGCCATCGCTTTGCTGAAAGATCAGGTGCCTGAACGGCGACAGTGAGCGTCTCCTATACTTATGGATTGCGCTCGCGGTCCGAGGAGCGCAAGAGCGCGCCGCAGGCGAAGCGATTTTTTGGCGGCAGGCTCTTCCAGTTTATCTGTGATCACGCTCGAGCCTGTGAATAGGCCCCGGAGGCCTCAACCCCCAACTAAAGGGTTGACGGGGGGGTCTCAACCGTCAACCAGATGGTTGAGGGGGGGCCTCAACCCTCAACCCCTCAACCACCCCTCTGGGTAGACTCCTTGCACGTTAGAGCAAAATACAGGTACGTAGAGCTAAATACACTGGAAAAATCAAAACATATCAGCAGAGTCCTCCGACGGGAATGTAGAGAGCCACGCGTCACACCAATCCTCGCTACCCAACGCGGCCAAAGGATATCCACCTCGAGAACCTCGAAGAAAGAAAGAAAACAGACAGGCCAAACGAGGGATGGGACGAGGACAGGGTCCCCACCTGCACGAGCAGGATTTTGGAAGAACGATCAGGGGGACAGGTGGGGCTCTCCTGCTCCTGACAAGGGACACGACAGGCTCGCAGCGCGGTGCACTACCTCGAGGAGAGCCACGTACGCCAAAAAGAATTCTTCACCTGGGCGCGGCGCGGCACACACACACAAACCGGGAGCAGCACCGGCACACCACCGGAGCCGAAAAAGCGATGCGCAAGCTCTCCGTCCTCTGCCTACACGGCTACTCGATGACCGGAGCGTTATTGCAGCAGAGCATGCGCCGAACGTGTGAGCGGCTGTCGCATCTCGCGCGCTTCCGCTTCGTCGATGGGCCGCACACGGTGGAGCCCAGCCCGCACCTACCGCTCGAGCTACCCGAGGGCACACGTCCGCTAGGCTGGTGGAGGCCGGAACGACAGGATGACAGGTCGTGGCACTTTCACGGTGTCGACGACTCGCTCGCGCTGCTATCGCAGGCGGAGGCGTCAGAGGTTGAGGCGCATGGCCACGGCGTCGACGTGGTGCTTGGCTTCAGCCAGGGCTCCGCCCTCGCGCACCTCGCGACCGCGCTCCGGCAGCACCGCCCGAGCGCGTCTCCGTTGCCGTCCTTGCGCGGCGCGGTCTTCGTCGGCGGCTTTCCGTTTGCGCCGGCGTCTCCCGCCTTTGCTGAGGCGTCGCTACATCTCTCCATGCCAACGCTTCACGTCGCCGGTTCGCGCGACAAGATTGTACGGCCCGAGACGAGCGCGCGCCTGCTGCAGCTCTGCGCCGAGGACAACCGGACGTACCACGAACACCAAGGTGGGCACGTCGTGCACTCTGGGAGTGCCTCGCTCGCGGTCTACGAGGACTGGTTCGCGCGGCAACACGTGGGCGCGAGCGGTCAACTAGCACAATAATAATGTGAGTGTACACTAGCTCTGATAGTACGCGAGCGAATAATACACGATCGCGCCATGTTTTTGGTCGACAACACGATCTCATCAAAGATCAATCTCTCCGGGAAACTCCGCTCTCTCCGGGCGCCTCTCTTGCTGTTGCTCACCGCCGCTTCTTGGCTCCGGCCTGCTTGGTGGCGGCAGGCTCCGCCTCCGCGCGGCCGCCCTCCTCCTCTACCTCCTCTTCCTCCTCTTCCTCCGCCGCCGCCGCCGCCACCGCCGATCCGCCCTTGCGCTTGCGGCCAGACAAGCCAGAGGTCCCGCCGGCGGCACTGCTGCTGGCGGCGCCGGCGCCTCCAGAGAGGGCGTCCTCCAAGTGGTGCGGTGGCTGCTTCGGCCGCGTGCCGCCGCCGCCGGAAGGGGCCGAAACGGAGGGGCGAATGCCGGCCGCCTCGAGCGCGCTCGCAAGGTCGGCCTCGCACCTTGCGCGGTGGACAAGCCACGACGAACGCCAGATGCGGTGGAACGCCCAGCCGGCCGACGCGAGAGCGCGCCCCTCCTTGATCGACTCGGACCACTCGGCGAGCGACGCGGCCGCGCCGCCGTCCAGGCAGACGCACAGCCGCCGGTCGTGCTGCTCGTCCTCGACGACGGCGGCGGAGCCGGCGACGGCGCAATCGGTGGTGAAGGCGAAGCCCCGCGCGTGCAGCCAAGCGTGCAGCTCGCCGTCGGCGGTGCCATCTGCAGTACCGCTGCCGCCGCTGCCGCCGCCGCCGCTCAGCGCCGATCGCCCCTCGACCTGCGACGAGAGGCGGAGCGAGGCGGCGGCGGGCTGGCCGGCGGCGGCGGCGGCGAACCGCTGGATCGTCCATTGCTTGAGGTCGTCGGGGTTGGGCACATCCGACGCGCGGAGCGAGCGGAACAGCACCATCCGGTCGCGCGCGCGAGAGAGGGCGACGTTGTACCGCTGCTCGTAGGTGCGGCCGAGCTGTGGCGGCGCGGCGCCCTTTGAGGCGACCATCGAGAGCAGTATCACGTCGCGCTCGTCGCCCTGGAAAGAGGTCGCGTCGCCGACGACCAGCCGGTGGCGCGCGAGCTGCGCGTCGGTAAGGCGTCCCAGCAGCAGCGAGCGGAGCAGCCGCGCTTGCTCGACGCCCGCGAGCGAGATGATGCCGACCGAGAGCCCCTCGAGCTCCGACGGTGAGCGCGCCAGCTGCGCCACGAGGTAGTCGACCAGTGCGCTCGCCTCCGCCGGGTTGACCTTCCCCTTCTTGGCGCCGCCCGGGACAAGGATGTCAACCAGCGCCGGCTCGAGGCGGCGTGAGCGCGGCGGCAGCCGGCGCGGCAGCAGCCGGCCGTGGTAAAAGTGCTCGTTGCTGAAGGCGATGCAGCCAGGCACGCAGCGGAAGTGCTGCTGCAGCGCGACGCGCGCGTCCGCGTAGCATGTCTGCGCGAGGTCGAAGACGGAGCGCTCCGGCAGCAGCTGCTCTATGTACGGGTGACGAGAGCGGAGGAGGCCCGCCTTGAGGTCTCCGATACGCGCCTCCGAGACGAAGGCCGCCGTGGGGGAGACCTAGGCGGCGGCGGGGGCGGGTGTGTGTGGGTGGGTGGGGGGGGGGGGGGGGGGCGAGGCGTGGGGGCGGATGCGCCACGCGACGGGCACGACGACGAACTGCCACGTCTCGTCCGCACTCGTTGCATCTCGGCCGCATCTCGGCCGCATCTCGGCCGCATCTTGCCTGCTTGCCGTCGCCGACGACGAGCACGCGGGTGGCGCGCAGCAGCGGAAGGACGGCGCCGACGTTGGACTGCGACGCCTCGTCGATGACAACGAGGTCGAAAGAGCGCAGCGTGGCGGGCAGGCACTGCGACACGCGCCACGTAGGCATGATCCAACACGGCACCGACGCGGCGCAATCAGTGAGGGCGGCGGCGAGATCGGAACGGTACCGCGCCGAACGCGCGCCGTCCGGCGCCGCGCTGCTAGACTGCGAGACGGCCTACAGCCCAGGCAGCGAGACACACGCTTGGGAGAGGAGAGGCGTGGGCAGCGCGAGAGCCGCCGAAGAATGCGGCTGCCGACACGAGCCGCATGAGCCCGGCGCACGTTTCGGCGCTCATGCCCTCGCGAAGCGCTTGCTTGGCGGCGGCGGCGACCAGCGCACACACCGCCGACTCGCGCTCGAGGGTGAGCCGCCGCGCCGCGCCGCCCGCTGCGCGCGCCGCGCGGGCGTCCCGCGTCTCTGCCGCCTCGAGCGCGGCCGCGGCCGCCGCCGCCGCCCAGAGCCTGCGTGCGTCCGCCGGACACGCGTCTAGCACCAGCGGCGGCGCGGCGGCGCGGACGCCGGCACGTCCGCTGGCGCGGCCGTGCTGCGCCGCCGCCGCGGGCGGCGGCGGCGCTGCGGGCGGCGGGTCGGGGCGCAAGAGGCAGCCGGCCCACGCCGGGGCGTCGAGCGCGCGCGCCAGGACCTTGAGCTTCGCGACGTGGGAGAGGGCGGCGCGGGCGCTGAGCAGGCGCTCCCGCGCGCGGAGCACCCCCGCAGCGGCAGCGTCGCCAGACACATCGAGCGATCCGAGGGCGGTGACCGCGGCTCGCAGCGCGGCGAGAGGCGACTCACCAGCCGCCGCCGCCGCCGCCGGCGGGTCCGTCGCGTGAACGCTGAGCGTGCCGCCTCCAGCGCCGCCGCCGGCGGCGGTGCTGCGAGCGACATCGCCCGTGGCGGCGGCGGAGAGCGCTGCGGCGAAGGAGGCTGCAGCGGCGGCGGCGCTCGAGACGGAGGAGGGTGGCACGCCGGCGCCAGCCGCGCTGCCCGAGGAGGCGGCCGCGCGCTGCAGCTGCTCGAGGATGGCCTTTTGCTCGCGCTCGCACGCCTGAGGGAGGGGGGGGAGGGGGGGGGGGGGAGAGGGGGGGAGAGGGGGGTTGGGGAAGGGGCAGACTTGCGGCGTGTGTGTGGTGCAGATCTGGCGTGGACTCGGGCAATCTCGGGCAATCTCGGGCAATCTCGGGCGATCTCCTGGAGCTCGTCGCTGTGGAGCTCGAGCGCCGTGTCGAGCGAGCTGATCGCGGTCGCGCAGTCGGCGGCCGAGCGCCACGACTGCAGCCGCGCGGCGGCGGCGGAGGAGGCGCCGCCCTCGCCCTCGGGGAGCAGCGCGCGGGACCACTGCGCCTAAAGAAATAGGGCGCGAGTCGTACACGGGGAGGGCGTGAGAGAGCGCAGCGCGCGAGCTCACCGAGACGCCCGCGGCCTTGGCGGCGGCGGCGGCGCACGCGCCGAGCCGCGGCACGTGGACGGCGCGCAGCAGTGCGCCCAGCCGGAGCGGGTCGGCCTGCAGGGAGGGGAGCGCCGGCAGGGGCGGGACCGAAGCGACGTACGCGTCTAACGCGGACCACTGCTCGCGCAGCGCCGCCGCCGCCGCCTGCCGCACGAGCCGCGAGATGCCGCCGAGATGCGACCGAGATGCCGCCGAGATGCGACCGAAGTGCGACCGAGATGCGGCCGAGAGATGCCGCCGAGATGCGACCGAAGTGTGACGGAGGTGTGGCCGAGAATGCCGCCGCCGCCTGCAGCTCGAGTCTCGCCTCGACAAGCCGCCACTCCGCCTCTGTCGCCGGGGGTCGGCCTCCGACCTGCACGTGCTCCAGCTCGGCGGCGAGCGTCTGGGACGGGCCTCCCTTGGCCGAGCGCCGGAGCCGGTCGAGCATCGATCGCTTGTGCGGGTGGGCGTGCCACCGCACCTCGAGCGAGATGCAGCCGAGATTCAGGGACAGCCGAGGGGCAGCCGAGGGGCAGCCGAGGTGCAGCCGAAGTGGCGCGCCTCGAGCGCCACCTCCGAATCGTCCAGCAACGAGGCGGCGTCAGTCACGCCGCCCTCACTCCGCGCGAGGCCTCCTCCTCCTCCTCCTCCTCCTCCTCCTCCGCGCGTGAGCATGCGGAGCAGCACCTCGGGCACTGTGACCCCCTCCGACGCGTCCACCGTCGCCGCGAGGGTGGAGACGAGGGAGGCGAGCTGCGCCGCCGACTCGAGCGTCTGGCGCGCCTGAAAAAGAAAACGCGGGCCCGTGCACTCTTCTTTTCTAGGTGCCGCCGCCTCGGGCGTCCGGCGCGCCGCGGCGTTGTCCGCGTGGCGCAGCATGCTAAGCAGCCACTTCCCGTCGTCCGGCGGCGGGCGGCCATCGGCGGGCGGCGCGGCGGAGACGGCGGCGATACGCGCCTCGAGGTCGGCGAGCGACACGCGCAGCTCGACTAGCCTCGAGCGGAGGGAGCGCGCCTCCGGGAGCGCCGCGATCTGCGGCACCTCGCCGCGCACCTAGAAAGGGTCCTAGAGGGTCCCTGGAGGGTCCCCGGAGCAGCGATCTGAGGCACCTCGCCGCGCACCGCCGCGCGCTCGATCTCGGCGCGGCGGCGGAGGCCGCGCGCGACCTCGTGCAGCCGCGAGGGGGAGAGGACCTCGAGTGCGGGCGAGCCTCCGCGCAACGCCTCGCCCCACAGCAGCGCCTCGCCGCTCGCCGCCCGCTCGGCGCGGATCTGCGCGAGGAGCGACTCCTGCGGCGGCGGCCGCCTCGCGTCGAGCCGCACGCCGCGGAGAAAGTAGGCGCGGCTGCGGGGCGCGTCGAGCGGGGCATGCCGCGCGTCCGCCTCGAGCGCCGCCGACACCGCCTCGGCCAGCTGCGTCGTCGTCGCCGCCTCAGGCTGGCTGAGGGAGAGCTCGGAGACCACCTCGCGGTGGAGGCTCAAGCCGGAGAGCGGACCCTCCCGCCCGTCGCCTCCGCCGCCGCCCGGCCCGCCTGCAGCCTGCGGGGGACATGTCGCGGACGTGTCAGGCGACATGTCGTGGGCATGCGCTGTCCCCCTCGCGCGCCCCGCCCGCCGCCTCGTGCGCGCGGGCAGCCTCGCCCGCACTCCCCTGCCGCGGAAAGTGCGGCGAGGCCCACCGCTCCTCGTCGTGACGCATCGACTCGAGCTCGGCAGAGAGAGACGCGACCTGTCACTCGTACCCAACTCTACTTCCAACGAACGATCCAACCACTTCCTTCAGAGAGAGAGACGCGACCTGCCGCCGCAGCCGAGCCGTCGCCGAGGCGAGCGCCGACGGCTGCGCCGCGGCGACATTGTCCGCCAAGTTCTCGACCGCGGCCTCGAGCCGCCGGAAGGAGGACGCGTCGGCAGAGCCGAGCGAGACGCACAGCTCGCGCACGCCTGCGGGCAGCTTCTGGCGCAGCACCTCCAGCGCCGGCTCGCCCTTTGAGGTGACGAGCACGCGCCGGCCCGTCGCGAGGTAGTGGCAAATCACGTTCGCGATCGTCTGCGACTTGCCTGTCCCCGGGGGCCCGACCAGCACTGCGCAGCCCTTCTCCTCGAGCGTAGCCACCACCGCCTCCTGCTGCGCGTTGGACGGCAGCCCGAAGTACAGAAACGGCCGCTGCTCGATGCCGCCGCCGCCGCCGCCTCCGCCGAGAGGCGTCGAGATTGCGCGGCGAAGGCGGGAGAAGATCGGCCACCGGTCCTCGGCGGCGGCGCCGGGCAGCGGCGGGGCGGGCGGGAGGCCGTACACGCCGACGAGCCGGCCCAAGGCGGCGGGGAGCGCCGCGGGCGGCAGAGCGCGGAGGGCGTCAGCGAGGGCGGTGGCGTCGTCGGCTACGCCGCGGTCCTGCGTCACGAACGCACCAGAGTCAGGGCGAAATGCGGCATCGGGCAGTGTACTCGGAGCAGCGCGTGAACACAGGAGCTACACGTGTAGTGAACACAGCTGACGACAGCCGGACACAGCCGAGAGCGTGTCCCGTGCCCCGCATCTAGGACCGCAGTCCGCCGCGTCGGCGCGCGTGAAGACGACAAATCCGTTGTACACGCGCGGGGAGGACTCGGGGGCGCCGTGCAGCGCTCCTGCAACCGCACAACGGACGGGGCGTGTGCGCACGGCGCCGTGCAGTGGACTCGCTCGCATCGCGTGGGCACAAGGGGCGATAGGCAGCTGCGAACGGCACCGCGGCGGCTGCTGCGAGTGTCTTGTCGCAGCGGCAGCGGCAGCGGTGGGGTGCAGGGGGGGTTCAAGTCCGGGTGGGGGCAGGAGGGTGAGCGTGCAGCAGTCTGCTTCTAGGGCAGCGCTCCCTTGGCGGTCGTGCGCGGCGGGCCGTCGACGTAGACGCCGTCGGCCGCGAGTGTCTGCGCCGCGCGCTGCAGAAGCGGCTCCCACGCCCGCCTACCAGGCGGGACCCGCTGTACTCGACTCGTCTCTCTGCTCACGGCGGGCGGCTGCGAGCTGCGCGCTTTGCGGTCGGCGGCGGCGGAGACGAGCCGAGCAAGCCGTAGGCGCGCGCGCACTCGTCGAGCAGCTTGAGCGCCGCGGCGACGCGCGGCACCTAGACAGGAAGGGCGTGCGCCCCTAGGGAGCGGAGGCTGTGAACCGGAGCACCTCTTGCGACGCGCGGCCGCACCCCTGGGAATGTCCACAGGGCGGGGGCGGAGGCGTCGGCCATGCGGACGCAATACGCGCCGGTGGCGTCGAGTTGCAGCTCCGCCGGCATCATCACCAGCGGGTGGTCAATCACGGTCGACGCGTCCACACGCCAGCGCACGAGGCCGACGCCGACGGTGAGCTGCGCGCCTCGCCCCTCGCGCAACGCCTCCTGGTGGGAGGAGAAGAGGGAGGCGTAGGCCGCACACGCCGCCTGGGCGGCCGGCGAGCGGTCGTCGTGGTCCGGCCGATGCAGCGACACCCAGCCATGCCGGGACGGCTCGGCAGCCGCGGGCACGTCATCCTCATCCGCCATCATCGCGACGACAGGCCGCTGCGCCTTGAGCTGCTTGCCGGTGGTGGGGTCGCGCGATGCGACGGTCCGCTTCGCCTCCTTCAGCTTGTCCAGGAAGCCCTCGTGCAGCATCACTCCGATGTCGTCACCAGCAGCCTTTGCGGCATCAGCAGGGCCGCGCAAGGCCAGGCGCGGCTCGAGGTCGCGGCGCGAGACCTCGTTGAGCTCCTTGGTGTACTCGACGAGCGCGATCAGCCGGCGAGCCGCCTCCTCCTGGTCCTGCGCGAGATCGCCCATCCAGGACACGGCTGAGCCAAAGTGGTTTTTCGAACCGCACCGCCCAAAACCTGCTGGAGAGCTGAATCAGGTTCCGCTGAGCTGCTGTGAGGCTCTAGGACTGCCTCTGCAAGGGGCCCCTCCAATCTCCTGCCCCACCGCTTGGTAGCAGGTAGCATCGACGGGTGGCCTTGCCTCCCACATCGATGTGGGCGTAGGGGTTGAGTTGAGTAGTGCGTCATCTTGATTGAGGGAGGGCGCGCCGGTCAGGTTTTGGTTCCAGAATTTCATCAATGAGTGGAGAGTGCCGCCCAAGCAAGAAGTACACACACCTGGGGTGGGTGGAAAATTCCGAAGAGCGGGCGCGCATGGCACTAACAGCAGGCCGCTAATATTCTTATTGTTAGAGAACAGAAATTGGCCTACTCGGCCGAACTGCTGCAAAGCTTGCAGGTCCCCTCATACGTAGTGCTCCGCTCGAGCCGCGCCCTCGGTGCCGGCGGCGAGCGCGCGCGCCAGCGCCACGTGCAGGCGGTGCGACGCCTTGTGCGCCACCACGTGCGCGAGCGGCAGCTCGCCGAGCAGCGCCAGATCTCCGAGCAGGTCGAGCGTCTTGTGGCGCGCGGGCTCGTCCGGGAAGCGGAGCCCCTCCGCGTTGAGCCACCGCCGCTCGTCGCACACGAGGGCGTTCTCGAGCGAGCCCCCGAGGGCCAAGCCGGCCGCACGCGCCTACGGGCCGCGCCGCGGACGTGTCGGGGACGCGTCTGGCCAGCTGAGGCCCCAGGCCCGGCCGGCCGCGCCGCGTGCACGCCCTGCGTCGTCGCAAACGTGCGAGCGGGAGCGAGCTCCGCCTCGAAACGGTCGATCGCCGCAGTCGAGCGCCGCGCAGGCAGCGCGCCCTACGGGGCGTGTCCCGGTGTGTCCCGAGGCGCGCGCCCCCCTCGACGTGCCGCCGCTAAATCAGCGCGTCTGCCGCGGGTCCTACCCCCGCTCGGCTGTCGGTGTGCGCCGCGCCGACCGACCGGCCCGTCGGGGGCGGCCCGTGCACGCAGAAGGAGAAGCTCTGCCGCCCGATGGGCGCGAAGGCGCCAAAGTCGATCGTGTACGTCAGCCGTGGCGCGGCGGCGGGCATGGCGACGACCCACGCGTCGCCGTGGGCGGCCCAGACGGGCGCGCGCGGCGCGAGCGCCTCTGGCGCCGACGCGGTCGGCGCGAGTCCCGCCGCGCGGATCAGTTTTAGCCACGGCGCCGACGAGCCGTCGAGGATGGGCAGCTCTTGCGCATCGAGTGCGACAGTGCAGGAGGAGACGCCGGCGCCGCAAAGCGCGGCGAGCAGGTGCTCGACGGTGCGAACGCCGCCGCCGCCGCCGCCGCCGCCGCCGAGCTCGGTGCTCAGCTCGGTCCCAGAGACGTCCGCCGGCGAGGCGCGCACTCTCGTCCCGGGCAGATCCGTCCGCACAAACGTGACGCCGCCTCCAGGAAAGCCCGGTCCGAGCCTCACGCGCACGAAGCGGCCGCTGTGGAGCCCGACGCCGCTCACGTCCGCAGTGCCGGCTAGCGTGAACGCGTGGCGGCGGCAGCGCCTGGGAGCGGCGGAGGGTCGGGGTCCGCGCATAAGGGGAAAATGTACTCGTCGCCCTGAATGGTTGGTTGCCCAGGTTACTCAGGACACGATCGCGCCGTGAACACAACTAACTGACGGATCCGCTCCTGACAGTCGCACGCGCCGTGCTGTGGCGCGTGCGACTGTCTTTGTTTGAAGTCAAAAGTCGAATCAGAGCGGTGTCGGCGTTGTCCTGAGTTTTCTCCCCCGGACCGCCCGTCCGGCACCGCTCCGGGACGCACGCCGGCGAAGCACCATCAAGCTGCTGTACGGCCCCGGCATCGCCTTCCCAGGCTTAGTTAGACTGAGAGGTATTGTGCACATGGTTAGTCTCTACAATATATACACTGACACTGAACCTCCCAGAGCTCGTCCCGGTCCGTCACGGCCATCCTCGGCCTCCGGAGGGCCCCCGGCCGCGGCGCGGTGCGGCGGCGTCACAAATCCGACCACAGAGCACCGGGACGCGGTCGGGCGATCTAAGGCCCAACTAGGCGTATGCATTGCCCGGAACTTGATTTCGCTGAGGTCGGCTGCCTACTTCTTTGCTCGGGGCAACCTCATGATGTCTCACCTCGGCACCGTTGGCGCTAGCTGGTCGGCGCTCTTCGTGACCGTGAGCATCCTTGGTGCTAGCACTGTCGTGCATGTGCGCAGCGTGGGTGGCCCTTCTCCAGTGCTCCTGCTGATGGCTTCCGCTCTTGCGGCTGTCTCCCTCAACTGCGGGGTGTGGCTGCATGCCTCGGTGAGCGTCCACCTAAGTGGGTGGATGCAACGTGGCGTTCCCCACTGCCCTGGACTAGCAGGAGTGCGCAAGACAGTCGACGCACCGTCTGAGCGGTTGCACGCGTGCCCTTGCCCTTAGTGGTGAGCGAGCCCAGCACCGTTGAAGTCAGAGTGCATCGGCTTCGGCACCATACCACTGAGAGAGATTTCAACACTGCAATCCCCGCACCCGTGTCACCCATCCGCATCCCCGCACACGCTGTGGACTCGCTGTACTATACTAAAGTCTATAGTCATATCTGTGGAGGCATGCGCGGGATTATTACCCGCTTCCGACGGGTCTCGACGACATCTTTTTCAAACACTAACCGCGTACGACAGTGTGTTGAAATGAAAAACTCTGGTACAATATGCACGAGCGAGCGCGACCGCGAGCGGATGTGTCCCAATGTGTCCCAGTGTCGAACGCTCCGGCGCACGCGCAGCTCTCTCGCGCGGTGTCGAGCGGTGTGCGTCCGTGTGGCCTATGGCTTTGGCGCGGGGGTGTGGTGTGGGGGCGTACACCTCGCTCGCTCTCCCTCGAGATGTCTCTCTGTGTAGGATCGCCGCACGCAAAATCATCGCCTGCTCGTGCTGCCGGGCGTGAAGGTTTGCCGAATCGCGTCGAACCGCGTGATATTCCAGACGTCGGTCTGCGCGACCACGAGCCCCGTCACTGGTGAGACGTCGTACGAGATCTTGCCCGACCACGGAGAGATCTTTGGCCTCCACGGTAGCTTGAGCTCGCCCGACGCCACGTAAGTTGCCTCGATGGTCGCCCTCCCACTGCCCGCGGCCACCACACGCACGTGCACGTTGTCGAGTTGCGACCGCGTGGGCTCAAAGAGGAAGCCCAGCGCCTGGCGGTATCTCGAAAGGCCGTCGACCGCGTTGTTTGGGTCGACAAAGCGGCAATCGTCCGCGAAGAGGCTCGACGTCAGGTTGCCCGTCAAAATGTACCTCCCCTCGGAGAGGTCGCGCGCCTATTGGAAGATTCCGAGAAGGCTCCGGGGTTTCGTCGCCCTGCCCCGCGTCTCCTCTCCGTCGCGCGCCAGGGCGGCGGCGAGGTCGGCGGGTGCGAGCCCGATGCTCTTGGGCGCGGGATCGGCGGGTGCGCCGCCCCAGAGGAAGCCCCACTCGAACGGGCTGCGCCACGGCGCTCCCTCGCTCGGGTCCTGCAGCAGCGGCCAGTCGAGCTCCTCCCAGTCGGCGGTGAACTGGAACCAGAGGGCGGGCGTGCGGGCGAACTGGCGCAGCGTAAAGCGAGGAGCCTGCGAGACGCGTGGTGGCGCGTGAGGCAAGGCGAGCAGAGGTGAGGCGGCACCGCGGCCGCCTCTCGGCCGCACTTCGGGCCGCACCTCGGCCGCACCTCGGCCGCATCATCTCGCCCCGCCTCTCGACTACGGCCTCACGGAAATGAAGGGGAAGAACTCCTCGGCGACCGGGTCGCCCTGCCACGGCTCACCCCGCACCGCCGCCCAATGCCTCGCCAAGAAGTGCACCTGCCGCAGCCAGCACGGTGGGACGCGGCCGAGAGAGCCGAGAGAGCGCGGCCGAGAGAGCTGGCCGAAATGCCTGCCGCAGCCCGACGACCACGTCGAGCGGCGGCGGCAGCAGCGCCCACCACGCGTAGACTGGGAGGGTGGGAGGGAGGCAGCGGTGGAGACGACGCGGCGATGGGGGCGTAAGCAGTGGAGAGAGGCGGCGGGGGCGGAGGAGGGAGGCAGAGGTAGCAGTGGGACCTAGCCCCTCCGAGGGGCTAGGTCCCACTGCTGTCGGGAGATCTGACCTGGCGGCTCGAGCAGCGCCTCGTCCTTCGTCCAGAGCGGCCCGCTCTCCCCGTGCAGCTCGTTCACGCGGCGGTAGAGGTTGACCTGTGTCGCGGACGCGCCGTCAAAGCGCTGTCAAAGCACCGAGCGGCTTAAGCGCTGTCAAAGCAGGATCCAGCACATGGTGTATATGGCGCGGCAAATGCCACAGCAGGAGATACAGCGCGGCACCTGCCCCAGCAGGATCCAGAGCGCACCGGCGTCGACCAGCAAGTCGGCGCCCGGCAGGCCGGCGAGCAGCCCTACGCCGCCGATCAGGAAGCTCCATACCTAGTGACATGGAGGCGCCTGGCTGTGATTGCCATGCGACGTCCGAGCGGCATGAGCCGCCTCCCACCGCCGCCGGCGAATACTCGCAGAGTGTGCAGACGCATCTAGGCGGCCCAACGAACGGGAAGAGCGTGCCGTAGCCACCGCAGCCAGTGGCGCGGCCGGAGCGGCGGAGCTCGTCGTGGAAGAGCTCCTGTGCACGACGCAGGAGGAGGTCTCTGGTGAGCGAGGCGAGCGGCAGAGGACGCGCGTGTCTCGCAAGTGCCACTCGCCTCCTCGACGGAAAACTTGTAGTACCCATACCAGCCCAGCGCTGTCGGCACGGACGCTGCGATGACGAGCCACACTGGCCGGGACAGCCCGGGCGTGCACGGTGGAGAGGTCAGCCGCTCCCACAGCGCTCGCCGCACTTCGGCGCTCTGCAGCGCATCGGAGGCGCACGGAAGAAGTGGTTGTGGACCGTCCTCCTCGCGAAGGCGGACATACTCGGCCACGGCCGGGATGAAGTTTGTCCGTGCGAAGAGGCCGTTGGCACCGCGGCAGAGTCGGTCGATGTAGTCAGAGCCCTTCGGAGGCGGGTAGCTGCCTATACGGGTAGCTGCAGCTATCGTCGCCTCGCCTTCCGACGCCTAGGGCACGCTTGCCCGCAGTGCCGCCGCCGGAGCCTCCACGCGCACACGAGGTGGTTGAGTCGGCAGTGAGCGGCTGTCGACGAGTGGTAGGCGGAGCAGCTGTCGTCCGCCGGCAGTTGACCGGCAAGATGAAGTCCACCGCGCTCGCAATCGGGATGTCCGGAACCGCCTCGCCGAGGCGCACAATAGTCCTCAGTCTGGCGAAGGCCAATTCTGTCATCCTGGAAAGCCCAGAGCGGGACGTCAAGAGGCCATTCGGCCGAAAAGCAGCACTGTTTTGGGCGGTACTTCGTGCGGTACCGGCGAGCGGTACCTTGTCTTGTTTAGGGGGTCAAGACGAGAGTGCGTGGAAGCTTCAGGCAGGCTCGGTATGAACGGAGTTCAGCCCGCAAGACCGAGGCCCCTCGGTGTTCACAGCGGAGTGGCTGGGGCTATCCAGACAGCCTTCACGGCCTTCACATTGTTATTGAGAAGAAATACGAACCACACTGTACCGTCCTGGGCTGTGCGCTGGTCTGTGAGTTGGTGAGCCCTGGAAGCCCTGGGGATGGGGGGAGAATCACAATTCTGCCCGAAATCGCAGAGGGACAGTTAGACATGCAAGGGGCCCAGGAAAATTTTCACACAAAAAGCTCGTATTTTTTATTTCGCAGCCCCAAGATCGCCGGCAAGGTGAGGAGGAACAGTCAGGCTCGGACTGGACACCAGCGTAGTGAGAAAAGTGCTGGTCGAGACCGTGATACGGATCGATTTCGCCGGGTCAAAGGTGGAGATTGGAGATGGAGAACACAGATCGTAGATCCTCGCGCCGGGCATCCACCGCTGGAGCGGAGATTGGAGATCGAGATTGGAGATTGGAGATCGCAGCTGGCGGCGGCAGGAGATTGGAGATTGGAGGAGGAGATCGGAGATGTGTCGACGCTGGAAGATTGGAGATGACGCCGCTGTCGTGACCTTTTTTTTTTGATAAAAAGGTTACTGGTTCGCGGACGGCCCGGGGAGCCTGCGGCGCCATTCTAATCTACTCCACCGCCGCCGCCAGTGCCGCCTCCGGCTCCGCCGCTGCCGCCGCAGCTGCCGCCGCTGCCTCCGGGCCCGCCACCATCCCCGCTCGCGCCTCCCTCGGCCCTCGCCGCCGCCGCCCAAAATTTGCTCATACCCGAGCATTGAGGCGGGACGACAATACTGTGGCGACGGCGGTGCCGCGGCCCTTGCTGCCGGCTTCGCGCCCGACCTCGCCACGTGCCAGCAGCGGTGTGAGAGTAGCAGCGGGTGCAGCTAAAGAAAGAAAGAAAGAAAACAGACAACCCAAACGAGGGATGCAGCTTTGTCACCTACTTCACGCGCCAGCGAAATTTCTTCGAGCATGTGAGCCGTTGAAGATGAGCGCGCGCGTCACAGCGCAGGCCAGGTCTACACTGGCCGCGGCACCAGCTCCCGCGGTCTGCACGCTAGGAGTGGTCCGCCCTCGCAATGAATGCGGAATACTATTACGAAAAGTACAACTAGTGCGACACACTAGTCAGTCTCGTAATCGCGCCAAGAGCGCGGATACACACACAAACAACAGGCGCGGCTATGAATAGCTGCGCATATACAGATAACGACTGTTCACAGTTGGGAGAGAGAGAGTCGTCTCTAACCCCGCTCCCCCCTAGTTGCATCGGCAACTATCTCGGACGACTCGCGCGTCTTCGGCGAAGGGGTGATGACTCACGCCTTGCCGACGGTCGCGACGAGCTTGCTCCACAGCCGGGCAGCCTGCCCCTGGAGCGTCACAGCAAAGCCGGGGCCGTTGCTGGCGTTGAGCATGTAGTCGCGACAGGTGAAGAACATAGCTCGCGTCGCCTGCGTCTTGGTGAAGACGTCGGCGATCATATAAGCAGTGCCGACGAGGTACGGCGCGACGTGGCGGAGCATGAAGAGGCGCTTGACAAACATGGTGGCACGTTCGTAGTAGCGCGTGCGAGCAGTAGAGCCGGGCTTGACGATGATGTCAAAGACGGCTTTGCAGTCACCGAGCTGGGGCGTGGGTCCTGCGACAGCTCGGCCAGCGTCCTCGAGCATGAGCCGGCAGGAGACGACTTTCTTGGCGGCGACGGAGGCGGTGGCGGTCTCCTCTTCGGCGACGCTGAGAGCCTCGATCTTGGACTTGTTGGCGCTCCAGTCGATGGCGCCGTTGTTGAACATCACGACGCATCCGCCGTAGTGTGGCGCCTTGCCGAAGGAGGCGTCATGGTAGGCGTGGAGGCCACGAGACTCGATGAAGCCTGGCGGGAAAGTGTCGAGTCCGTAGGGGATCTTGAGCTTTCCGCCGTAGGTGATGCCGAGGTGCTTTGTGGCGTTGAGATAGTTGATGACGGTCATGATGGCGTCACGATGGACGGCGCCGCAAGCCTGAGAGAAAGAGCCGAGCTTCGAGAAGAAGTACTTGATGTCGGGGCGCGTCATCTCGGCAGGCCACCCGATGGTTCCTAGCGGCTTCAGGAACTCGGTGACGGGGATGCGGTCGCACTCGGCAGCAGGCTCGAGCTTATCGAAGAGGGCGCGCTGGACGTCGGTCGAGCCGGCTGGGGTGGACTGAGCACGAGCGCCAATCTCGTTGCCGTAGAGGGCGGCAATCCGCTCGATGTACCGGGTCTGCCGAATAGTGAGCGTGCGGTTGGCTCGGTCGCGGAGTACCTCGATTCCGGTGAAGACGGAGATGGGGACGATATCGAGCGTCGCAATCTTGATGTACGTTCCATATTCCTCTTTGAACCGGACGTACTGGTCGGTGGCGGAAGCGGCAAAGCCGTTTGCGACGTCGTCTGCAAAAACAACGATGATTAGGCGAAAGGCTGGGTGGCTGTAGAAGTTTGGCTCGGTGAGCGAGGCGACGCAGCCAAGCTTGACGAGGGCGTCCTGGTTGAGTTTGAACCAAAGGTAGGAGCCCTGTTTGATGCCCTCGAGCGCTTTGAGAAGCATGAGCACAAAGCCCTTCTTGACGAACCCGGGTGGCATCTGGGTGTAGATCTCGGCATCGACGTCAGCCTGAGTAAACGCCTTGACGCCGTCGGCCGTGTCAGTCTCGAGGTCTTCGTCAGCGACTATGGCACACCATAGGCGGAAGGCTGTTGCGCTCAGAGTGCGCGCAAAACACTCGTGGTACTCCTTGCCTTCACGTTGTCCAAAGCCTTTCCCAACGAGACGAGCCTTGACCTTCGCTCTTGTCTCGTGGCGTCTCTGCGGCTCCGCGGCCGAGCAGATGGTGAGGTTGCTCTGCGTGGCGTCTCTGCTCGGGTACGCCAGCGCTGGGTGGACGGGAGCCCTCGGCTTGACGTTCGAGTCGAACAAGCCCGTCGAGGCCAAGTCGCTCTTCTGCCCGAGCGGCTTCATCACTGGCATCCGCGTCAAGTACGGCCGCACGAGGGACGAAGATAGGGACTTGTACGACTTCAAGCTCAAGTGCGGCCAGCGCTGGACGAGCTGGTCGGGGCTGTGGTTCAAGAACGAGTTGGAGGACAAGACGTACGAGTGCCCGGCAAAGATGTACGTCACGGGGATCGAGGTGTGCTAGCTGTGAGATGCCCTGCGGCCGCCGCCGCTCAAGGCTTCGCCCCGGCTCGGCCGTCGTCGCTGCCCGCCGCCGTCGCGTGCCGCCGCTGCTAGTCGCTCGGTTGGTCGGGACACCGACACACCACACCAAAAGCCGCTAGCATTGAGTCTTTGAGTCCGCCGGCTTGGCTGCTGCACAGGTCAAGCGGGGGCGGCGTGAGTGGGGCGACAAGGACACGTACGACTTCAAGCTGCAGTGCTCGGGCGTGTGGCAGGACTTCATGGGCATGAAGTTCGGGGGGCAGCAGGAGCAGGCGGGCACCGAGTGCCCCAGCGGCGAGGGCACCTCGGGGCTCAAGGTGATGCTTCTAGAGAGGAGAGAGGCGGCGAGTGGGCGGCCGAAACGCCCCTCCAGGCGGAGAGACCCAGCAGTGGGCAACCCGACACCACCACCTTCCGGCGACGCACCCGCCTCGCCGCCGCCTTCACCGCCCACGCCACCGCCGCCCTCGCCGCCGCCCTCGCCGCCGCCCTCGCCGCCGCCACCCTCGCCGCCGCCGCCGCCGCCGCCGCCCTCGCCGCGGCCGCCCTCTCCTCCGCCCCCACTGCCTGCCTCTGCCCCTCACCTCACGCCAGCGCTCCAATGCCGGGCGGCCGCACCGATGGCCGTCCGGTCAAAAGCGAACTGTACTCTCTGGCACACCACTGCCCGCGGGTTAGCTGGCGACCTCCGCCCCTGCACTGCGGAGCTCCCTTACCGACCCGCCGACACTGGCTCCCCCCCCCCCCCCCCAAGGACACCCCTCCACGGCGCTATTCGCCTCCCTCACTCACACACACCTCCCGCGCACTGCTCCACCCCTCAACACGCCCTGCACGCCCACTGTGTCCGTGTGCGGTCCTCGCCCATAGGTGTTTCGCGGCTTTGTCGACTGGGGCGACAAGGACCTGTACGAGGTGACTTCCGAGACCCCCCCCCCCACACACACACCGCACACGCACACACACTTGCCTAGCCAGTACCCGGCGCTCGCTCGCTGCCTCTGCTGCCGCCGACGCGCCCCTCGCGTGCCTTGCCCGCCTCACCTCAACCCCCCCCCCCCCCGCCCCCGCCAGTTCGAGCTCAACTGCAAGTCGATCGCGGCCAACTTGGCGTCGATCCGCGGCCTGCCCGATCTCAAGATGCTGGGGCTGCAGCGAAACGTGCGCTCCCACCTGCAGCTCCGCTCCGCCACCGCCACATGCCAGCCTGCCTGCGGCAGCGGCCAGCGACCATACCGGGGACCAGCGGGGGCCGCAGCGCCGGAAAGGTCGCGCGGCTCAGCCGGCATCCATCGCGCCACGTTAGCGGCGGGGGGAGGCCGCTGCGAGGGCGGGGCGTTCGGGGGCGGGGGGAGGGGCGTTTGCGCACACGCAGTCCTTGACACTCACGCTGGCGCGCGGCGGTGTGCATGAGTGCCGCCCCGACGCCGCTTCCCAGGTGCTGGTGTGGGACGGGGAGCAGCTCGGCGCGTGGCTAGAGGCGCTCGGGTTGGGCGACCTCGCCCCCTCCTTCCTCCACCACAACGTCAACGGCGGCACCGTCTTCTTGCTGACCGAGGAACACTTGCGCGACCTCGGCTTCAGCGTCGTCGGCGACCGGCTCTACTTTATCGAGCTGCTCACCCAGCTGTGCGGGATAGCCGAGACGCCCCGCCACGGGCCGAGACGAGCCGGAGACGAGATGAGCGAGCCCGCCTCTCCGCGTGACGGCGGTGCACATGGCACAGGTACGACGACATCGTCGCGTGGTCGAGCAAGATCGGCGTGCAGCTCGCGACGCACCCGGTGCCGCCGCTTCGGCAGATCGGCCTCACGCTGCAGCCGACGACGTGGAGCGTCAAGGACGTGTGCAAGGTGCTCAAGGCTGTGGGGCTCGAGGCGAGCGCCGCCCGCCCGCACGTCCGCCACCCCACCGCCCAAGCCATCCCACCGCCCAAGCCATCCCACCGCCCAAGCCACCCCGAGCCCTCGACATCCGCGCCACGCCGCCGCGGCGCAGGAGTACGTTGAGCTGTTCGTCGAGCACCGGATCCAGGGCGACGTGCTGTTCAACCTGACCGAGGAGAACCTCAAGGAGATGGGCATCGAGAAGATTGGCGACCGCCTCCTCATCACCGACATCGTCCAGACGCTCTACGAGCAGGTGACGGGGTGGCAGCAGCAGCAAGTCAACCCGCAGTCCCTGCTGCAGCTGGGCGCGGCCTGACACGGTACGGCACGGCCGCTGGGGAAGCGGCGCCCGCGCTCTCCGCGCCGTGAGAGCGGCGGATGGCTGCCCTAGAGGCCGGTGACGAGGCGCCCGCGTTGCGCACATATTTGAGCCGAAAGGGGGGGGGGGGGGCGCCGGTCCGCGGAGTACCGCCCAGCATGATGCGCGCCTAGTCGTTTACAAACGTACATATAGCTTGCGAGGGGGCTCTTTGCGGGCGCCTAGATCTAACTTCCCATCCTAAAAGCTCCGCCCGGTCCACACCCCACCTCGCCACCACCGGCCGCTATTGGTTGGCCGCGAACACGGCGGTCTTCCCCCCCCCCCCTCTGATTTCCCAAAACTCAAACACGGTCAGCCATTGCGCGGCGCGCACATTGCGGAGGGCGGAGAGCTCTGCCGCAGATAGTCGTAATCGTATACGAGGTCGATGGAGGTGGCTACTTGTGGAGCACAGGCGCCTCGCGCATGTGTGCCACACCAAAGTTGGAATCAAGTTGCGAGCAAACGCCACACGAGGCCGGGCATTTGCTCAGCATGAAGGAATGATGCACCTCCGCGTCGGGGGCGCAGTGGCCCGCCTCCGCCCATGCCGCGCAGCTCTCGTGCTGGTCCATGCAGATCAGGGTGCACGCGCCACATGAGTACGGGCAGCTCTTGATGACCGCTGCAGGGTTGTGCTCGCATTCGCCACTGTCATGCCACACATGGCACTGCGTACTATTGCTGTCCTCGCACTTGAGGTTATGGTTGAGCCCGTCGCCACAGACGCCACAGGACGCAGGACAGCGCTGCGGCGCGCGAGGCGGGACGCGGTTGGTGGATGCAATAGGCGTCTAGAGATGAAGCTAGAGCTAGTGAGGCATGCGCAGGCTGCAGAACTGTGGGCAGCGAGGAGAGGCACCTCGAACATGAACTGCGAGTTCCTGCCGCACTCTCCGGTGCGAACCCAGTGGCCGCATTGCCAGTCCTTGTCGCGGCACGCGTGCATGCACGTGCCACACGACCTTGGGCAGTACAGCGTCATGAAGACTGGATTCTCGCGGCACTTGCCTGCGTCAGCCCATCCGGCACACTGATACTTGGTGTCCCGGCACTCGGGCGTACAGATCCCGCAGTGGATCGGGCACTCTCGCATCATCGAAAGGACATTCTTCTCGCATTCGTTCTGTCGAGCCCAGCCAGCACAGTGCTCGTTGGTCTCCGTGCACTCAAACTCACACACCCGGCATGTCAGAGGGCAATGGATGGCCATGAATTCGGCGTTGGAGGAGCACTCGCCCGCGTCACCCCAGTTCGAGCAGTCAGGGTGCCTGTCGGTACAGATGCCGCCCAACTCCAAAACTGTAAAGGCAAGCATGGCGATGGCACAACGAGGTTCTCGAGGTTCTCGAGGTGGATATCCTTTGGCCGTGTTGGGTAGGTACAACGAGGAGGGGACGGCCGTCGCTGATTTTGATGAGGGTTCGTCCGTCTCGATGAGCCTGCGGCGCGGCGCCGATGGCACCAGGAGTAAGGCGGTCGCAGAGATGTGGACGGCCGACGCTGATTTTCAGTGTACGTACTGTAGCTCTTACGAACATACCCGTATTTTGTGTGAATAACTTCAGCGGAGCTGCGGGCGGTGCACGGACGGAGCTAAAAGTGCCTCGCCGCCCTCCACGGAGTAAGGATGAGGAATTCTTCCTAGGGCGGCTGCCGTGGTCCTGTGTTTGTGCCAGTGCGTGCCAGTCCCTTCACGTGAATGGCGAGTTGCTGTCTTTCCCCCTTCTCGACTGTCTGTGCTTGTGCGTCTTGGGTCCGGAGTTGTGCGTTTATGTGAATGGCGAGAGTCCTGTTGTCGATCCTCCTGTTGTCGATCCTCTTGCTCGACATCTGCCAGGCCCTCAGCGTCGGACCCACCGCGACCGTGCGGGTGCGACTCTGAGTCCCCTCAGCGTCAGATCCGCCGCTGCGGCAGTGCGGGTGCGAGCGCCAAGCCCACGGCTGAGCATCCTTGAACGCCCCGACACGCCGCTCTTTTGTCTCAACGTATGCCTCCGCATCAAGCCGTCCTGCCGCGAAGAGTTCCTTGAGTGCATCCGGCAGAATCAGAAGGGCACGCTGTCAAGCGAGCCGCTGGCCGTCACGTACGCCTACGGTGAGGACGAAACGACGCCAGACACCTGGCACTTTTTCGAGCAGTACGTCGGCCGCGAAGGCTTCGAGGCACACACCCAGACGCCGCACTTTGCGGCGTGGGAGGCGTTTGCCGCATCCGATCCGTTCAGCGCACCGCCGGAGGTCAAGTTCTTCGTCGAGGACTCGGCGTCAACCGTGTGCAGCGGCGCCGCGGCCGTGCGCGCCGTCCTGGCCGCTGGTGACTGGACCAAGCTCTTCTGCCTCGACGTCGAGATGGCCGTCAAGCCAGAGGCCCGCGAGGGCTTCCTCGAGGCACTCCGGGCCGATCAGAGCGGCGCGCTCTCCTCCGAGCCGCTGGCGGTCTCGTACCTCTTTGGACAACGAGAGGCCCAACGTCTTCCACATGTTTGAGGCATACTCTGGCGGCCGCGAGGGCTTTGCCCAGCACGCAAAGACACCGCACTATGCTAAGTGGGCCGAGTTCAAGGGCACCGAGCCCTTTGCGGCGCCCGCCAAGGTGGGCTACTACGTGGTGGACCTCGACGGGCACCAAGAGCGGTTGCAAACGGGGTGAGGAGTCACGAGTACTGTCCGCGTATCGTGCGAGGGAGTTTGGTCTTACATCTTTTTTCTAACCTAAAAAGAAAGAAATAATACGGGCATTTCGCGCCTAAAACGGTGCGCAACCAACAACGCCGTTGCAGCACCGATGGAGGCTGCCGCGAGTAAGAGCGTCCAGCGACGCGAGACGCTCGAGCTGTGCTCCAAGATCGCTCCGCCGGCCGCACTAGGCTCGCCGGTCGCCTTTGCCGGTAGCTCCTCCGCAGCCGCGTCCCAGCCCTGGGCTGTCGCACTCGGCGCGCCGCTTCGAGCTCGATACCTCGCCTCCTCGCGGGGATCCTTTGGCACAAAGTGGTACTCGGGCGTGGCGACCGCTGTGCACGCCGATGGTTCTGTCGACGTCGCATACGACGATGGCGACGCAGAATTGAGGGTGCAGCCAAAGTTTATCAAGGCTCCGGCCGCACAGCCGCCGGTGGCACAAGCGCCAGTCGCACCTCCCGCAGCGAACCCCGGCGCCTCCACGGCCACGCCCTCCTCCACGGCCGCCGCCCTTGGGAAGCGCAAGGTGGTGCCGACGATGGTGCAGATCGGCAACCAGTGGGTGAAGCGCCAGAACATGTACGACATGGAGAGCGGCGAGCGCTCCGTCTTCGACTCGGAGTTTGACGGCACGCGCGACGCCGCCTTTGCGCCCCGCGACCGGCCAGTGTACGACGCCGCCAGAGCGGCGGCGGCGCCGAAGGCTGCGCCCAAGAAGCCGGCGCGGCCGCCGTCGGACGCCGAGGTGCGCCGCAAGGAGAACAACGAGGCGCTGCGGGCCGAGGCGGTCGTCCTCGCGGCGCGGCGCGCACGCTTCTTCGACGAGCACCGCGGCGCGATCGCGCCCTTCGTGAGCGGGTCGGTGATCTCGGCGACGGCCGCGGCGGCGGCGGCGGCGGCGGCGCTGCCGGCGAAGCGGCCGCTCCTCTCCCAGCCGGAGGCGGTGAGCGGGGGCGAACTTCGAGACTACCAGCTGGTCGGCCTCGACTGGATGGTCGACCAGATCGACCGGCGCGGCCTGTCGCCCATCTTGGGCGACGAGATGGGCCTCGGCAAGACGCTGCAGACGATCGCCGTCATCGCGCACCTCAAGTTTGGGCTGAAGCAGCCGGGCGCTAGCCTGGTGGTGTGCCCGCTCTCGGTCCTCTCCACCTGGTGCGCCGAGCTCAAGCGGTGGTGCCCGTCGCTCCGCACCATCAAGCTGCACTCGAGCGACGTCGCCGAGCGAGAGCGGCTCAAGACGCAGATCGGCGAGACGATTGGCGAGTACGACGTTGTCGTCACCACGTATGAGATGGTCAGCCCGCCCCCGCCGTCGCCCCCGCCTCCGTCACTGCCGCCCCCGAGCCCGCCGCCCTCGCCACCAGCATCGCCGAGCCAGCCCCGATCCGTGACCACTCTCTCCAGGTCAAGGCGGCCGCGCTGCGCTCGACGCTCGTGCAGAAGGTGCGACGCGCCGTCTTCAGGCCGCTGTCTCGTGGCGGGCTCCATGACCTCTCCTCCTCCGTTCGCGTAGGTGCACTGGCGGCTGCTGGTGCTCGACGAGGGGCACGTCCTCAAGAACGTCGAGACGGAGATCGCGCAGACCGTGCGCAAGATGTGCGCAGCGAGCCCCTCAGGGCGGCGGACGCGAGGGTGGCGAGGGGCACGGTGGGGAGGGCGGCTGCGACGGTGGAGGCGGCGGGGGTGGGGCTGAGGGCGGGGGCGGCGTGGGGTGCGGCGAGGGCGGCGGCGCCGGTGACGGTGGTGGCGGCGGCGTGGGGTGCGGCGAGGGCGGCGGCGCCGGTGACGGTGGTGGCGGCGGCGTGGGGGGCGGCGAGGGCGGCGGCGCCGAGGGCGGTGACGGTGGTGGCGGCGGCGTGGGGGGCGTGCTTCTCCCCGCAGCCACCGCGCACTTGCGCGTCGCAGCTCACCGGTCGCCCCGCGCCGCCGCCCTGCAGGCACTTTGTCTCCGCGCTGCTGCTCACCGGGACGCCGCTGCAAAACAACCTGACCGAATTGTGGGCGCTCCTCAACCTGCTCTACCCGGACACTTTCCCGGAGGCGGCCGTCTTTGACGAAGGCTTCAACCTCGGGCAAGGCACGGACAACGCGGAGGCTCGGAACCGCCTCTGAACCGCCTCTGAACCGCGCCTCTGAACCCTCTCGCAGGCAAGGTCAACGCGGCCACGCTGCAGCACGCGCACGAGCTGCTGCAGCTGCTGATGCTCCGGCGGCTCAAGGAGAGCGTTTATCTTAGAGCCGAGCTTACATCAGACACACCGACTCAGCGGACAGCACCAACTCGCAATCCCTTCACAGACCTTGTTACCTCGTGTGTGTGGAGAAGTTTACCGTACCTTACCTAGGAGAGCGTCGCAGCCGGGCTCCCGCCCAAGCTCGAGACGCTCGTCACGTGCCCGCTCGCCGGGGCGATGGACGAGTCCGGGACACGTCCACGACATGTCCGAGACATGTCCGTAGGTGCCCGCTCGCCGAGGCGCAGCTCTTCTGGTACCGCCGGCTGCTCCTCAAGGACTATAGCCTCCCCCCCCCCCCCTTCCCCTCCCCTCACACACCGCTCACCCACGCGAACCGGGCCTTGCTCTTTGAATGCCGTGGGGCTCCTATCTGTGGACGTTGAGTCGCGAGGGTTGCCCGGCCCTTGCCCCACCATCTTGTGTGTGTGCGCGCAGAAGTTTACCTCACCTTACCTCACCTTAGGACTCGAGCGTGCTCCGCACCGTTGAGGCGGGCGCGGAGGCGGAGGCGGGCAGCGGCGCAAAGTACAAGACGCTGATGAACCTCCTGATGCAGCTGCGCAAGTGCCATATCTCCCCATATCTCCCCATATCTCCCCATACCTCTTGATGTAGCTGCGCAAGTGCCGCCTCCCTCGCCCCCGCTCCCTCCCCTCCACCGCCCTCACCTCCACCGCCCTCGCCTCCACCGCCCTCTCCTCCTCCCCCGTCGCCTCCGCCGCCGTCTCCTCCGCCGCCCTCACCTCCGCCTCTCTCGCTCCCCCTTGACCCCGCACTTCATCGCTAGGTGCTGCGACCACCCGTTCCTGTTCCCGGGAGCAGAGGAGGACCCCGACGAGACACCGCTCGAGGAGCTCGTTGGCGCGTCGGGCAAGCTGCGCGTGCTCGATCGGATGCTCGTCAAGCTGCACGCCAAGGACCACCGCGTCGTCCTCTTCTCGCAGTTCTCGTCGATGGTCGACTTGCTGGACGACTACTGCCGGCAGGTGTGCACCCTGCTAGTACGTGTGTGCTCACACCACTACACTGTGGGGGGTGTCCGAGCCATGCATGTGTGCGTCTGTGCGTGTGTGGGACAGACGTTGTTGTCCTATGCGCGGGGCTTCCCGCGGGGACCGAAGACGTAACCCCCCCCCCACCCCCCTCCTTCTGCCGGCAGCGCGGCTGGAACTTCGTCCGCCTCACCGGCTCGACGACCTAGAAGCTGAATACGCATTCTTGTGTTCCAACTAGCGCTCGAGAGGACACGTATTCAACGGTATTCCGCCGTATTCAGCGATTGTATTCGAGTGCGTTCAGCACGTAGGCTCGACGAACCGGGTGCAGCGAATGGTCAACCTGCAGTCCTTCAACGCGCCCGGCTCCAAGGTCTTCCTCTTCCTCATGACGACGCGCGCGGGCGGCCTCGGCATCAACCTGCAGACCGCCGACACGTGCATCCTCTTCGACAGCGACTGGAACCCGCAGCAGGACCTGCAGGCGATGGGACGGGCACTTCCTAGACACTTCCTAGACACTTCCTCGACACTTCCTCGACACTTCCTCGACACTTCCTGACTCCGTGACCGGCAGGCGATGGCGCGCGTGCACCGGCTCGGCCAACAGAAGCCCGTGCACGTGTACCGGCTGGTGTCGGGCGGCACGGCCGAGGAGCGCGTGGTGCAGCGCGCGCAAAAGAAGCTCTACCTGTCCGAGACGGTCAACCGAGGCGCTCAGTCGACGGACGACGACCTCGATAAGCTCTCGGGCAAGGAGGTGCTCGCAATGATTCGCTTCGGAGCCGAGGCGGTCTTCGCCGGCGGCAACCGCGAGCCGACCGACGCGGAGCTCGAGCAGCTGATCGATCGCAGCCGCACCGAGGCGGACGGAGGCGGCGAGGGCGGCGCGCTCCGCGGCGGCGCGGCGCTCGACGCCGCAACCTTCGACGCCACCGCCGCGCCCGTCTCGACGCGCTCAATCTTCGGCCAGAGCTTCGAGATGCCAAAGAGCGAGCGCGACATCGCGTCCGCGTGGAGGCAGCAGGCGCCGCCTCCTCCCCCCCCCCCCCCCCCAAACCAACCCCCCCCCCTCCCCTCGACCGCCTCGAGCCCCGCCCGCTGCACCCACCCACACAGTGCCTCGTCCCTCCCCGCGCGTCTTCAGGTGCAGGGCAAGCGCGAGAAGAAGGACCGCATCAAGATGGTCGCCGCCGCCGGCTCGGGCTACGGCTCCAAGCTCGTGCCCGTGCTCGCGCAGAACGACTACGACCTCGGCAAGACACAGTCGGTGTTCGAGCGCGAGCTCGGCGGGCGGGCCGACCGCGAGGCGTTCAAGGTGGAGAAGCGCAAGCTGCTCGTCGCCGGCCGTGACTACGCGCACGAGGCGACCCGCGCCGCCTCTGGTCGGACGGACGCGCGCGGGACCGTCTCTGAGCCGTCTCTGAACCGTCTCTGAACCCGCCTGCAGGCGACGTGCCTCGCTTGCTTCCGCGACGGCGCGGAAGGCGGCCCGAAGGCAGCTTGCTCGGGCAGCGGCAGGTTTCAGCTGCTCGGCTGCAAGGGCTGCCCGATGGCGCTCCACGTGGGCTGTGCGCACGCCCTCGGCTGCACGACGCACGGCAGCGGCTTCAACGCGTTCACATGCCCCCACCACGCGTGCGGCGGCTGCGGGCGAAAGGCGGGCGCGGCGGGCGGCATGCTGTTCAGATGCGAGGCGTGCCCGAGCTGCTACTGCGAGGATCTCCTGCCGGCCGAGGCGCGGAGCCGTCTCTGAGCCGTCTCTGAGCCGTCTCTGAACCCTCCAGGACTGCCTTCCGGTCGAGGCGGAGATCGTCGGCAACTGCCCTCGCTTGGAGGCGCGGGGAATCCGCATGCCCAACCAGGGCTGCTACGTGCGCTGCTCGGCGCGCTGCGTCGCCGCCATGGCCAAGTCGGCGTCCGAGGAGGAGGCGCCGCAGTCGTACGCGCCGCTCGACCTCGAGCCGATCTCTGCGGAAGAGCCGGGGGAGGAGGCGGCGGCCGACGGCGACGGCGGCGCGGCCTCTGCCGCTTCTTCGTCTACGGCGGCGTCTGGCGGCGGCGGCGGCGGCGGCGGCGGCGGCGTGTTCGCCCGCATCTTTGAGGGCGCCGCCGCTGCGTCGCTCGCCGTGGACGAGGTGGGAGTCAAGTCCTTCCGCGCGGACCTCGGTGCGTATTTGCTCAGCGTGGGCGAGGAGACGGACGGGCGCTACTACTCGGCGCCGCTGCGCCAGCAGAAGAGCGGCAAACGACTGCTGTTCGGCAAGGAGGCGCCATCTGCCTCCGGAACGCCGCTCGTCAAGGCGCTTGTCAAGGCGGGCAAGGCGCGTAAGCTCCGGCCCGAACAGACGGAGGCGCTGCTGCAGAAGGCGATTGCCGACGGGCTGCTGCAGCGCGTGACGCTGCCAACGCCGCCAGCCGCCGAGCCGTCCGCCGCCGAGCTGTCCGCCGGCGAGCCTGCCGCCAGCGAGGCTTCCGCCGCAGAGCCCGCTGCAGGGTCCGCCGAGCCCGCCCCACCTCCTGCGGCCGTTGGGGCGGCGGCCGAGCGCGAGGCCGAGCCCGCAGCAGAAGTGGTCGACGTGGACATGCGCGAGGAGGGGACGCTGCCTCCCGGCCTGCCCCTCGCGCTGGGCGCGCCGACCGACCACGCCACTCTCGTGTCGCTCCTCTCTGCGCTGGTCAAGACGTACGCACTGTCGAAGACCAAGCTGGCGGACGTGCTCGGCTTGAAGTCGTGTGGCTCGTTCTACGTTTGGCTCAAAAAAGGCGCGCAGTCCGCCGAGATGCAGAAGTCGATCGATGCTCGGGTGGCGTCGTTGTTGTGCGACGGCTCACGGCTGGCGGAGCTCATCAAGGGCAAGCAGGCCTCGGCGGCGAAGCCGGCGGCGGCCGAGTCCATCGAGCGCAAGACGGCGGCGGCGGAGGAAGAGGAGGACGAGGCGGACGACGGCGCCAGTGTCGAGGAGCTCCTCGTGCGCCTCGCCGCCGCACGCGCCGCCTGCGGCACGGCCGCCGACGTGGACCCACTCTACGTGGCCTCGGAGGCGTTTGGCGCCGAGCTGCGCGCAGCCGCCGCCGCGGAGGCCGCAGCGGAGGCCGAGGCCTTCCGCCGCCTCGTCGAGCGGACGCGCGCACCCCTCGTCAAGACCCTGCGCCGCCAGCTGAAGCGCGAGAATGGGGCCCAGCGCCAGCTGAAGCTGCCCGAGATGTCGCTGTCCCTCGCGCGAGCCACCGACTGGCGCAGCGCCATGTGCTGCCCACAGGGGTACGACTGCTCTGCAAAGGGCGGCGGCCACATCTGCTTCCTCTTCCCCTCGAGCGAGGAGCGCGCGATGGCCGCATATCTCCCCCAGATCTCCCCCAGATCTCCCCATATCTCCCCAGATCTCCCCATAGGAGCGCGCGATGGCCGCCGACGTCGTCGCCCACCTCTACAATGAGGGATCGCTCTCCTAGAAGCCTGAATACGTATCCCGTATCCCAACTGGCGCTCGAGAGGACGCGTATTCAACTGTATATGGCCGTATTCCAATGTATTCCAATGTGCGCACTTCATTTGCCTCCCTCGTCTTCACGCGGTGCTCTGAAGACTCTGCACCAGACCGTCTTCCCGCCCTGACGTTGGTGTATTCATCACGTAGGCTCGCTCTCGGCCGTCACGCGCGAGGGCGAGATCGCAGAGGCGCGCACTCTCGGCGCGCTGCCTCCCTTCTCGTCGTCGAGCTCCGCGGTCGCCGCCGCCCTCGCCGCCGCCGCCCCCGCCGCCGCTCCGCCGTGTGAGTGGAGCTCGCTCAAGGGTTTCACCGTGCCGCGGACCCCTGACGTGGTCGAGCTGCTCGCCGCGGCGGCGGCGGAGGCGGAGGCGGAGGCGAAGCGGAAGCTCGCGCTGCAGGAGGAGAAGGCGGCGAAGCGGCGCAAGCGCGAGGAGGCGGAGCAGGCCGCGGCGGACGAGCGCGAAGCAAGGCTGCGACTCAACCACCCGGACCTCGTGACGGCGACGCATGGCGCGCTGGCGGCGGAGCTCAAAGAGTGGCTCGTGCCGAACGCCGAGGAGCAGGCGGCGGCGGGCTACGTGACCATCTCCGTGTTCGCCTCGCGTCTCAGCCTTCTCGACCACGAGTTCAGCCGGTGGCTCAACCACGGCGGTGCCGACGCTGCACAGATGCTGCCATACTCGACTCTTCTCGACCTCGACGGCGTCGTCCGCCGCTGGCTGACCGCGCCGCGTCGCGACCCGACGCGCCGGCTCTCGGAGGCGGCTGTGGCGACGCACGCGCAGCTCGTGTCCCTCGTCACCGACGAGCACCTCGTGCTGCTCCAGCAGACAGGCCGGTACGCCGGGCTGCTCTCACGTGGCCAGATGGCTGCGCAGCTGGGCTTCTCGGCAAACCGCGGGGACCTCGTCTCCAACTGGATCAGCGGCCGGCCCGGTGCGCTGGTGGACGAGACGGTGCGGCTCTGGCTGTCCGATGCGCGGGATGTGCTGAAGGCCGCGGCTGCGCCGGTCGCGGCAGAGGCCCCTCCGGCCCCTCCGGCCCCTCCGGCCCCTCCGGCCCCTCCGGCGGGAGCCAGCATGGCCGTCCGCGGCCTCTCCGAGTACCTGGTTTCTTGCGGCGGCACGGAGGGCTTGATCGACGGCTGGTACACGCGGACAGAGGTGCGACATGCCGGCAGCACCGCCGGCACCTACGACACCTACTTCTTCTCGCCCGCCGGGAAGCGCTTCCGCTCGCGCGCCGAGGTGGCAAGGCACCTTGGCCTCGACCCAGGCGCCGCCCGCGCGCCGCCCGCGAGCGCCGCCCGCCAGCCCGTCGACGAGGAGGCGAGTGTCAACCAACCTCCCACAAAGGACCGTCGACGCGTCTTCACAGTCGACAGCTGTGAACAGGTGTCGGCGCGGAGCGCGCCACCACCACCACGTTCCACTTTGCCCGAGCTGTGGCGCTGATGCCGCGGCCGACGTCGCGGCGGGCATCGCTCGGCGAGGCGACCCCCGGCGCGAGCGAGATGGAGTCGATCCCTTCGTCGTGCACGCCTCCCGACGAGCTAGCCGGCCTTCCACGGCCCCCGGCGGTGCGACAGCGTGGTGCGCGCGCGTGTCGAACGAGCGGGCGACGGCGGGGGTGCACGGGGTCGGAAGGGCGGGCGCGCGGGGGGGGAGGGGGGGGGGGATCGATGCGGGCGGCGCGGCGGCTGAAGAGTTCGCCGCGTCCGACATTGCCGCCGCTGGGGAGAGGTGGGGTAGTGTGGGGTGCTCATGCGCCTGGCTCGCCCATGCCCGGGGCAGGCAGCTGTCGCGTGGCGGGGTCGACCGAGGCGCGGTCTCAGAGTAAAGTCTGTGAACTCTGTCCGTTCTCGACTCTGACTGTCCACGCGTGTGACCTTCCTAGGGTGATCTTGGGCCCGGGGCTGTGCTTTTGTGTCTACTATCAGAGTGGACAGTTTTATCTGGAATCTGCGCCATTCCCCCCCACTCCACCTAAAGTACTCAAGCGCTAGGCAACACGCCAAGAGAGTGAAGATGCGGCCCTGATCGTAGATGCGGCCCGGGCGCGAGCCGCGACACACGCAATCCAGCTGGAGAGGACGGGCAACCGCCCTCACAGGCAGCAAGCACCACCCTCGCGCGCCCGTCTCGGCTCACCTTCGTGGAGTCGGTGGCTTGTAGTCGCCGCCCGAGGAAGTGCCCCCTTGCGACGGCGTCTGCGGCGTGTTTGTCTCGCACTCGACCGGCCACCGCTCTGCATTCCACCGCCCCGCGCGGAAGTCCTGTTTGCCACGCGCGACCCTCTTCAGCTCATCCACCGTCGGCCAGCGGAAAACATTAATCCGGCGGCGGGGGCTGTACAGCGAGAAGGGTTGGTCGCTGTCCTGTGGCGGGGCGTCTCGTGATCGTGACGTATCGTCGAGGCGCGCACTGCCAAGATGTTGGGTGCTCGCAAAGACCCCGCCCGTGCTGCGTCGGTGAAATGTTAGCGTGGCAGGCGGAGGGGCAATGTCGAGGTCGAGCGACGTCTCCACCTTTCGCTCCTGCTCGAGCACCGAAGGCGCATAGGAGAGCTGCGTGAGTAGGGGCTTGGCCACCATCGTGAGCAGCAACTGGCCGCATGGCGCCATAAGAGCGAGGGTTGCCTGCGCGAGTGTCTGCAGTAGCCCGTCCTTCCCCGCGAACTCGTAGCTCCCCACCATCACGCCGGGATACAGGCCCTCGGCCGCAGGCCGCGCGGCTAGCACACCCTGGATGGTTGCACGCGGCAGCGACGCGGCCACGCAGAAGGTCGCCTCGATGACCACGTGCCTCACGCTCAGCGGGCCTCGCACCAAGCGCTTACGGGCCGTTGCGCCGCAAACGACGAGGCAGGCGACGAAGCGGCCAGCGAGGCCGCACGCCAGCGCAGGGAGAAGCTTGGGGAGCAGCTCGATTTTTCGGGGCACGTCTGTGATGCCGGCGCCGATGGCCGCAAAGAGAAACAGGGCACCAAAGACCCACAGGCCCTCGAAGAGCGTCTCGGCGTAGTGGGCTACGCGCGGCGAGAAGTAGGCACAGAAGAAGGTGGTGCAGATGAGCGCGAGCTCTGGAAGCATGAGCCCTTCGGGCTTGTGGCCCGGCGGCGTGGGCACAACAAGTGGCATGCCGTTTGACACGATTGGCTCACCCGCGGCGTCTTCCCCAGCGAGGCCAAAGACGAAGAGGGACGCGCCGAGTAGCACGAGGAACTCCTCCACCTCGGTGGACGAGAAGACCCGCCGGTCGGCTATGTGGAACCATTCTGCGTTGTTGCAAAATGCACTGATCCCAAACCCGACAACTAAGCCCAGGCCGATGGAGGCGGCCAGCTTGAGGACGACGCCGAAGGCCAGCCGCGCCCACAGCGGTGCAGGCGACTGCGCACCGGAGGAGGCGAGGAATGCGTACATGAAGAGCGCAAACGTGGCCTCGAGAGGAGCGACACAGGCCATTATCCGAGGCAGCGGCCCCAAGTCGCTCGCGCGGAGCTGCTGCATGATTGGGATGACGAGGCCGTCGCCCAGCGCGGAGAGCATCGAGCCAGCGAGCAACCCCTGCTGGAAGGTTACCTCGAGCGACCAGGACAGGACGAGGCCGATGCAGCACGTCTCGGTGAGTATTGGCACCGTCGCGAGCAGCAAGACCGTGAGGGTGAGGTCGTCGACATGGATCTCGCACCCGGCACGACAGAGCACGAGCACAAAGGCCAGCGTCTGCAGCGACGGCAGAGCCGTCTTCATCGTCTCACCCGCAAACTGACGGGCAAGGCAGCCGGCCAGCAGGACGCCGACTGCGCCGGGCATGCGCATTGCGCCAAAGACGCGGAAAATGACGTAGCCCGGCAGGATGATGAAGGAGAGATTGAGGAAGAATGCGTCGCTAGGGACCCATTCTGTCAGCGACAATGCTGCCGCGTAAGACATGAGCTCCTGGGGGTGGGGGTAGGCCGCGCAACGATCCGGACGCACGACTGCAGCAGGATAATCGGTACTCTAAGGGAACGGGAATTTCTTCATCTTGGTTTTTAAATTCATGCATAAACAGGATCAACACTGGGGGGGGCACGGGACTGGCGATAGGCACACCGGGCCAGGACAACAGTTGGGTGGATCCGTTTCGTTCGGGATTCTCGTATCGATGGCCCCCAACCAAAGATAAATCGATGGCCCCCAAAGAAAATTTTAAACAAGCGCGAACTCCGCGCACGCACATTCGCACGTGCACGTATCGGGTCATGTCCCTCCCTTGGTACAGCCGCGGCGGATTGCACATAATGGAGCCTTCCCATGGCCTCAATCCTTGTCGTGGTGCACATACTCATACAGCTCCATGCTCGAACTGCTCGGTGGCTTCACGTCCTGGGGTTGGTGGCACAGTGCTTACATCGGCGGCATCATCACAGCCCCATGATGATCACAACGTGAGGAGCTGTCCGTGTGACTCTCAGCCCCAACCCTCTTCTTCGAGTGCCTCAACCACTTCTTGCTTTGGGTGGGCGTCCTGTGCGGCGAGGGCACACACGCGCACCACCACGCGTTTGGTAGTCTCGCACACCGCCCGGGCATCGACCTGCCCTTCCACATCTTCCTCCGGCCGCTGCTCGCTCTCGGGCTCGTGTCACGTGTGTGTGGGATGCAAAGCTGGCTGGCAGGGAGAGCCCGACGCCCACTTGTCCGCACTCAAAGTAGCAGTAGGACTCCGCCGATCCGAGCATCCGGCAGCCGCCAACCGCACTCTTTGACGGCTCCGTGAGAGCGCTCGGCTGGCACGATAGTCGCGCGGGAGCCTGGGGACCCTGGTGTCATCGCGTGTCCGCTCTCTGAGCTCGGTTATAGTCACTTAGCTCTGTCTGTCCACTCTGTTCAACAAGATTGGTGTGGGTGTCGGTAAAATAGGTATTTTCTTCTCAATAACACATAACGAGCAAGGCGTGGGAAATCACACATACAGCTATAGGCACGCACAGCAAAATACCAGACATCAAAAGATAAAATTCACTTCACGCATCGGAGCTTCCGAGTTCCACTGTCGTGTGCGGTGCGCCCGCCGAATTGGGCTGACTAGGGCCAGGCGTCGATATCGACTCGTCAGTGAGAAGTTTTGACGGCGCATCCGCATCCTGAAGCTGCTGCCGTCTAGTCCGACGACCGGACCGCTTGCGCTTGGCGGCCGGCGGTGGCGCTCTGCATAGTAATAGAGCGCACAGGGCGGTAGCGAGGGCGATCGCCACTGCGAAGAACGCCGCCTGAATCCCTGTTTTCTCTGCAGCAGCCCGCGCCGTTGCCGATTCATGCGGTGGGGGTAGCGTGGGCTCGGCATTGCCCGTGGGCAAGCGATGTAACCAAGCCACGAGACTCTCGAACGAGTTGTCCTTAGCTACTCGCAGATGGAGCGCTTGGTAGGCGTCGCGGAGCGGGTGCGCCGGGTCATTCACAGCCCAAAACAAGCCGCCGCGGAAGCCTTGGCCAACTGCGCAGCCGAGGAGGCCATCTGCGGAGCGGTTAGCGAGCGAGTCTGGCATCTCAGCCACCTAAGGAGGTGGAGGGTGGTAAGAGAGCGGCGGTCTCGCAACGTGGGCCAGTGGGTTCGGTGCGGCGCTCACCACGATTGGCTTCTCGGCGCCCCAGTAGGCAGCTGGCGCCCGGCAGGGGTCGTAGCCCCACACAGGATCCACCATCCATTCCCACAAGTGAACATTGACCAGGTCGAGACGCGCGAGTGCCGGAGGGTCCTTACCGCCGGCCGCCGCATCAAACAGAGCTCTGTCCGACCACCAGTTGCCCTCTGCCGAGCTGTTGTCTGAGCCACTCCACTTTAGCGAAGCAGAGCCGACAGTGACTGGCAGCGGGGAGGCAGCGTGCACGCCCGCCGCCAGCAGCCCGACAAAGCGCTGCATGGCCGCAAGCGGGATGCACCACTCGGTCGTGCAGGAGTCGACAACACACCACTCGGGCTCGTTGATCAGCTCCAACACGACGTGGTCACTGCCACCTGGCGCGCCAGCCAGCGCGGCAAGCATTGGCTCGAGAGCGCGGGCAATGTAGCCCTCGACCAGGGTCGAGTTGCTGATCAGATCTGCGCCGAAGGAGCGCTTGCACAAGTCGAATGACCAGAGTACGAGCTGCAGAACCAGCCGGTGGGACCGCGCCAGCACGACCAGCTCCAACCTGCACGGGTCGCCGTGGGCAATGTGTGGTGGCTTGCTGGGTTCTTCGGGCGGCGGGAGGGGGGGTGGAGGGGCGCGCACAGCTCAGGGAGGAAAGCTCCCGGCAAGCCAGTCACTTGGTGCGTTGCGTTATCGTAGGACGGAGTCGCCCGAGCGTCGGCGTGGAGGAAGACACGGACGGCATTGGCCGATGCGTTTGACGCAAGGCTGAACACATTGTCGAACCAGCCAGCATCCCATTCCCCACCACCAATGTCGTAGCCGAAGCGGTTCCATGGCACGTTGAGTCCCAGGAAGACGGGTCCGCTCATCGATCGCGACAAGTGCCCCCACCCCCGCTGCGTCGCGACGAGCGCGCAACCCTCGCTCGCTCGGCCCCGCCCGAAGAGTGAATTCTCGCGCCACCTAGGTACGCCTACGTAGGACTCCCCGCACGCCTAAATCCCTCGTGGTGGCTGCTTGGGTGACTTGTTCTCCCATCCTTCCCTGGCTTTACGTGTTTTCTTTTTTACGGAGGCGCCAGGTGGCTTCGCGCCGATGCCCGCTGCGCTCAAGCAAGCTGCGACCGAGCAGCTCTCGAGTATCACATGTGCGTGGGGTCATCAAAACGTGCATGTCAAAACCTACACCTCAGTTAGCAGCCGCGCCAAGCTCGCTTCGCTCTCCTGGCTCCTCGCTCACGCGCCCACTGCGGCCGTGGCCGGGCTCAGCGGGCACCTCAAGGTCCGCAATGGGCGCGACGGTCGGCGTGAGGCAGGCGGGGTTGACGCCCGCCTTGTGCGCTGCGAGGAGCCCAATGGCCTCCATGTACGAGCGCACGCGCACCACGCCGCCGCCCAGCCGCTCGGGGGACACAGCCATGGCGCACGTGTTCTCCTCGACGCCGACGACGAGCGTGTCCGAGGCGGCGAGCGCGAGGACGGCGGCGCCGCCGCACGCGTCCGCGGGCACGACGAGGGCGTCGAGGGAGTCGCGCCTGAGTACACCAGAGTGAGTACACCAGAGTCGGGGAGGGAGTGCGGCGTCGTGCGATGTATTCGCAGCTTCGCGTGAAGGAGGGGGGGGGCGACGAGTACAGTGGGCCGACTACGTGTCTGCTCGGGGAGATGTGTTTTGCATCGGGGGCGTCGCGCCACAAGTCGCCCGGGAGAGGCCTCTCGGAGCCGTCGAGCAAGCTCGGTGCGCGCGCGAGGTTGGCGAGGACACACGGCAAGAAGGTGTGGCCGAGCTCCTCGGCGCACGCCCGCGGCGCGAGGCCAGGCTCGAGACCGAGCGCCGGAAGCGCAGGCGCGTGCGCGCACGGCAGCCTCAGCTCCTTGGTGATAAGGTGGGAGATGATCGCCTCGGCGCCTCCGATCGCGTCGACGCCATCGCCTGCGCGGTAGGCGGCAAGCATCTCCTGCGGCGGGCAGGGCAGGGCAGGAGATGCGAGGCAGGGCAGGAGATGCGGGGCAGGGCAGGAGATGCGGGGCAGGGGCGGCGCGCAAGTGAGCTGCGAGAGAGGGGCGCGTCCCGCGCGCAGCGACGAGGGGAGGGAGGGAGGGAGGAAGGTAGGGAGGGAGGGAGGGAGAGGGAGAGGGAGAGAGGGAGGGAGGGAGGGAGGGAGAGAAAGAGAGGAGGCCGGACCTCGTCCTCGTCGTCCGGGAAGCGCGCGACGACGGCGATCGCGGTGCACCCCGCCGCCTGCAGCCGCCGCGCCGCCGCGAGCAGCGCGTCCGGCCGCCTATTGTACGGCGATGCGTCCCGTGAGCAGGCACTGCCACCGCCAGACGAGGCCGTCCTCTAGTCTGGCCGCCGCAGCGCCCCCCACGAAGCTCCAGACGGTGACATCTGCAGCTCCACCCCGAGCGGTGCGTCTGTCGTGGCGTGCGCCGCCACGCAGAGGCCGAGTGTCGCCCGGGCCGCGTCCGCCGCCTGCAGGTGGCGCAGGCGCAGCTCTGGCTCGATGGCCGCGTCGAGCAACAGCCCCACCTTTTGTGCGCTCGCTGGCCGGAGGCCCCAGCGGCCGGCGGCAAACTCGTCGAGTGCAAAGCCCTCGACGTACTGGAACGCGTCGTGCGACCAGTACATCTGCGCGCCATTGAGCACGTTCGGGTGCGTCACCACCGTGTCGGCGACAGCTGTGAGGGCGCGCGCCACCGGCATCGCATCGCCAGCATAGCCACCGATCGCGGCGCCCACGCCGGTCGGCACAATGAGTCCGGCGGTGTACGGCCGCCGAGAGCCACGAGCCGCCGCACACTCGTATGTGCGCGTGGGTGCGTGGAGGGCGATTACGCACTGCAGCACCATGTGTACACACCCGTGTGGGGGCGATCACACACACTTCTGCCGCCCGGCCGCCCGGGCTGCGACAGGGCTGCGAAGACACTGGACGACAAAAAGCGCGGATCGGAACCCACACCCAAAAGAATTTGACATGCCGATGACAGTCAGACATGTCAAGGGCGAGGACACGCACAGGCCGCACCTCTAGTGAGGCCCGCATAGTATGTGGGAGACTCGTGCCGCCGCCCCTGCCACCACTGTGTCAGTGTGCCTGTAGGTAGGTAGGTAGGTAGAAAGCCTGTGGTAGGAGAGACTGAGGGCCCAACTTCAGAAGCGAGCTTTTTTGGGTTAGGGACGAGCGCGAAGGACCGATTGCGGTGAAGGACCGCAGGTTAGGGACCGATCGCCGCCGCTCACGCCAGCGGACGGTCGTCGTCAGTGATGTTAGCTACGCCACCGTCTACCTCGTGCGCGATGCGCTCGCCGGCATCGAGCGAGCAACGTGTTCGACCGAGCGGCTTGCTGTGCGGACGCCTTCTTGTGGCTCTCGTCGAGAGCGTTTTGCGGCCCGGCGGGTGGGAGAGCATGTGTCGTCTGATGTGTCACTGTGTACGTCATATCAGTCTGGATAACAAGTACGTTCGATCCGTCAAAGCGATACACTCGTCACGATCACGTTGGACGGCTTGCACAGAGCTCTGTGCCGGCACGCATCAGGAAGACCGCCGTACGGCAAGAAGAGCTCGATGGGGAGCGAGAACCGTCAGAGGTGCTCACGGAGGTTTCGGAACTCCGCCATGATGCGGTCAGTTCCCCCAGGTTTGACTGCGTAGGTCGCGGAACTCGTTGAGTACTCGCAGCCTTTCTGCGCCTCCGTCTGGGCATATCGGCTGCTCGGCAAGAGCAGTCTTTCCGGAAGATATCGACGATTTTCGAGAGCCACCCGCTTGGGAGCGATTGAGCGCGTCACGGAGGACTTCAGGTTACCCTTGAAGCTCCTCTGACGGTTCTCGCTCCCCATCGAGCTCTTCTTGCCGTACGGCTCTTCCTGTTGCCGGCACAGAGCTCCGTGCCAGCCGTCCAACGTGATAGGAACGAGTGTATCGCTTCGACGGATCGATCGACCGTGCTTGTTATCAAGACCGATGTGACGTACACAGTGACACATCAGACGACACATATTCTCCCACCCGCCGGGTCGCAAAACGCTCTCGACGAGAGCCACAAGAAGGCGTCCGCACAGCAAGCCGCTCGTCGGACAGGCGTGCTCGCTTGATGTCGGCGAGCGCATTGCGCACGCTTTGAACGGTGGCGAAGCCAAAAACACCGATGGTGGCCGTTCGCCGGCGTATGCGGCGGCGATCGGTCCCTAACCTGTCGCCCGCGGTCCCTAACCCAAAAGTGGTCCTTCGCGCTTTGGTCCCTAACCAAAAAAGCACGATTCTGAAGTTGGGCCCTCAGACTGCCAGCGACAAGCTGGAGGCAGGTCGCTAGACTGAGATGAGACCGCCAGTGGATGTGGGAGTCCACCGCGCACCGCGCTGCGAGCCTGTCGTGTCCCTTGTCAGGAGCAGGAGAGCCCCACCTGTCCCCCTGATCGTTCTTCCAAAATCCTGCTCGTGCAGGTGGGGACCCTGTCCTCGTCCCATCCCTCGTTTGGCGTGTCTGTTTTCTTTCTTTCTTTCTTATGTCGGAATTGTCGGAGAATAGCGACTAGCACACCTCTGTCGAGTCCCAGAAACCCGAGGAGTCACACAGTCCACCTGTGTGATGCACGCCCTGCGAGCGGGGCGGGGTGCGCACTGTCATCCCTCTGTGTTCGTGTGCGTCGCCCATCTCTCCCTGGAGATGACTGCTCTATTTATTTAAAAAAACTGGGAAAGAACTTTTTTTCGGAAAGAACCGTGTTTAATTTTTGGCCCTTTCCAAGGCACCCCCCAGGGCTAGGGCTCCTGCAACGGACCATCGGTGCTTGCAGAGCGAGGGCCGAGGCATCTTGGTTCAAGAGGCGCTCCGGACACACCTGAACAAACAGATGTGCCTGCAACCATCTGGCCCGCTGGGTGCGCTAGGACTTAGCTCCCCGGCCCTAAATGTGCGGCTACTGACTGTGCACTCCAAGTGCTCCAAGTGCCCCCCGATTGGTGTCCAGTCCGAGCCTGGCTGTTCTTTTCGCCTTCCTACTTACTTACTTCCGTACCTCGCTAGTTAGTTGCCACGCAAATGGCATTGCGCGCCCGCCCTGGCGTGGGAGGAGCGCTCTTCAGCGGACCACCACGCCATCCGTGGTCACCGTCTCTGTGTTGGCCCCCGAGGTCAGTACGCTGCGGTCCTTGTCCACGTCAGTGGGCCAGATCCACTGCGTCAAGATGAACTTCTCGTCCACTGCCGGGATCGACGCGTGCGTCATCTCGTCGCAAAGGAAGGTCTGGCGGGCGTCGCGCCGCGGAAAGCCTCTCCAAACCGGCTGGCCATCGGCCGGGGGGCGGATCGTAGGGAAGAAGACCACGGCCATGCCCGAACGCGGCTGAAAGCGCACGTACTCGCCTACGCGCGGGGAGGCGTCCATTGGCGCGGCAGCCTCCGGCCACGATCGGAGGGCCGTGTCCACCTGTTGGATTCTTGAGGGATGATCCCCATCGGCTCCTGTTCGTGTTCATGGGCCTGTGCTTGTAGAAGGCGGTGCCCCCGCCATCGCCAACGTTGTTGAGGTAGACAAACACCTGCTCGAGCACGTCCGATTCGCGCCACAGATACAAGAAACGGGTCGGGGAGATGGGAAATTGCTATGGGCGCCGTCAGCTCGCGATTGGGAGCTGATGGTTGCTTGCCGCTAAACGTGACGACGTGCTCGGCCTTTGCCCCGTACATCGCCTAGGACTCTTGCGTGTTGGATCGGTGCACGACGTCGCCGGGGGGGCAGGCAAGGCTGTGCCTGGTAGTCGTTGTGTGGAGCAAAGTAGTCTCCTTTTCGATACCGGATGATCTTGATCGATTCCATGTTTTCAACGCGATGGTGAGTGAGTCGTGCCATCTTCTCCTACCATTCAAAGGCGCCGCTCCGCGCTACAAGTCACTGAGTGAACCACGACCCTGGCGCTGCGCCTGGAGCGGCCGCGTCTCCACCTAATGCACGGTTGGCTTGAGGTCTTGCAGAAGAGGCAGGGCTGCACGAGAGGGGCGGAGGTCCAACCTTGCTGACTCGCACGTGCTGCGATTGGCGCCCAAACGTTGGCCTCGCAAAGCCGGACCGCGAGGCGCGCAGCTCGCGCTTCGCCTGAAGAAGAGATGAAGGGTGCTGGGAGGCGTGCCAGTGCGTGCCGCCTGCGGGGTTGCAGCATGCCTTGGCCATCAGTTTGGAGCACTCGTCGGGCGAAAGGAAATCGCGGACCACAAAGAGAGGCCTACACGTGCACGCGTTGGGCCTGTGCTTTCGGGGCGCCTGGCAATAGTACGCCGTGTGTAGCGCACCCGCCCGATTTTGACAGGTGGACCAGCTGCAATCCCGGGTAATCGAGGTTGATCATAGCCGACACGTGGCGTGAGAAGGGTGTGGCATTCACAAGCGGCAGGCTTGGATACTCATGTACTGGCCCTCGACCTCGGGTAGCCCAGCTCTCCATCGGGATCATATCGGGTCTTTCACACGGCTGGTGGGAGAGGGATCGCGACCTGCAGCACCGGCACGAACGAGTGCTGCGAGGGCAAACTACTTCTTCGTGCGTCCTGGTAAAATAACGCTTTGCGCTCCAAGTGCTCCTCAGCGGAGCTGGGAATAGGACCGCCGCAAGCGGCGTGGCGTGGAGCGGTTGAGCATCCCTCCGGGGGCCCCTCTGCGCCGGGGAGGCGTTGTTGGAGGCTAGGACGCAAGCGCCCGTCGCCCTTTTCAATCAAACTCGGGGCCCACTCACTCCGTCCGCTGTATGTATGTATATACGCTCCGACCCGAATTTGGAGGGCCTAAAAGTTTAAGGTGTTGCTGCGCAAAAGGGGTCGGACACAGGGCGCAGCTCATGCTAAGAGCCAAATAGGGGAGCTAGACAGAACGACTACCCTGTCCCGTTATTGCGTACACCAACACCACAAAAGCTCTCTCTCTCCTGTCCTCACTCAGGGGGTCACAACTACCGAGTCCCTCGACTAGCTCGTAGCTGCCACGTTGCCCCGACCGAGAGCGGATCTCCTCCTGCATCGCAAGGAGGGTGGCCAAGGCTAAAGTCTTGCCGGAGCCGCCGGGTTGACGCTTGGAGAAGGTCGCCCTTGCACTTGTACTTGTAGAGATGCTCGAGGGGGTGCTTTGTGGGGCGGTGCGCAGCCAGGCCAGCAGTGAGGGGAGGCGCACCCTCACTCTCCTCGGTCGCAGAGCTCGTCGGAGGCTGCGGCACGACGGGAGGGTCGCGACAGCAGTCCTCGGGCGAGCCGACGCGCATGTCCAACCAGCGCTGGGACTCGTTGTGACGGCAGACGCCGGCTGCCTCTCCAACCGCTTCTGCAGCGTCCTTCTTTGCCCGGTGCATGGGCTCGATCCGATTCCGCAGCGTGTCGGTCCCCAGCGGCGGTGCTGCGCGGGAGGCGGCCGCGAGCACGCTGGGCTCGATCAGCGGCTTTCCCTCAGTTGCGCCGAAAGCGCGGATTTGGCGGACGTTCTTGGTTTCAATTTTACGGATGTCTGTTCACCAGCTGAAGCGTGAAGGCTTGCACCCGTCCACGGCCGACATCGTCGGATTTGCGCACGGTATTCGGATTTTCTATTTGCTCGTGTGGGGGTTTATCCGAGATTTGTCAATGGCACATGCACATGCACATGCACATGTCCATGTATGTTGTACATGTACCGCGTCTGCGTGCAACGCGGGCGCCTTGCGGGCAGAGCCCACCCTTTTGCCTTTTTTTTGCGCGGTCAAAATTGGAAACCCCACGACACGGTGACATAGTGACAGGAGCAGCACCAGCCGCAGAGGCGCCTAACAGCCCCGGTCGCGCAAAACCGGAGGACCCCCTCCGCAGAGAGAGAAGGAGCGAAAAAGCCAGGCAGCGCGCCCGAAAAAGAAAACGCGGGAGGCGGCGCCCAGCGGCAGCGCCGAGGGGGCGCGAAGCGTGGACGAGGGCAGAGGTTGCCGCCCTCCCGATCCGCGCAAAAAAGAGAAGGGTGTGGGAGGCGGTCGGCTCGGACCTACTCGACGGATACTTCCTGCGCATAGGCGCATAGCAACGGAGGACATTCAAAAAGACTACTGGCGCCTGCTGACAGACACAGAAGCGTATCCGCGGGAATGGAATGACTGGATTGCGATGCTAGCGATGAAGCCGGGGGAGGACCCGAATCAAGCTGCTGTACGACGGCCCCGGCATCGCCTTCCCAGGCTTAGCTAGACTGACTGAGAGATATTGTGCACATGGTTGGTCTCTACAATATATACACTGACACTGAACCTCCCAGAGCTCGTCCCGGTCCGTCACGGCCATCCTCGGCCTCCGGAGGGCCCCCGGCCGCGGCGCGGTGCGGCGGCGTCACAAATCCGACCACAGTGCACAGAGCAACCGGGACGCGGTCGGGCGATCCGAGGGCGAGGCCCAACAGGCGTATGCATTGTCTATCCACCTATCAACAGGCGCCTGCGGCACCGTGCTCAGGAGCTGCTGCTCCAACCTGTCCACACTTTCGTACAGCTAAGTACTCGAGTTTGAGAGCGTGCAAGAAGAAAGAAAAACGCCGGGCCCCTGCTCTCCCTGCCCTGGGGCGCGAACTCCAAAGGCACCCGCCGTTGCCGATGGAGGCGTTCGCATTCGACGGCGGCAGGTCGCGAGCGGCGCGCACGGCGGCGGTGCCGCCCGCCGCCTCGCTGCCGTCGCCTCGCCGCGAGGCCGCCCCCGCCGCCGCCGCCGTCGCCACCGCCCCCGCCGCCGCAGCCGCCGCTGCGACTGCAGCCGCGCCCGCGGCCGATGGCGCCTCGAAGATCCGCCAAATGGGCGGGAACGCCGCGCTGCGGATCTGCTCCGACCAGGTGGTCGTCGACCTGCGCTCGGCGCTCAAGGAGCTCGTTGAGAACGCCCTCGATGCGGGGGCGACAAAGCTGGAGGTGCGCCTCAAGGAGCACGGCGCCGAGATGCTGGAGGTGACCGACAACGGGCGCGGCATCTCGTGCGAGAACCTGGACGGGGTGGCCCGCCGCCACCACACCTCCAAGCTGCGCGAGTTTGACGACCTCGGCCGCCTGCGATCCTTTGGCTTTCGCGGCGAGGCCCTCTCGTCGCTCGCGGCGCTCTCGAGCCTCTCCGTCGCCACGCGGACCGAAGACGACGCGGTCGGCACCTCGCTCTCGTTTGGTCGGGACGGCGAGATCAGCGCGAGGTCGAAGGTGGCGCGCGACGTCGGCACGACGGTCTGCGTCGCCCGCCTCTTTGAGCCCTTTGCTGTCCGGCGGCGCGAGGCGAGCGGGGACCTGCCACGCGCACAGAGAGACCTACACGCACGGACACGCACGCGCAGACGCGCGCAGACAACGACGTACTCGCCCCTCCCCACACCACACACACTTCTCGTGGGACGGCTGCTTGTTCACACCCCTCCTGTTTTGCATTCACAGCTCGTGCGGACGGCGCAGCTCGAGATGCGGAAGATGCTCGCGGCACTGCAGGCCTCCCTCCCTCCCTCCCTCCCTCCCTCCCTCCCTCCCTCCCTCCCTCCCTCCCTCCCTCCCTCCCTCCCTCTACCACTCACTCACTCACTCACTCGGAGGATGCTCGCGGCCCTGCAGGCGTACGCGCTCGTCTGCACGGCTGTCCGCTTCTCGTGCGTCAGCCTCTCGGCGAAGACGGGCCGCCAGTCGCTGCTGCAGACCGAGGGCGGAGCCGCGGGGATGCGAG